CACTTGCCGTTGCTCTTCACTCGGAGCTGGCGCGTGTCGGGGAGGTACTCGAGCTGCTGGTTGACCGGCGTCGCACCCGTCGGCGGCGCGTACATGAACGTGTCCCAGTCGGTCGCGCCCACGATCTTGCCGGTCGTCTTGGCAAAGAGCGAGAGAGGAATCGTGGCCGCCACCGCACCGTAGTTGAACGACTGGCAGAGCGGTCCAATCGTATTGGCATCGCAAACCGTCTCGGGCTTGACGCCCACGTAGTAGGCACCTGCCTCGGCCGACTTGAGCAAGCCCGACCCAATGCCACCGCTGTAGATCGCAAAGTCGTTGAAGCCAATCGAGAACGTCACCGTCGTCGACTGCCCGGGCGAGAGCGACACTTTGGTAAACTTCTTGAGCATCTTGGTCTCGGGCGTCCCGGACGTACGCGCACCTTGGCTCAGAAAGAGCAAGACCGCTTCCTTCCCGGCCATTGTGCCCGTGTTGGTCACGACGACGCTCGCCGTCAGCGACTCGGCCGATGTGTTGAGCTGGTTGCCGCTCAGCGCAAAGTTGGTGTAGCTGAACGTCGTGTAGCTCAGACCGGTGCCAAACTCCCACTCGGCGGGACACGCCGCGCCTGTGAGCACGCACACGCCGTTCTTGCGCTGGAAGTACGGCGTCACCATGTTGTCTTTGGTCTGGTCCTTGGGGTACGTCATGCTGAGACGGCCGCTGGGGTTGGTGAGGCCGAGGATGATCTCGGCGATGGCCTGGCCGCCCATGTGGCACGGCAGCATCGCGTCAATGACAGCGTGGACGACGTCGGCGACACCGTTGAGGAGGCGCGGGCGACCTTCGACGAGCACGAGGATGACTTTGGTGCCGGTGGAGGCAATGTCGCGAATGTACTGGAGCTGGCCGGCCGGCAGCGCTGCGTCAGGAACGTTGCCGACCATTTCCGCGTACGGCGTCTCGCCCACGACGATGACCGTGTAGTCGGCCGCGCCGGCCTTGGCCTTGGCGTCGGCGAGTGAGTCGGTCGTGCCACCGTTGATGTCGACGCCCTAGTCGACAACATTGTCTTTCGAATCGGCACGAGGTGGGGAAGCCAACGCACCTGAAGCGACGTGACCTTGCCGCCGTTGGCGGCGACGAGGCTTTGGAACGCCGATAGCACACTTTGGCTGCCGGGGAACTTGGCGTTTCCGGAGACGCCCTGCCACTCCCACGTCCAGCCGCCGCAGAGGTAGCCAATGTTGTCGTGGGCCGGGCCCGTGACAAACACACTCGCGTTGCTGCGGATCGGCAACACTCTGTCCTTGTTCTTGAGCAGCACGATCGACTCGCGCGCGAGCTCGAGCGACGCTTGACGGTCGGACGCCCCGCCCACGAGGTTGACGTTGTTGGCGCCGGGCACGGGCGTCTCGAACAAGCCGAGCTGCAGCTTCATCCTACAACAAAGCATGAGAGAGCGCTCTGGATGCTACGATGGACTACTTGATGATGCGCTTGGCCGACGCACGGTACCGCGACGCTGCAATCGTGCCGGCGTTCAAAAGATTTTGCGCGTATCCGATGAAGCTCAGGTCGTTGGGAATCATGCTCATGTCCACAGACGACTTGGACATGGACATGGCGACCGCGTCTTGGTTGTTGCTCACGAGCTTGTGGACGTAGTTGAGGTTGTAAATGTCTTCCCAGTCGGTGAGCAGCAGCCCGTTGAAGCCAATGTCGCTCCGGAGCAAGTCGTTGGTCAAGCGGCTGTTGGCGACCATGGGCACGCCGTTGACCGAGACGTAGCTCGCCATGACCGAGAGCGCGTTGGCGCTCTGGATGGCCGCAATGAACGGCGGCGCGTGGTAGTTGAGCAGCTGGTAGTCGTCCAGGTAGGCCGGCGCGCGGTCGTCGCCCGAGGATGTGGCGCCGTACCCGATAAAGTGCTTGACGGCGGCCGCAACCCCCGGCACGGACTGGATGCCGTTGACGGCGGCAATTCCAAGCTCGGACGCCAAGTACGGGTCCTCGCCGAACGTCTCGTACACGCGCGACCAGCGCTTGTGGTTGGTGACGTCAAGACCCGGCGCAAAGACCCAGTTGACGCCGCCCGCCGACGTGTCGCGCGCTGTGATGAACGCCGAGTCTTGGACGATCTTGGCGTTGAACGTCGCGCCCTTATTGATCTGCTGCGGCGACAGAATAGCGTCGTTGACGTAGTTGGCGCCGTGGACGCTGTCGAGGCCGTAGAGCGCGGGCGGCGCGTTGTTGGCCTTGTAAATGGCTTGGATCTGCGTGATCATGGCGCGCCACTTGGCCGCCGGCATCGCGCCGTTGAGGAACGAACCGACGCCGGCTTTGGCGCACTGCGTGACGGCGTTGACGCTGAGCTGACCGTCCGAGCCGAGGATGACGCCGATGTTGGCTTGGGCCATTTGGCCGATCCACTGCGATGGCGTCTAGGGAAGCGTGCGTTCGTTTTCGTGTCAAGGAGGGATAGGAATACCATCTTGGCGACGATGGCCTCGGCCTGCGCGTCAAAGTCTTGGGCGACCGCGACCGCCGCGACGAGTGCCAGCGGGAGGTACAGCTTCATGGAGTGAATACCGGGTCGGTGGCGAAATGAAGAATGGCTCGAGCAAGTCGATTCCAACGGAGCCCATCTGGTCATCTGGTGCGGTGTACGCATCGTACTGCAACTCTGGCGCTCACTTGTCTGGGCGGTGTTGCTACCTTGTTGGCCAATCGGGATGCTGTGTTTTTCGAAGCGCCAATCACCGCTGCCGCAAAATCGAATATTTCCAGTGGCGCGAGCACAGCGACCCAGCAAGGCGACAACACGCGCTCTGGCCTGAGCCTCTGCCGAATCATTACACCCATTCTGATAGTGAGCCCGATGGGACGGGTTGCACACCGCTAGCGATAAACATGCTCGTTACTGTACCCAAGCCCGACACTGGTAGAGGATTCCAGTGCTGCTGGGTTGCTGGCAGTATTGAGAGCTCCTCCCTGCTCGTGCTCGTCAATTGTGCCAGTGCAATGCTCATGACTCGGGTGTCATCCAGGCGTACATGTACTTCACTGATACAGCAAGCATTACACATGCTGGCTCGCAAAGGCGTCGGCCATTCGACTGCCGACGGTCAAAAGCTCACTGTGCCCAGCGTCCAATACGTCAACGATACCGGCCGTGTGATGGGCACCTTGTGACTCTGGTCATGGACACTCGCCGCTTCAGAGCGGTAGACAAAGGCGAGGATATCTCGGTCAGTACACGAGCTATCCCATACCACGGGTGGATTCAGCGATGTATAGCGTACCGTGGTATGCTCGGGACGTAGTGAACGCAACGGCGGCATGTTATCCGATACCACGGGTACAACTTGCACCGTGGTTTGCTCGGGACGATGTCCGAGGTGGACGTTCTCAAAAATGCAAAGAAAGAGCGTCACCCCATCTCGAACACCCGAAGCAGCATCTTCCAATACTAGTTGTTGCCAGCGCGGACAATCCAAGCGGCGGAACTACAATGTAGGCCATGTGTCCGACTGTCTGGTCGTGTCTATCGTCGGGACCAAGCGCTCGTAGCGTTGAGCGAATACACGGCTGATGTCATCCGTTGCAGTCTCTTTGCTCTTCGCCGCAAGCGCTTGGCGTACCAAACACTGCCGGGTTCGTCCCGAGCCACCTGCGGGGTGGCCTGTGTGGCGTCGAGCTGCGATTGTTTGTTTGTGAAATGGGATGGTGTGGTAGGGGCCGTTGGTGTAGTTTTTCGGTCTCACGAGCGTCACCGCCGAGCCCGCGACGCTCATGTCGCTCAGTGGGCTTCGCTTCGGCGCCAACGTCGGTAGCGGAAGCGTGGGTTTTGGATCTGGTGCGAGCGCCTGGAACTTCAACTTTATGACGGGGCAGATTGCGGCGCAAGGATCCAACCAGTGCCGTTGGTGTGTGGGAGGTCATATCCGTCGGCGTGGTCGTGGCGGTGTCGGTCCTGTGGATTGCCCTCGTAGCGCGGCGGAAGGGAGCGGTGGTCGTTGTGGCAGGCCGGAGGGAAAATGGCAAATGAAGGTTTTGCGACTGCACGTTGCAAGTACCCAGGTAGGAAAAGCTCTTGAGTCGAAGATCGACCAAGCAACCATTTGTACTCGAACAAAAGGTTGCTCGCTTCTTGTAAACCGAGTGTAGAAGATGCGAGCTGAACGAACCTCCAGTAGGGAGAAGCCTGGACCCGTCGCGCTAGAGACAGTGTAAAATAGTACTGCAGACCGCAGACTCGTTGCCACGACCGCCACAATCAGCCTGCTGTCAAGACCTCAACACCAAGGTCGCACCTTTAATATTCCAATGCAGAAGATGCACGCTACACTAGGCATTCGGATTTGATTTTGCAAGTCCACTCAACTCCCTTGTCCTGTAATTGCGGTTAGGGCTCGATCGGCGCCGAAATCAAGGTTCCACACTGCACCCGGCTTCTTTCCAGTCTCCCAGCAACGGAACGCGTATTCCCACATTTTTCAAGGTCGCAATATTGTCTTATAGTATCGTTGTAAAGATCTATGGACTAGCACTGAGTAGCTCTGACGGCGCATACAGCGCCATGTACACGGGGCAGTGGTCCGAGAGGACGCTACAGCACTGTAGTCGGGCCGCTTTTGCCGCCGCGCGCTGTTTCGTCGCTGGAAAGTACCGCTGGTCCACGCGATCCACACCCGCGCAAAGTGCAAAGTCGCCAACAGTGCCAGTTGTGTCGCGGACCCAAAGGTTGTCGTACAAGTTGTTGCCAATCGTGGTCGTCAGCGGCGCATTGATGAGTGGCAGCCAGCGCGCAGAAGTGAGGCCGAGGTCGAACGGCGGCAGGTTAAAGTCACCGAGCAGAACCAATTTGCCGGGAAGGCCGGCGGCGAGCGCGACGAGCCCGTCGACTTCGCGCTTGCGGCGTCCGGCCTCATGGCCAAAGACAATGTGGACATTGACGAGCGTCAGGGCAAGGCGGCGGCACATAGAATTGGCTTGTACGACAAACGGGCAACGATGTAGCGCATCTAGGCCGTCGTGGTTGTCGGCCAAGGGCAGCACCGTCGGGCGAAGCCACTTGGTCTTTCGGTAAAAGAAGGCAAAGTACTCGCCATGCGTGGTGCCGCCGACGCGGGCCGAGAGCACGTAGTCCCAACCCCGCAGCAACGCGCGTAGCTTCTTGAGCACGAGCGTATCGCGCACTTCCTGCAGCAATTGTGCATGTCACTCCGTATAAGATCGGGTTTGTACCTGAAGCGCCACGAGATCAAAGGGCGCAAAGATCTCGGCGATGAGACGCAGCGAGTCGGTCGATCGTTTCTTGGAGAGATTGCAGAGGTTCCAGCTCGCTATCGCGTACGTTGGCTCGCCCGCAGGGAAGCGCAATTGGTGACACGCAGGGCGCTCGACGACGGGCGACAGCTCGCATGCGGGCACCGCGGGAGCGAGGCGCGGCGCGAGTGGCGTGAGCCATGGACGCATCTTGGCGAACGAACGCACGCCGATCCCGGGGACGTACACGAGCGCGTCAACCGAGCTGTACGGGCGGTGGGCAATGATGCGCTCGGAGAGCACGAGGCCGACGCCGGGCACGCGCCGCAGGTCTGCGCTCGACGCAGTGTTGATGTCGATCGATACCTGCTTATCGCACGGGCTGCGTCGTGGTGACAGCGCCGTCGCACCACGAATGGCATCGCTTGATGGCGCATGCAGCTCTGGCCTATCGTCAGCCTCCTCCTCGACTGGCGTGGTGGCCGAGCGACTGGCTTCCAACGCACCACGGGATTGCGTGGCACCCATGCCAATGCGTGGCTTCGGATCCTGATTGGGCACGCAACTGCGTCTACCGGTAGGATCTGCATGTATGCTCGTCAACGCCATATAAAAGGGTGTGGATTCATCATTCAAGGCGGTGATCGCCGCGTCGGCCGTTCATGCAAATAGAGAAGAAACACGCAAGATGCAGATGCGTCGGCGTCGGTCGTCGTCCTGGCGTGGATCGCACGGTATAATTGAGCTGCTTTTGTCGGCTTATTGGCCCGCGACAGCGCCGCCTTGGTCCATGTCGTCCTCGTACATGCCACCCTTCTCCTTCTTGTGCTGGACCTTCAACCGCTTGCGGCCGACCTGGAAGCCGTTCATGCCCTTGATGGCAGCGTCGGCAGACGGCGCATTGTCGTAGCTCACAAAGCCTGCATAATTGCATGAGCATTCAAACGCGCGTTGGGTCGCACACGTACCAAAGCCACGGCTGCGGCCCGTCTCCTTCTCGACCATGATGCGCGCCGAGATGACGTTACCGAACGTCGCAAAGTAGTTGAAGAGGTCCTGGTTGGTCATATCATTTGGAATATGAAACACGAATAAATTGCAACCAGGGGGTCCTGGACATGAAGACACGTAAATACAGATACACAATAGGCAAGCATGCAACGACCGCGACCAAAGGAACCGACGTCCTTCGCCCGCGGTCCGAAGAATGCAAGCATGAAGAGGGTTGCATACCTTGCCCACTCTCGGTCGTCTGGATCGGAGGACCGGGACCCGCCACCTGAGGCGCGTAGCCTACACATGGTCGGTGTGAGCACTTCAACTCGTCGACGGTGCGGTGCACCATACCGTAAGGCTGGGCGTACGGGTACATGTAGCCACCCTGAGCGTACGGAGGGTACGTCATCGGCTGGCCGTACGGCTGCGGATAGCCCGCGGCGCCGTAGCCGCCTTGCATGTACTGCGGCATCTGGCCGGGCTGGCCCTGGAAGGCCTGCTGGCCAGCGACGGGGCCGGCAGCAGTGGCCGGGTTGATCGCGCCTTGCTGGAGCTGCGGGTTGGCGACCTGAGCAGGCGCGACTTGCTGCTGCTGCTGTTGCTGCTGCTGCTGCGGGCGGACTTGCTGGGCCGGTGCGGCCTGCTGCGGCGCGCTGAGCTCGGCCGGGCGCTCCCACGTCGACTCGCCCGTGGACGCATTGTAGTAGTACTTGCGTCCGTCCGGCGCCGTGTGCTCGGTCCATGGCACGGGGTTGAGGTCCATTGCGCCCTGCGCCATGAGCATCGCGCTGTGGTGCTCGTTCTCCGCCATCTTGGCTGCTTTTTTCTTATTCCAGCACCAGGGGACCACACACCTCGGAAAAGAAAGTCAGTGAAACCTCCCACACTTTATTAGATCCCATGCGTTCTCACAGGTTGGCGCTAATTGTTCGCGGAATCGCTTGGTCAAGGCGCTCCCTCGCACGTCCTCGCCATGGTCGACAACCATCTCCACCATCGCAGGGAGGACGAGGAAGCCGTGCTGCCCATCCTCGCCAGCATCCTGAGGCCAGCGCAGGCTCCATCCCAATCGCGCGTCTCTGCGCCACGGACGATGGCCTCGTAGAGATACGTGCGACGCAACTGCCAAGACGAGGCGAAATACGTCGTGTTGGCAACGGGTGGTAGCGGCCACATCTATGTGCGAACGGTACTTATTGCGCGATCGGCTTGCGGCCCATGTCGCGGATGTGGCTCATCTGCCGGCGAAACTCCATGATGGGCACAGCGGGCACGCCACCTATGTACGATCGACGAGGTGATTGCAGCGGTAGCGCAAGGTCGAGAGGCTGTCAACCGTAGGCGGCGTTGCCCGAGAGGTTGTGCATGACGCCGCTCTTGCCAGCGATGCGAACGTTGTCGCCGATCGTGAGGTGCTGGGCGATCCCGACTTGGCCGCCGGCGACGACGTTCTTGCCGATCGTCGTGCTCCCCGCAATGCCGACTTGGGCGGCAAAGACGCTGCCTGGCCCGATCTGCACATTGTGGGCGATTTGGATCTACCGCAAGCATTCGCCCTCCGACATCTGCGACCGCAGCCAGATCTAGTACCAGGTTGTCGAGTTTGCAGCCGCGCCCGATGATGGTGTTGCGCCAGCTGCCGCGGTCGATGGTGCAGTTGGCACTAGGATGCTTGCTCTAGCATCGTCGTCGCAGCTCGTTGGCATTTCGTACCCGATTTCGACGTCGTCGTGGATCTCGACGCGAAGTTCTTGGGGCTTTTTTGTGTGGTGGCCGGCGCCGGTCGCATCGAGCTCAAAGCCAAAGCCGTCCTGAGCCATAAATCGTCAGTCGATAGAGATGGTGGATGGCAACCTGCCCGATGCGCACGCCGCCGTGGATGACGTTGCGCTTGCCAATGTTGCAGTTGAGCAGCGTCGCACTGGCTCCTATCGACGACGTTGAGGCAGGAGGACGCTATGTGCGCAGGCGCACCGATAGTCGTGTCGCTCTCGACAACGACGTTGTCGCCGACGACCGTGCCAGGCCCAATGCTGCAGTTGGCCTCAATCTAACCGCACAGTCAGAGTCGGTTGGCCAACAGCTAGAAGCTGCGCACCACGGCATGCGCTCCGACGACCGTGAACGGCGCGAGCACTGCAGTGACGTGGACCTTGGCCGTCGGGTGGATCGACCGCAGTGGGGCCGTCGACAAGGCTCGACCCAGCGCCATCCTCAACAATGGACCAATCACAGGTCGTTCTACATTTTCGACTCTGTGATTGGCCGAGATGGCAAAGGTCAAATCCTTGCTATTATTTTGTACTTTCCATATTGGCATATAACAGACAAGGTCAATGCCAGTCCAAAACTTCATTATTTAAAACAGCAATCAACTGACCATTTGCACGGATCGGCAGATCTTGCCAAGTGCAAAATGGAAGGCAAGTGCAAAGTGCTCGTGACGCGCCACATTCCCTACGTTCTCGGTACGCGTCCACGATGCTAGGGACGATCTCTGCATGCGACGCTAGAGCAACTGGCTAAGGACCCGAACGTCATTGTCGACTGCTACGAGCACGCCGACGTGGCGATTCCGCCGGCAGAGCTTGTTGCCCGCGCGGCGGGCTGCACGGGCATCCTTTGCATGATCACGGACAAGATCACGCCGCAAGTGCTTGACAGCGCAGGGCCCTCGCTCCAGGTCGTGTCGACGATCTCAGCGGGGTTTGACCACATCGATGTCGCGGCTTGTCGCGCACGGGGCGTCGCTGTTGGCCACACGCCAGGTAGTGCCCTCCTGTCTTGTGGTTGCGCTGCACGATGCATGGCCCAGGCTGCTTGCACGTGTCGACAGCCGAGCTGGCTGTGAGCTTGACCTTTGCCATCAAGCGCCGGCTGCTTGAGAGCCACAAGAGCGCGGTTGCTGGTGAATGGGGCGTCATCCAAGTCTACCAGTACGCTCTGCAGCTCTATCCGTGTCGCTAATCAAACACGGGACTAGATACTGTGGTTCGGACGTCTCGGGCTGCACCGTGGGCGTCATTGGCCTCGGCGAAATTGGCCTCGCGTACGCCCGCATGCTCCAGAATGGCTTTGGGTGTCGCATCCTCTACACTGGCCCGAGAGAAAAGGCAGCGGCCGACTTGGGTGGTCTTCGCGCCACGTTTGTGGACTTGCCCACGCTTCTCTCGGAAAGCGATGTGGTGAGCTTACATTGCCCGCTGACGCCAGCGACGCGTCACCTCATTGATGCGCCGGCCCTGGGCCTCATGAAGCCCGGCGCTGTCCTCATCAACACGGCGCGCGGCGACGTGGTCGACCAGGACGCGCTCGTGGCCGCATTGCAGTCCAAGCCGATTGCCGCGGCGCTCGACGTCACGACGCCCGAGCCCCTTCCACCGGCGCACCCCGTACGTTCTTACTCGTGTCATAGCCGATGCATTGCTGACTTGACGTAGCTGTTCCACTTGCCCAACTGCATCGTTGTGCCGCACATTGCCTCGGCGACGCTGCGGACGCGGCACGCCATGTGCGACCGCGGTCTCGCCAACGTCCTCGCCGGTGTGGCTTCTCGCCCGCTCCCGACGCCGGTGCCGCAATAAAGTGCGATTATACACAAGCAGCGCCCGCCCATTCGTCCGCTGATGATGATGATCAAGCATGCTCATATCGTCTCTGCAGACCCAAATAGCCGTGTTTATTGTAGTAGGCTTTGGGTTGACGGGTCTTTCTCGCACAAGCTTTTTCGATACCTTGAGTTATTCAGGACGTTGTGGTCTTGACGCGGGGTACTTAAGCCCCAAAAGGTGTCGCAGGTCGCACAGGAATGCTGCTGTCGTCCGTTGACGCATCAATACAGCACCTGCAAACGAGGATCTCTCTCACCCTTTCTCTCATGCTAACCACACGCTCTTGACGACGCCTTGCTGTAGCTTGAAAGTCGGCCGAAGTGGCCCGGGATGCGGCGTCGCTTCGAGCCGGTCAAAGATGGTCGCGCGATCGCTTGTTTCATCGTCGAGAATTGCACTCGCTGGATCCGCAAGGTTGCGGTCCAAGCTCTGTGCGAGGCTGAGTCGCACCGTTTGCTTGGGCACCTGGCGTTTTTTGCAGACCAGGTAGCAGTCGACACTGCGGAGGCTCAGCGTCGGGTGCTGGGCATAGCGCGGGTCGGACTGAATCGCCGCGTAGACGGAGCCGCCCGACTCGAGCATGTTCTTGGGGTACCGCCGCCCACAGCCGCGCACGAGACACAAGACGGAGCGTGTTTTGAGACCATTGAACGCTTGGCTCGTGTACCTTGCGTTGGGCGTTTGTCGCTTTCGGCGCGCTATCGTACATTCTGAGCGTCCATCCTCGCTACAGGATCAAGCAACCTCGATATGTGCGGTGAGCAAAGCCATAGAGCACGGGTACGCTGGCAATGATGAGCGAGAGGAGGATGCAGCCAAGCGCAACGTCGACTTCATGGTACGGGTCGGGCGACGGCAAAGACGCAAAGAGCCACATGTACACGCGCACCAACGACGTGTGCGTCTGCACATACGTGAGCGGAACGTTGCTCGCTGCCACCGCGATGGCGACCAATGTCTTGTCAATATTTGCAAACAAGTGTTCCTTGCGATAGCGCTTGAGCGCGTGGGACGTCCCCGCCAGCGCAAAATAGGCAAACCACACCTAGGTACAAGGGATAGGGTTGCGTGCGGGAGGTTAGGGTATGTACCGTGCGCGAATAGTACAAGAACCCAAAGAAAAAGCTGTAGAGATTGGCGGTTTGCGCTGCGCGCACCATGGAAATACCCATGTATTGGACGCTGAGCCACACATCGATGGAAAATATGGCGCAGACGCTTGGGTCCATCAAAATTAGCACGGTCGGATCCCCAACGATAAGTTCATAGTGCCAGTCATTGTCGCTAGAACGTGGATGCACGTGGCCAAAGGCGCGTACGATGCGTTGAAGCTCCATGCAGTGTCGATAGTAGCGGCGCCACGTCAAGACCAAGACCAGAATCAGCAAGCCGCAGCGGTACGCAAACTTGAACCAGAGCCACAGCGCGTACTCGGGGCGCTGAAACGTGTACGTCAGTGTAAAGACGCCGGGTGTCGGTGTCGCCATGGTAATATCGTCGCCAACGCTGAGCCACAAGCAGCCTTGGCCGACAAAGAGGCCAAAGAACGTCAAATACTGACACGCGCCACGAAACTGCCACGTCATTTCATCGGCCAACGTCGCTTTGCGGTGGTCAACAGCTGCAAACGAGCACAGTACGTCTAGGAACGATGGACTATAAAAGACGAGGCCGGGGACGCCATAAAAGAACGCAATGCAGTCGCTTCGGTCCACGGGCGCTCTCTCTCGCACGTCGACGAGGCCGCGGTAAATGTCGGTGCGCAGCGTCGTATTGTCGTAAAACGAAGGGACGCTGGCCAAGGTGTCGCGCGAAAAGAGCGCTTGGGAGAGCGTCAGAAACGCCGGGTCGAGCGACGAGAGGTTCAAATACGGCGTGTCGGGTCGCGTCATGTGCGACCACGGCAGCTCCTCGGACAAGTACGCTTTCATGGGCTAGACAGAAGTAGCGTCACGAGTGCTGCACTCTGCAGGATCGAGTACCATGGCAAGAAGGTTGAGCAGCAAAAGAAAGCTCGTGGCCAACGACATTTTGTTCCAGGTCACGTTGTAGGCGGGCGACGTGGCCGGTTGCGATGGCCCACTCGGTGCGATCGGCACCACGGCGACCATTTTGCTGCAACTCAGATCTTATTTTTGATCCTAAAATCGTCGAGACGCAAGCGTGGCATTATCCTAGACAACCTGTGCATCGTCAAAGTTTCTGTACTGGATTTTGGGAACCAAGAAAGGCTGCAGTACCTAGGCACGCATCGGCAAACTACGCAAGGGCGTGTCGATTGGCAAGCGTTGATATATATGTTTCGACTATAAAAAAGTAGAAATGGTTCAACCCTAATCCCGTTTTCAACACCGTTCCAGCGACCGCAAGTCGAACGACAGACACGGAGACGCACAATACGATATGAGGCTGCACTGCCTTAAAGAGCTGGCGACGCGCGGCTCAGTTGGCGGCGCAGCTTGAAGAGGTGCGGCTGGCGCTGCATCCAGTCCTTGATCTTGGGCAACGCGTACTCGTAGCCGACCTGGATCGCGTCGTCGAGGCGTTCAAACTGGAGCGTGCCAATGTGCTGGACCGGCGGCTTGAGGTACAGATCGACGCAAGTGTTGATGACGTTGTCCTTGTTTTGCTCAAAGCAGCAGTAGGCGAGTGCGGCCGAGACGTCGCCCATCGACGGCACTTGGGCCGTGCGCTCAAACGGGTTGAGCTTGTTCTTGAGGAGCCACCAGCCCGAGAGCGAGTCGCCGTACTCGTAGTAGCTCCACTCGGGGTCGCCACCGACGTCGACGGCCACAATAATGTTGATACCCTCTTCCTTCATCACGTCCGCGGGCAAATTATTGACGTATCCGCCGTCGAGGAGAAGCGAGCCATTGTCCGAAATCGGCGGGAGGTACCCTTGCAGCGACATGGACGCGCGCACGTAGCGCCACAGAAGGCCCGCGCGGTGGACACCGGTGCGATACTTGACAATGTCGGTCGAGATGCAGAAGAAATTGAGCACGAGGTCCTACGAAATTTGGTCAAAAATGTGAAAAATCAAATAAAAATCAAAGACAAAACAAACCTCGATGCGAATGTCGCCAAACTCTTGGTGAATGATGCTGTTGAAGCCAACGCCCGTAAAGAAGGACGCGATCGGGAGCGTGAGCTCGCAAAACTTCTTCCAGAGACTGCCCATGGATTTCGCAAAGCTGCGGGATTTTTCAACCACCTTTTCCAAGTCCTTGGGGTACTGGGCGTACAGGCCGGCCATGAACGCGCCCATACTACACCACGAGCGTCCGCGACCGTTTGAAAATGTCAGATGTTGTACCTCGTGCCACCGACAACGTCCACATCAATACCACACTCTTCCAGCGCCTTGAGGACGCCAATGTGGGCGAGGCCACGGGCGCCGCCACCGCCGAGGACGATGCCAATCGACCGACCGGTCACACGCCGCGAGATACGGAGCAGGTCGCTCTCGTACTTTGAAAACGGCACACGAATGTTGTGCGAGTAGCTAATCCAGTCGCGCGAGTCGACCTTCTTCATCGGCGTCGACATGTCGTCCGTGTCGCGGCGGAGCCGCACGAGGTTGATTTCAACCTACGTGACCCAGTTAGTACCGAGCACCAAGCTCACAAAGGGTCGTACCTTCTTGCGCTCGTACGCAGATCGCAACAGACCTTGGAGCTCGTCGATCCAAAATTCTGATGTCTCGGACGTGAGCAGCAAAATGTGATCGGCTTGCCGGATGCACAGCCGCGTCCACTCGGTCAGCGTCGTGTCGGCTTCGTACAAGACGAGCTGGTTGACACTCTCGACCTCGGCGAGCCAGTTGGACATGCGCGAGCGTGCAATCGCAGAGAGCGACCGCCACTGCCCGCCAAACACCTCGATCGCCTTTTGCGACGAGACGACTTCGGTGGTCGCCAGCGTGTTGAGCGCTTTGGCCAGCATGTCGCTAAACTCGTGCACGCACGCGTCCTTGCTCGCAGCCAGGACGGCGATCGTACCCTAACCACACACAATTTTGCTAAGCTAAAAGGGCAAGCAAGACATGCAACGTACGACAGGAAGTTGGGGCGACGCGCCAGCGTTGCGCGTGCCGAGCAGCGGAAACGTCTTGCTCTGCGGCAGCGCTACGCGACGGACTCTGTAGAAAAGAGATCGAGAGATACGAAGCGGGTACCATTCGTGGAGCGGTATGCCACTTCGCGCGTCACGTGGGCCAGCACGTCGGGGTAGACGCGCAAAATGTAGTCGAAGATGACACGGGGCATCTTGGAGATTTGACAGTCGCGAATGGCATAGACCGTCGACGCACTAGTTATGACGTAATATGACGGTGATGTAGGAAGGGATGGACATACCTGCGCCGGGAGGCGAGCATGTCGAGCGCGCACAGCGTCGCGCCCTTCATGAGCTCGTTGCTCGTCTTGACAATGGCGCCCGTCGTGCTCACGTGCTACATCAACACATTGTCAGCATGACATGTCACATCATAAGTTAAGTAGTACATCTTGGATGGCGCGGAGGCGACCGGTCAAGAGCGTGTACGTCGAGTCGCACTCGTCGCCGACGTGGAAGAGCGAGTCGCCGCTGTTGAGGTGGATCCATTCGAAAAAGTTGTCGAGCATCGGCACCATGGGGTCGTACTGGCGCAGCACGTGCTTGACGCAACTAAGATGGACAAGTTTTGTCCATCGCACCTTTGAGAGCGTCGTACCTCGAGACAAACGACGCGTGTCGCAAAAGCGACCGAAAGACGTTGCCGTCCAAGTGCAGCACGGTTGTAGTGCCAATCGTGCGCGCTTCGACCATGCCGGCGTCACCGGTGATGGCGGTGCTCACACCAATGGCACAGCCCGGCGTCGCCTCGTACATCTTGACAAGCGTGTCGGTCACGTTGCCCATCGACATGGCCACGTCGACGGCAATCGCGCCTTCAACGACAAAGTACACGTCCGCGGCGTTGCTCGACCGCTGCTCTTTTTGGTCCTGGAGAAGCCAGCCATCTTCGAGCGTCAAGAGCCGGCACCCGAGACGGAATTGCTCCTCGAGCTCCTTGAAGTCGAGACCGAGGGCATGCGCCACGACGTGGGCGACCTCACTGCGGTCGGCGGGCACCTCAAAGAGCGGCACCGGATGGATCACGTGGTTGACCTACGCTTGCGTCAAACCAAATTGAAGGGCAAACATCCGACGACGCACAAGGCCAAAATAGTCGATGAGCGACCGCGCGGTGACACGGTCCAGCTGCGCGAGGGCCACTTGGGCGAGCTGAAGTTGGTTCTTTGGGTGGAGCTCCATGGCTTCAAGCAGCACCGACTGATCGATACGCAGGACCGTGGCACCCTCGGGACCGGCGCGCGCTTCCAGGTCGAGACGCGCGACCGACGGGTCGTGAAAGAGAGTTTGGAGCTGCACGAGCGTCGACGTGAGGCATTCGTCCTTCGGGATCGCGCTCGAGTAGACCTTGTCTTCGTAGAAGGCAGCGAGGAGCGCAGAGCCGCGGGCGACCATGAGCAGCGACCCGTCGTGGACGGCGCGTTCAAAGATGATGGCGTCGGGGGCATACTCGACCGCTTCGACATGCCTACGAGCAGTACGTGAGAAGACGAGGTTATCGTGATCGTAAGCGACTACCGAATGATCACTTCCATAAACTCGTTCTCGAACGACGAGAAGAACATCTTGGTGAGACCCGAGTACATTTGCAGCTGGTCCTCGCTCCAGACCTGCGCCTTGAGCCACATGATGTTGGCGTCGCGCTCGCCGAGCTCCTTCTCTTCTTCGCGGAGCTCGTTGACTTCGTAGTCGACGTCCGCGTCAAAAGACATGCGCTTGCGCATGTGCTTGGCCTTGGGCGACCCCGGCGCCGACGCCGTTCCATCCGATCGGGCGTCGACCGAGAGCGCGCGCGTCTTGCGCGGACGCACTTGGCGCGAGGCGACCCAGATGTAGAGCATGATGACGCCGAGGAGGACGGCGGCGAGGGCCGCGCCAATGACGATCGGGATCTCGTGGTAGTGCTTCAGCACCCAGTCCGACATGAGCAGCATGAGGTTGCGTCGGGGGCAGCAAAGCGAAATTGACACAAATGGCCCAAGATCTATCTCTGCCAGTTACAAATGCGTCTTTTCTAGACGCGTTAAAGCCCATCGTTGCACTTGGCGTTTGTATAGCACTTCGCGTTTTTCACGAAAAGGACGTAAAACCTGACCGTGGCGCCGTTGACGCAGCCGCCATGTGATTGCCACTATGGGCACGTGTTTTCACCCGGCTGCGCGCGGCCATCGGCCATTGGCCATTGTCGCTTCCAGCTGCTGCAGGATTTAGCGCGGAGGATTCCGCTCCATTTCGGATAGCGACACCCGTGGCACTCTCCGCCCCTTCGCAGGCCGGCGCGAAAGGCGCGCAGCGTGACCGCCGATCTTATATTTTGCCGTCACGTCTCGAAGGCAGCACCAGCGTCGGCCACGCTAGTTGCAGTAGGAAGCTGTCCACGAGCATGCGTCGAAACAACGCAGAGTCGGCGCAGCGTGATTACAGCATAGAAACTTGCCACCTGCGTGATTACAGCACAGAAACTTGCCACCTGCCGCGGATGATGACAAGGACCAGCTGTCCACTCCAACTACAGTGTACTCCAACCCCGTTTGACGCCATTTGACAAAGCGTTTGACGCATCGTGATCATGTTCAACCCATGGTCAAAGGTTTAACGCGTTTGCCGTTTGTCGTATCCGGATGCCGGAATCGCGAGATCCAAAACGGGCATGACCGACGCGCACCGCGATGTGCTCTTCCTGCGCGTTCGGACGCTCGAGAAGTACAAGCACAACTATGAGCTCTTATGTAGCCAGCTCAGCGACCTCAACACGCAGGTCGGGCTCCAGCTGCAGCGCCACGAGATGGACGTCGCTGGCCTCCAAGGTAGCATTTTGCGGTGCTGCCCGATCGGCGCTCATGGCAAACGCCGTAGCCATCATTCGTGGCCTCGAGAAGGACAAGTCCGACGCTGCGACTAAGATCATGGAGCTCGAGGCCAAAGTCGCTGCGCAGGCGACTGTGATGGGCCAGGACAAGGAGTACACCGACCGCATTCACGCGCAGCTGACGACAGCGGCCGAGCTCCTCAAAGCAAGTGAGCGCAATGCGAGCGAGCGCGAGAAAGAGTGTCATACGCAGCTGGACGCTTTGCACCGGCAAATGGAGAAGGAAGCGTGCGAGCACGAAGCTGTCAAGCGCGAACTATCTGCGCTCAAGCTCGCGAAAGACTCTGGTAGCGAATCCAGCAAGGACAACAAGAAGCTGCGGCGACGGCTCAGCGAAGCCCACCATTGCATCGAGACCTTGCGCCGACAGCTCATGGATGAATGCCGTCGACGCGACGCGGAGAGTGACGCGGCGCAGGAGGCTGCCCAGCGAAGGATAGCGCAGCTGCAGCAGGACGCGATCTGCCTCTCCGAGATTGCGTCGTCCACCAAAGCGCAAGCGCAGTCGCTTGAGCAGCAGCTGGACGCGCTCGAGGCGCAGCACCGCAAGTCCCAAGTGCGCGAGGATGACCTTCGGCGCGAACTCGAGCGCCATGATGTGCATCGAGCCCATGACAACGACCGGCTCGTGCTCGAACTCACCGACAAGGACACGCGTATCAAAGCCCTTGAGAAAAAAGTGCGCGAACTCAAGATTCGGTGGAAGCAGGACCGCGAACATTTGAAAGCCAAGCTCCAGCGCCACGAAGCGACCGACGACGACGTATACCAGCTCCGCCAGCAAGTTCGCGAGCTCGAGACGCAGCTCGTCGTCGCAGACAAGCGCTGCCGACTCCTCGAGCGAGAAGTCTCTGCCCTTCGCGATGTCATGGATGAAGCTGCGCTGCGCCAAGAGCGCCGCGACAGTGCATCGCGCTACCGAGCAACCTCGCCACCGTCAAATTGATTACATAATGTTATCCTGCCCTAGCTTGATGTCGAGCGCTTGATCACGACACGCGTGTCTCTTCCCGCTTCCGGGCCGCGCGCACCATGTTCTGGAGCTTCAAACACTCGTCTTTGAGCGCTGCATTTTCCTACCCAACCCGTCGAGCATTGCTACCCACGTTGTGCGACATACCTCTTCGAGATCCGCGATGAGATGACTGTGCTGTGATGTTGACGTCTGAGAGGCCAATATCAAGAGGCGAAGCTCCTCGCTGCAACTGACCTTGTCTGAGACTGCCGCTTCGTACGCCCGTTTCCACGTAGCAATTTCCTCGTCCTTGGCTTCGACAGCTAGTCGTAGCCGGTCCAACTCTACGCCCTTGATGATGAGCTGCGACCAGCTAGGACTGTAGCCTACCTGCAACGTCGTTTAATGTGCGAGGAGACGGTAGCCGCTAGCACCAACACTGTGACATTGATCGCACGCTGTGCACAGCGTACCGAGCGAGATGCGTCGTTGCGCAAGTGCGGTATGCCCGATGGTTTCGGTGGAGCGTCTACCTCAACCAAATCAAATGGCTGGCAAGGCGAAATGGCTTGGTATATCGTACCTAGCTTGGCTGCTTGGAGCTGCTGCTGAAGGGACTTGACGAGTTCGACGAGTCGTTCTTTCTCAATCTACGCTGCTTGTCACCACGAGCGGAAAGCCGGTGCAGAAAAGTACCGCCAAGGCTTGATAGTTGCCAAATTGTTCTTTGGAGACACTGGCCTTTGTGTGCTTGAGATCAGTCGATTGCGCAGCGTGCAAGTCGCGCTGGAAGGACTCGAGGAGACTTGCTTGGTGCGCCAGCTACAGAGCCCACGTCAGCTCTTTATCGCTCTTTGGTTGTGGTTTACTTGTCGCTTTTGATCCTTGCAGAGCAGTTTGAGCGCGTCGAGCTCGTCACCGTCAGGCGCTTTGCTGTCGGCCGTGCGGGCCCGCGAGCTCGGTCCTGGCTTCTTTGTTTCGAGTTCGCTTTGGAGACGGTCGATGAGGAGGTCGTCGTTCTTGGATTTCTCCAGTAGCACGCTGATCTTGACCTTGCTCTTGCTCGATTCCTTTTCAAACACGTGGAGGCGGGCTTTTGTCGCTTCGTATTTTTTGTGCAGTTTCTCGTGGCCCTCGCGCAGTGCATTGCCGTCCTCTAAAAGCTTCTCACTTTGCTTTCGGCGCTCGAGTTTGGAGGCCGCAAGGTCGTCTTCCGCCTTGCGATCGACATCCCGCGGCACCTACATTCATTTCCATTTGAGATTGAGTTTCGGGGTGTGTTGCATGTATCGCACATCGACGGGACTTGGCTGGGCCCGTTCGAGCTTTTTGATTTTGGCTTTGAGCATCACGATTTGCTGGGCACGGCCTCGCTTCCCGCTGTCGCTCGCATCAAGAATGTCACTCAGTGCTACGTCGTCGCCCACCTACACAGACATAGCGTTGCCAGTCTGTCCAAAACCGATGCTTACTTCGCGCTGAAGGGCGCGTTGGGTGCGTTTGAGCTCAACTGCTTGCGCCTCGCATTTGAGTTTTAGCTCCTCGAGCTTCTTGGACGCAGCGACTTCCTTCTCGGGCGACGGCACCTTCTTCGCCACGTCGGGCCGAGGCTGTTGCTGAAGTCGCTGCAGTGCGCGCTCGGCCTTGAGCTGAAGGGTCTGCGCCGCCTCGACCGCGCGCTCCATCTCGGCCATCTTGGTGCTGGCAGCCGCCGCGCGAGTCTTTTCCTTGTTGTAGGCCAGCGTCGCTTGGCGCAGCTTCTTGGCTTGGTGCACAATCTTGACGTTGCGAATGTCCTAATGTTGAGGGTTGGGGATATCAACAACATCTGAAAACGATGTCTACGTGATCAACAATCTCGGAGCCTTGCAGAATGTCCTTGAACGCATCCACATCGAGGCCAGGGATGGGCTCCAAGGCTTCGAGTAGAAGCTGCAGTCTACGCGCCACCGTAACGCTGGAAAATCCATGCGTCGTTCCTACTCGTTGATTTGCTGCTTATGGCTCTTGATGGCCGCCACGAGCTCTGCATTTTGGTGCTTGAGACTCTGAATGTCGCTGATACCGTCCCACTTGAAGTCGCTCTGGTTGTTGGAGCTCGTTTCGATCGCTGGTGGAACGTCCTCGAGCGCATGGCTATCGTCGTCGCTGTCGCTGTCGTCAAACTCGGGCAGCGCCAGCGGCGCCTACTGCAGTTGCCAACCAAGACGCTTTGCCAATCAAGTGTACCTTGTGACGTGGCGGCGGCGCTGGCCCGAGCTCCATCTTGGCACTCGCGCGCTTCGTCTCGACGACAAGGCTCATCGTGCGACGGTTTCGCTGACAGTTCAAGTCGTCTCAACCGACTCGGTGGCGTTGAGACAGCGGCGCCGCCGACTCAGCTCCGTGCAGTCTGCAAATTATGCCCAACGCACGCCCGAAAGAGATGGCGCGCCGACCGAGTCTCTCGTCGTTACTCATGCCCACAGCGCGCTTCACGCGGGATCACCCCAAGCTCGCCAAGGTGCCCATTTCAGTCGCTGTCGCCATCGAGCGAGCACTCAAGGTCAAGCGCGATTGAGTCGCACGCCATCGCACCGCAAGGAAGAGCGATGCTGATTTCCTATTTAGAGCTAATACACTCGACACTATGCCACTATGTGTTGTGCTTTGGACCTTTGGCCGGTCGCGAATGCGCTGCTCCCACGTAGCAGATGCAGGCTCACGTAGTACGCACCGTATCACAGTGAGTACAGCATATCGCTTCATGCGTGTCTCCGATGGTTGTGCTTGTCGAGGCCACGCGGAGTGCCAGCCAAAGTCGCTTCACCTCGTCCGTCCTGCCTTCATCGAGCAGCAAGGAGCCATTGAAGGAACATTGGGCTCAGACAAGAGCGCAGGATGTGGCTACCTCTACACTGTACGACGTGAGGAGGCTCATCTCGACACTGCGCGGTTGAAGTCGAACCTTGGCGTCAAAGACGTGGTCGGCGGGGAAACACTTGGTCTTTGTATAGTACTTTGCCCTAAGCCTTGACGAAAATCGACTGCTTATTTGCTGGCAGACACACAATGGACTTGGAGGGCGCATTCGACGACGTCATGACGGCGCTCTTGTGCGCCGACAAGCGCGATGTCGACGATGTTGCACGCGTCCTAGATAGCCTTGCGCGCTTTGTCGGCGCCGTTGATGAGACGCTCACGGCCACGCACCGCATGACGCTCAAGCAGGTCGGTCGCCAATGGCTCGCGGCCGTCGAGTCGATCTGGTACCAGTATGGCCTCAACGACGATGCGAAAGACCTCGAAGCGCAGTTTGAAGAGGTGCGAGGCGCGCTCGCCGCCGTCACAGGTACTCGCAGTGTGTTCACGTATCTCAGTGCATCTCACACGCGGTATTAGACCATCCGACCAAGACTTTATTCGTTCACGAGTCGCTACCCCCGGTTGCACTGCGCGAGCTGAGCTTCATGGAGGCCGGCTTTGGCTGGCAGACGTGGGGTGCGAGCCTCGTTTTGGCCCACGCGATTGCCACCGACCAAGTCGACGTACGTGGGCGCCGAGTACTCGAGGTCGGCTGTGGCACCGGCCTCGTCGGCATCGTTGCCGCCCTCAAAGGCGCGTCCGAAGTTGTTCTCACGGACTTTCTGCCCGAGGTCCTCCAGAATGCCCGCTTCAACGCCGAGGCGAACGGCGTGCGCGACGTCTGCCGCGTCACCAAGCTCGACTGGCGGTCGCCAACCCTGGACGCAGACGACGACGACCAGCGTTTTGATGTGGTATTGGCGGCCGATTGTTGCTACGAGATCGAGCACGCCAAGCTCCTCCCGCCCGTGTTTCAAAAGTACCTCGCCAAGACGTCCATTGATGCTCGCGTGCATTTGATCAACGCGCTCCGAACGGGGTTTGACGCAGAGCTCAATGCGTGGGAAGCTGCTGCCCGCAACGCGAACCTCACACTCGCGAACGTGCACACGATTCACGACGATAGCGCGGTGGACAATGGCCCCGCTGCCGAGTTTCGCTACTATCAAATAGCCAATCCAACGAGCACATAGCGTTGCTTTTGTGTCAATACAGTGTCTTTTACAGCGTTTCCACCAAACACCAGCTTAGAATAGACGTATCACCACACGACGCACTTGTGGGGTGGGTTCATGGGCGAGCCGACAGGACACTGGAACGTCTCGGCAAAGAGCGCCGAGTTCATGAGCGGGCCATTCACGCGCCACTTGCCGGGCGAGTGTGGGTCGAGGCCGAGGAGGAGCTCTGCGTACGCATCCGACCGCTTCTCGCACCACGCCTGCGCAAAGGCCGTAAAGTACAACTTGGTCTCGTCGGTCGAGATCGGACCGGCTTGGGTGGCCGCATACGCCAAGTACGCGAGCTTGAGCCCGCCGTTGTCTGCAATGTTTTCGCCGAGCGTGAGGTGGCCATCGACAAATCCAATGCGCGTCGAGGCATCCAGCGACGTGACTTCAAACGCAGCGTACTGCGCCGCCAAGCAGTCGGCCTTGACATCAAACGTCTTGCTCACGGAGGGCGACCACCACATGCGGAGGTTGCCGTTCCCGTCGTAGTTGCGGCCTTGGTCGTCAAAGCCGTGCGTGAGCTCGTGGCCCATGACCATGCCGATGCGTGCATAATTCGCAATCGACGGCATTTCATGCGCAGAGTAAAACGGCGCCTGAAGGATAGCGGCCGGAAACACCATCTTGTTGGCACTTGGGTCGTAGTACGCGTTGACGGTCGACGCCGAGAGGCCCCACGCCATCGGGTCCACGGGCGCCCCGATCGACGAGAGCGCAGTCGTCATCTCGTGCGCTTGGAGCTGCGCCATGTTGGCAAAGAAGCCGGTGCTGTTGAGCGGAAATGGCAGCGGCGGCGTGACGTCGGGGCCGCCCACGAGGTTGAAGATGTGATGCAGCTTGCGAAGCCCTTCTTTGCGCGTCGCGTCGTCAAGCCACGGCTCGTTGGCGAGGACGTTGCCCATGGCCGCCTCGATTTCAGTGATGAGCGACCGCGCAGCCAGTTTGGTGCTGTTATCCCAGACCCGCTCGAGGTAGTAGGACCCGAGGACCGCCCCCAAATGCGCTTCCGTGAGCCCGAGACAGTAGTTGGCCCGCGTCGAGGCGACGCCGAGGCCGCTGAGCGTCCCATGAAACTTGTGGCTTGCGGCGCGAAAGTGCTCGCCGAGCAGCGGGCTCTGGCTGTCGATCAAGCGGAAGCTTACATACTTGATGAGCGTGCTCAAGTCGACGTCGTCACTGGCCAAGAGCGCGGCCTGGGCTGCAAAGAACCCCGGCGTCGACACGACGATCGGCGCGTTGGAGTTTGCGAGCGTCTCGTAGACGCCCGCGCCGCGAAGGTACGCGGCAACGTGAGGCCATTTCACCTCGAGCTCTGCGAGCGAGAGCGCGTGGTACGTTGCCCACGGATCCCGGAGGTCGGCGTTGGCGATCGACATGGTCGCAAACGACGTCTCGAGCTTTAAGGGGCGGTGCGTGAACGCTGTGACGTTGTGCCGGGCAAACGCATCGACAGTCGCCAAGCTCGTGACGTACTCGACAAACAAGGCAGTGTACTTGGCGCGCTTGTGTGCGTCTAGATAGTAGTCTCGGCCTGGAAATGTAAGCCCGCCTTGCGAAAGCGAGAGCACGTTCGTGGTCGCGTTCTTCGGGTTGCCCAAAACCTCGAGGCTGAAGAAGGCGTCGACTCCCGACGTGCGGAAGAGGTCGCCAGCGTACGCGAACACGTCGTCCTTGGTCGTGAGGGCCGCGACGTGCGATAGCTGGCGTGAGACGGCATCGACACCGGCATCGTCGACGTCGCCCACGGCAATGCACGACTGGTACAGCGGCCCGATCACCGGCGGGTTGGAGCGAACGATGGTCTCGATGAGCTTGGCGTTGGTGTCAGCGACAACGCGAAACGACGTGTCGACCGCGTTGGCATTCGACGGGATCGTAGCGTTCTCGAGCCAGCCGCCGCACGCGTAGCGGTAAAAGTTGTGGCACGGGTCGATGGCCTCGTCGCGCATGGCCGCGGTCGCGGTGAAGAACGCGTCATAGCGCGAGTCGAGAGGCGGCTCGTCGACGGTGACGATGACGACGACAGTGTCGTTTTGCTCCTGGAGCGTGAGCACGCACCCGAGCGCCGCAAAGAGCGAGGCGACTGCGACAGCAAACGCCCAGCGCGCCCACGGGCGAGGGGCGCGACGCGACACCGTCGTCGGCTCGACTGCGCCGTACGCCGTGCGAAACGACATGGTGCCGAGCGGAATCGTGGTCGTCGACATGCGTGTGTGGCTGCTACTTGCACTCTGGCGGTTCTCGCGTCGCTTGAGCTCTGTAACCGATGCCCATCAGCCGAAAGGGCGCCGACGCGTTCGCGCCACTCAAGTTGGTCGTTGCACGATCCTTCGCATTACTGTTACTCGAAATCGCTGTCCGAGAGGTCGTCCAGCGCCCAGTCGTCGCGGTCGCTGGCTTCTTCGAGAAACGCATGCTCTACAAACCGGCGCGTTTGAGTTGTCGAATCGAGGAAAGGCGCACCGCTGCAAGTGTCCCATTCGAGTGCGGTCGCCAGGATCTTCTTGCCGTATCCCTGCGCTGATCGGCGTGGCGGAAGCACCGCGACTTCAACCTGTGCTGGCGGCGTCGATGGCCGCGCGGCGAGCGTACCAATGTGGGACAATACGCACATCTGCGAGGCGGGCGACAACACGATCGGGTTCCCACCAGAGAGCGCTTCGTCGGATGCTTGGGCAAGCATGAGCCCATCGAGCGTATCGTCCGACAAGGGCGGCTGACGATCGTAGCTGTCTTGGCCTTGGCTGCCATGTGGTGCGATGATAGCGTTCATGGGCGCAAGCTGTGTTGCATCGTCATCCGTGCTTATCATACCAGCAAAGAGGCTGCGCGGTTGGCCTGTCGTCATCATGTGTGGGGGCAGTGAGAAGATGGCATCGACGTCGTCGCCAAAGAAACATGGCGACTCGGCCTCCTCGGGCGACGACGAGGCCATGACCGTGCAGTCGCTGTCGTCGGCCGCAGTCGGGCTGCAGTCAAGCCGCGGCCGCTTGCGCTCAGGGCTCATGTAGCACTCGTCCATCCAAGTTGCGTTCTTTGAGATTTCCACCGCCGATCGTGGCAGTTACACGCACTTGGTATTTAAATAAAAAAAGTCAAAATTGCGCTGCATGAGCCCCGAGTCGCGACCAAGCCGGCGGCAGCACGGCCGCGATGGCTTGGACGTGATCCAGAACCACGTTCGCATCTCGCTCGAGCGCGTGCATCGCGCGCGGTAGCTGCCTGCCTCTCGCCCAAGGTCTCAGGCTGGCATAGGCTCCAGGGCCCAAAGCCGCACCGGCCAAAAGCCCACGTGGAAGAGCCCGTGCAAGTCGCGGCGCTGGGCCAGTATCTCGAGGCCAAGATGAAGGTCTCGGCGACGTCCCATGCAGAAACTGTGGCAGCAAGCCCGCGCCGCCACCTCCACGGTTCGGACAGCTCGTTTGGGGTATACTTCCACGTACAACGTGTGTACGTCGACCCATATTGGCAACTAGCTCGAGTTCAAGCTGAGTCGCGTTCTGAAGCAGCGCAAGCGGCGCAGTGGCATGCACGTTGCCAAGCCAAACACTGACCAGCGCTCCAAGCTGGCCGCGATCAAGTCCCGGAACGGCGCCGCCGCGCAGGCCGTTGTCGCGCAGCACCGCGAGCGGGAATACAATGACAACCCGCTCGGTTTGAGCGAGAACGTGCTCTTCGCCTTTCGCGCTGGTGGCGATCCTCTCTCGTCGTTCGCACTCACCATTTCAGTGGTAGTTGCCCATGTGTGGCTTGCGCGGAAGCGGCGCAAGGACCGCGCGATGCGAGAGAACGTCACCAACAAGCTCATCTTGCATCAATCCCGCCCCAAGGAGCTGTCGCCAGCCGTCTTTGACATAATCAGCAAGAGCTTTGTGACGCCCGTGCCCGCGCTTCAGTTCTTTGACGCCGAAGCCGCCGACATGCCGCCGATCCAGCCCCGCAACGTCATCCCGACCCGAAGCGGTCTCGTCCCAAGCTCCCCAAGCGCGACACCCATGCGTCCGACCAAGCCGTCGACGGCACCCGCAACACTCACGCCACGCGGCATTTGCTACACGATCGACAGCAGCGGGCACCGCCAGAGCAAGATGCAACACAACACCGACCTTGGCACACCGCGACGGTACTTTCGACCGAGCATCGCTATTGAGCCCGATGGGATGCGAGTGTAGACCCCGACCACTCTACGCGTCCAAGCTCGCTACGTCCATGGACGATGCGGTCATGCATACGCTCAACAAACGGTCGCGCTAACGTGACACCCTTGGATACCATACCGTTTTAGGCTCAAACTGCGCATGGCCGCCAAGAAGCAGCGCATCGTCGACATCTCGGATGCGTTTGGGAGCAACCAAGACCACCTCAAGCTGAACCTCTCGGCCAAGCTCGGTGCGTACGCTTGTCGATGGCAGCCAACGCGTGGATGTAGCCATGCACTGGGCCGAGCGAGAACACTTGCATGCGTCCAAGCTCGAAGCGGCGTGCCTCAACGACACCAACTTGCCGTCGTTTCAAGTGAGTAAGGACCAGCACCTTGGTCGACTGCGCGTGCAGAAGGCGCGGCTGCTCGAGCTCTGCACCGTACGCTAACTGCGTCAAACGAGAAATCCTCAAGTCCTACGGTCGCAGACGCTCAGTATCTTTGGCGCGATGCTGCGGGCCCACGAAGACGCCCGCCAAGAGATGACGCGGTCCGAGCTGCACGTGCTCTCGCTCTTTCGGATTGTGATTGAAAACAACTGCGTCCTGACACCGGTTGTCATCCAGGGCATTGCGTCCCAGCTCTCGAGCGCGGACCTCGCCTGTCCCCGAGTCCAGGTAGCCTCGTCTCCTCCATCTCATACTGTCGCTAGCGTACTACGTTAGGCGCTCTTCTCCATCATTGCCAACCGCATGGGCCAAGACGCACTCGCCACGACAAGGACACGCGTGGGCTAATATCATCAAGTCGATTTTTGCTACTCAATGTGCGTTGTCTCGGCGGTCGGTGCCATCGGCCTCGCCAGCGGGACGTACGCCGCCCGCGACGTGTGGCAGCCGACATAGACGACAGCGACTACACTGGCAAATGCAGCGACGACGCTGGCGACGACCGCAGCCCAGATTGACACCGGCAAGTCGGTCGTCCAGAGCGCACTGTCCGTAGCGCGCTCGGTCGAGAGGATGTAGCCCTTGCACTTGGCGTTGTTGGTGTTGCGCGTCTGCAGCGTGTAGCTAGCCAAGGACCATTGGATCATACAGAGACGCGAGAGAGACCAAGCGCAGTACCACTTGGCGATGCTCTGCGACTGCACGTCGACGAGTTGGTCGCGCGCCTCGTCCCATTGCCCAACGCTGTGAAAGATGCCGCTCGAGAGGTTTGTGAGCGTGCCTTCTGTGATAAAGTGATACGTGGACTGCGGCTCGGTCCAGACGACGATGACGCGGCCGCTCTGGTGGCGTGTCTTGAGCGCCCGTGTCGCGCGGCACTCTTGTGTCGTGCACGTTGCGTCGTGGAAGCGCGGCCATGACGTGAGGTTGTACGCGCCGACAAGCGGCGCCGTCGCGCTCACGTGGCGACAGCTCTCAAACCTACCATGTACAAGTGAGATCGTAGAGGACCGGTCGTGGCATACCGCGCACGCAGGCCATCGGCCGAGACACACCGGGGCCGGGCGTGGCCAGCAGCGACGACGTGGTGGCCGAGACGGAGGTTGGCGCAGACAAAGCCGTCGGCGCAGAGACAGTCGGCATCGCAGAAGACGTCGTCCATTTGCACGCGGCCGTCAACGGTGCAAACGCTGCGATCGACCGACGCGCTGCCGCACGCGTACGACTTGTACTGGCACACGTCGCAGGCTGTCGTCGTCGCTACCGTTGACGTCGGCAGAAGCAGACTACAGAGCGCAAGCAGCCGCAGACCGGCCATGGGTCGGGTCGGAGGTGCAAGACGCCGCATCTTTGAAACTGGCAGGCAATCTCGGAACAGATCCGCGAACCCACTTCGTTTTCGAGGCTTCTTCGACGAGCAAGGTTATGCGTTGGTGCCATGCTCCGACGACCAACTCAACCACGGTGCTGCTGGCAACTTGAGACCGCATCGAGTTAGTTGGTTGACTCATCCTTCTAGTACATGTATTTCGTGCATGCATCGGGACGATGGTGCACGCTCCATGGCACCAGCTCCGTTAGGACATAGAAGTGTTCCATTGCGGCAGATACGTGGTGTGTAGAAGGATCCAAGGTTATTTCCTCGCCCATCATCCCGCCAAAGAAGACGAAGTCGGCGTCGGTGGCTACAAGACTATGTTATATTACTTCGTCGTCGATTTACTCCGACGTCGTGGGGCGCTTCTTCTTGGGGCCACGAGGTAACCGGCAGCCGAGCGCGCGCTCAATCTTGGAGATGATGGCCGGGTTCGGGATCGCGCGGCCCGACTCGTACTCGCCAATGACCTGCGGCTTCTCGTTGATGGCGGTCGCGAGCGCCTTCTGCGTCATGCCCTTGTCGAGGCGCGCCTTCGAGAGCGCCTGCGAGAGCGACCGGTCGACCGTGTCGTGCTTGAAGTTCTCCGTGTCTTCATCGAGCTTGCGCATGTTGCCAGCGGCGCCGTGGGCCGAGCGGTTGAGACCGTTCGTGTGCTTGACCTCGGTCGAGACGTTGCCGGCGCGGCGCGCGCGGTTGAGCGCGGCCTCCTTGGACTCGTTGCCGACGCGGCCACCGCTGCGGGCCTTGTTCCAGCCCTGGACCTCCCAATCTTGACCCTGCGCAAAGCTCATCGTGTTCTTGTCTATCGATGGAAATTCGAAATGGTCGACTTCTGGCCGGTGGCTGTGGCGTCCGGATAACCCGGCGACGCTTCGAGTGATGGTCCCATTGGCTAAAATCGCACCGAAATTGGACGGAATTTTCCAGAAAATGAATTCTGGGGCCCGAATTCTTTCGACCGCCAGGCGCGCCCTGTCGCTTTGTACCTCGAGACATCCGCCACCTGCGTCGCAGGCAAGGTCGATTGCTCGCGGATGGTGGCTGTACTCGAGCCAAGCAACCGAGGAAAGGGACATGGCGACCGCGCCGTTTCGTCCAAGGGGCACACGTTCTGAGCTGGGATTGGTTCAAAACAGCGAATAGCTTGCCTGTCGAAGATTGCATTTGAGCCAATCATGTGCCAGGAGTATGTATTTTTATAAATGGAATGCAATGCATACATTACACAAGGTTTCGTATATTATAGTAGAATGGATAAATACACGCAGTTTGGACGTGACTATGCACCAAGATCGTCCGACGCAAAATAAGCGACCCTTCTCCAGGAAGCCGCGCACGTCCTTCTCGCATCCTCATGGCATGCGCGAAGCACATCGTCATCCACATGCAGATGCGTGGGGCAACGGTGTGACATGCATTGCGGGCGTTGAAACGATCTAGTCCCTATAGTCCTTTACTACCTTGAACTTGGTAAACTGAGCTTAGTCCATCGTATATTCAAGTAGACAGCGTCCATATTCGAATGCAAACTCGTCCTCCCTCGATGATGCGACGTGAGATGACGAATGAGCAAGTGTCGGTTCGCTCGTTTGGTGACATCTTTGTTGCCATTCATCCCTTGGATTGGCTGAAAAGGAAATCCTCCGAGCCAATCCACGTCGTTTGTTCGGCAGGCTTACAAACAGCAAGATCAAGATTGCGCAATACCCAAGATTTGGACAAAACGCCGGGACAAAATTCTTATTGCGCAAATCGGCGTCAATCAGAACGGGATCCGATGGCCACTGAACGCAAGCCCGAGCGCGGCCTCTTGGCCAACATCGCGATCGCCGGCATGGCCACGTCGCTCGCCACGATTGGCTCCAACCCGATGGAGGTCGTCAAGACGCGCATGCAGCTCCAGGTACACCCATGCGACTGCAAGCATCGCCCTGATGATGTGCGCAGGGCGAGCTCGCCGCGACGGGTGCGCCTGTCGTCTACCGCAACTCGTTCCACGCCTTCTACACGATTGCCAAAGTTGAAGGCGTCCGCGGCATCCAGCGTGGCCTCGTGGCTGGCATGGCCTACCAGGTTTGACCCTTGGAATGATCCGTGTCTCATGGCAATGGCGATAGACCGTCATGAACGGCGTGCGTCTGGGCGGCTTTGAGCCGCTGCAAAAGATCTATGGTGCAACGGACCCGAACCACTACTCGTTCGTGCCACGCAACATGCTCGCGGGCGCGACGTCCGGGGCCCTTGGTGCGATGCTTGGCAGTCCGTTCTTCCTCGTCAAGGCCCGACTCCAAGCCCAAAGCAACGCCACGACCATCAACGCGCAGTACCACTACAAGGGCACGGTAAGCTTCCTCGCACAATGCCAGCGTACTCATGCCCATGGCCATTAGTTTGATGGGCTTCGGCAAATTGTGGCCAAGGACGGCGTGGCGGGTCTCTACCGCGGCATCAACGGCGCCATTCCGCGCGTGGCGGTACGACTTGAGCTCGTTTCGATGTAAAAAGCGATGTTGTTGCCCATAGGTTGGGTCGGCCGCGCAAATGTCGACGTATGCGTCGTCCAAGCACCTCGTGCTCTCGTCCGGGCTCCTCGAAGACGGCATTCTCGCCCATTTTGCCGGTGCGTATTGCATCGACTTGCGCTGTAGATCTGATATGTCTGGCTGTGCAGCGAGTCTTGTGACGGGCCTTGCGGTCACGACGGCCATGAACCCTTTCGACGTCGTCTCGACGCGCTTGTACAGCCAGAAAGTGGTGGACGGGAAAGGTGTGCTCTACGACGGCGTCGTCGACTGCTTCCGGAAAACCTTTGGCGCCGAGGGAGTCCGGGGCATGTTCAAGGGCTGGACCGCCCATTACCTCCGCCTCGGGCCGCACACCATCTTTACCTTTGTGTTTTGGGAGCAAGCCAAGAAATTGGCCACGAGCCTCGGCGTTTAGGAGTCGATTGTATCTACGTTCTTAGATAACAAATGTCATATTCGTCAGTGGCAATCGTGAGAGTGTACTGCCTCGATGCCCCTGTGCTGTCGTGCAATGCTGTGGTCGATACTAGAAGCGCCAAGGTGCACACAGTGAAAACGCATTTTAATCTCATAAAATCGTTGGTTATGGCGCGTTCGGCAAGTGCGGCATGCTAAAAAAAGGCATATTCTTAGTGACCAAGCGAGACGCAGTATGTTTCCAGTCGCACCGTTGCCGGTCGACAGCCCACGGCTTCCAGCAGCGACGCGAGCCTTCTCCGTGAAATGGAACAAGGTGTCGCTCGTGACGAGCTTGCTCATGCTGCTCAACATCGCCGCGATGGTGCGCTTGTTATGCTGCTCAACGAATATCTGATGTCATGCGTAGCCGATGAAGGCGTACTTTTCCGAGGAGTTTCCATGGCAGAGCGACGATGGTCCAGTGCCCGTCTTTGGCAACCTCGCGGCGGATGATCCTGCGTACCTCGCTTTGATGCAAACCCTCTTCAACCGTGTGACGCTCGCCGGTCGACCTTCCTTCGTCTACAACGCCACGCTGCGCTGCGACATTTTCCGGGGTCGATTGGACCTGCGACACAAGCGCCCAGTGCCTCTCGACGACTGCGTGTCGTTCTACTATGGCACGCCGGGCTTGATGTTTTATGCGCCGTCGCTCTTGGACGCGCTGTGTCCGCTGGCCGCTACCGACCACCGCAACGCCACTTGGCCGGACGAAATGACGTGGCAGTCGCATGGCGGCTGCGAGGTGGTGATGCTTCTTGGAGTTCACTTATCCCAAGGCTGCCTCTGGCTTGACGTCGGCGACGATCTCAATAATGGCACCAGCCCTCCGACGCCCGGTGTCTTTACACTCACGTACGCGTTCCAACGCCCCAAGTACTTCAAGTGGCTCTGGTTCAAGTTTGTGTACCGCCTTGGTTTGATCGCTTATGTCGTCTGGGTCACGTACGCCCGGTACTATGCGCACTGTGTGGCGTTGCGTGCAATTCTTGTCGCCAACGGCCACCGCGTCCCTCGCCCGAGTCCCGACTGGAGCTACGAGCTTCTGATTGGCGATCCGACCGCGCTTGTCCTCTCCGACCCAATCGTATGCACGCTGTTTTTTGTCGATATTTGGCTCAGCACAGGGGTTGCGGGCGTCGCCTTGTCCCGCGCAATGCAAGTCGAAGATTTCTACTACACATTTCTGTCCTTACTGTATCTTTCGCGCATGGTGTGTACCATTTCGTCATGTACACAACGTCGTATTGTCTGGTGTTAGGTCTGGCTCGCCTACCTGGCCCTGTGCCTCCTTAGCAAAGTGCTCAAGCGGTACCACAAGGAGAACTATTTTCGCGAGCTCGACAAGACGCTCGTTGCGATTGGCATTTTCCTCAGTTTCATCCCATTCACGTACGTGCAAGCCAACACGCCGATGGTGCACGTGTACCTTTGGCTCTCTTGGCTCTTGCCCACCAAGGACCCAAGGACCCAAATCGACGTCACCCTTGGCGGTGGGCTTTTCACACTGCTCATTGCAAACTTTCCCGTCATCTTTGGACTTGTCTCGCAGCGCTTTCGTACGCAATGTATCAACGAATACGTTTGACGCGGAAATCGTAGCGCGACGGCACCACCGTGTGGCCACGCAGCGCACGCGGTTTGCGAGCCAAACGTTCAATGGCTTCAAGGCCCGAGTCATTTTGTACCTGGCGCGGTACTGTGCGCCCAAGCAGCGCAACGTTGTCGAGTCCGGCGGCTCGATTTACGCGGCGCTGGCTGCCGACGCCTGCTACAAGCAGTGTCCGACCATGGGTCTCCGCAGCGTCGACTGCTTCCTACTTTGCAAACGTCAGGGCATCCCGCGGCACATGATTCGACTCAGCCTCGCGTCAAGCCTCGACCGCAACCTCTTGAACCCAGCACTCGCGATCACCGAAGACACTGCGAAAGCTGGCACGACCGTCTTTGGCCACATCAACTCGGTGGCCCTTGGACCACAATCGCGCACCTTTACGCTCCAGCGAGGCAGCGTCCAAAGCGCGTGGCTAGCGTAAGTTGGCTTGTTGGGACGATCGATTGGTCGAGAATCAAAGTACCTTGAGTATATGTAAGCTGGGTAAATGGACTACGCCAATAGTCGTTGCGACGTCCTCTCAAAAGAGAATACCGGAGTGGTCCACACTGCTTGTGATGTCATGGCCCAAAATACCTCTATATATCGATGCATATCTATTTATTTGAAGAGGTTTCTCAACATGTGTACTGGCTGGCACACTCCTCCGCATGCAACTTCGTCTCCGTTGCTCCCTGTGTACTGCGATCAGTTCCCATTGCTGGGCACACACAAGCATAGAAATGATTGTTGTTTGCCAACCTACAAATGCATGACGATCTAGTGTCGTCTGGGTGGTCCGTTCCGAGGGTGGAGTGGGACCAGATTTAAGTCCAGATCGCACATTGCACTTTTTCAGCAATGGCGACGCCAGCGATCGTCGTCTCGGGCGTCTCGAGCGGCGTCGGCAAGACGTCGCTCGCGATTGGTCTCATGGCGGCTCTCACCAAGCGCGGACTGCGCGTGCAGCCGTTCAAGGTCGGCCCGGACTTTCTCGATCCGATGCACCATACGCTCGCGTGTGGTGTCGCGAGCGTCAACCTCGATGGCTTCATGATGGGCCGGGACGAGTGTCTCGCCACGTACCATCGCGCATGCGTCGCGACAAGGGCCGACATTGCCGTCATCGAAGGCTGCATGGGGCTCTTCGACGGCACGAACGGGGCCTCGGACGGCGGCAGCTCGGCCGAGATCGCCAAGTGGCTGCACGCGCCCGTCGTCCTCGTCGTGGACGCGTGGTGCATTGGACGCAGCGCCGCGGCCATGGTGCACGGCTACTGCTCGTTCGACCGCAACGTGTCGTTTGCCGGCGTCGTCTTCAACAAGATTGGCGGTGACGCGCACGCCCAATGGCTCCGTGACGCGATGCAGTCGTCGCCGCTCACACAGTCGGTGCGCGTCTTGGGCTGCGTCCCCAAGGACGTATCGATCGTCGTACCCGAACGCCACTTGGGGCTGCACATGCCAGACAATGCAGCACACATCCACGGCCTCGCTCGTCTCGTCGAGGCCCACATTTGCGTCGACACGCTGCTCGCCATGCACTCAAAGCTCTGCATGCCCGTCGACGAGCCACTGACGCCACGAGCGACGACAAGATCACCGCCCGTGCGGCTCGGCGTCGCGCGCGACGAAGCGTTTTGCTTTTACTACGCCGACAACCTCCGCGTGCTCGAGGCCGTGGGCTTTACCCTCGAGTTCTTCTCGCCCTTGCTCGACGTGAAGGTCCCAAACGTCCATGCGCTCTACTTTGGCGGCGGGTACCCCGAGCTCCACGCCACTGCGCTAGAAGCCAACGCGTCGATGCGGGCGTCAGTCCGAACGTTTGCCGCGTCCGGAAAGCTCGTGTACGCCGAGTGCGGCGGTCTTATGTACCTTGCGCAAAAGCTCTTTGAGAAAGGCAAGGCTGTTGCCATGGCCGGCGTCCTCCCGATTGACGTCAGCATGACTCCACGCATGACGATGGGCTATTGCGTGGCCGAACTCTCGGTGGCCTTGGCGACGTTATTGCAGCTGCCGCGCGCGACAGCACTGGCGTGCCATCAGTACCACTTTTCGGAGCTCACGTACAAGGACCAGCCGGCGGCACTGCTCGACGCTGACGGCGCGGTCGTCCAACTGGCCGGCGTCGAGGCGCCAGCGTACCAATGTCGCATGGAGCGCCCGGACGCGGCGTTCGCACCCGAAGGCGTCGTTCTCGGTGGCACGATCGCGTCGTACTGCCACCTTCACTTTGGCTCGCACCCGGCGTTTGCGTCGGCGCTCCTGGCTACAGCAAAGCGACGCCTGCCGCTCGTGTCGTTTGAGCCGAGTGCGACCGAGATTGTTGGGGCTATCTGGGACAGTCGGCTGCCATGTGACAACGACGACGAGACGACGCGCCGGGCCGCCAAGAAGGCCCTTCTGTGTGCCGTGAGCGAGTTTTGCGATGCACCGGCACACTACACCACGGGCGTGCCCCGCATCACCAAGAGCTTGATCACAGCGACGACCTCCGAAGCCATTGAAGCCCAAGTCCAAGCCTTCCACGCCCAAGGCATCCGTGATCTGCACGTGATCGACACGACCTTGCTTGCGACCTGTCGCTCTGGCGTCGTCTTTACGCAGGACGCTTGCGATCGGTGCTCGGCAGTCGATAGCGCTGTTGCTCTCGCCCTTGACGCAGCACATTTGCCACGCGACGTGGCTTTTCCCATCCAGCCACGGACGGTCTCTGACGTGCTTGATGGTATACTCGCGGTCGGTCGCGTCCTCGGCGAAGACGCTCGGGCGACGCAGCTGCACGCGGCGCTTACTACTCGACTTGATGCGGTGGTCGCTAAAGTCGATGGACTCGGTCGACCGCGTGTGTTGGGCCTTGAGAGCGTCTTTCCCCTTGTGGCGTCGGGGCAGTGGTTGCCCGACATGCGGTGTCGTGCCGGTGGGTCCGAGGCGTTGGCCGACTCGTCGCCGGGGTGTCCGCCGCGACGCTTGAGTTGGCCCGACGACATTGTGCCGTCTCGACCTGATGTCCTCGTCGTCGCGTGCTGCGGCAAGTCGGCGTTTGAGACGGTGCGGGACATGGAGCAGTATTTGCTATCGCAAGATGGGTTTTGGCAGCTCCCGGCGATGCTAGCGACGCCACCGCGGTTGTTTGCCGTCGACCATGGCGTTCTGTCTCGCCCAGGGCCGAATATCATCTTGGGCATTGAGATCCTCGCTGGCCTCCTACATTCTACAAGCCTCGAGGCGCCTCCCGAGCTCAAACACGTGTGCATCTTGCAGTACCGAGGTCCCCGGTTCGCCACCGGCGAGGCATTTGTGTCGCACTTTGAACCCGTGCTTGCATCGACCGAGCGCGCGCCGCCGTCGACCGAGCCCGCATGGCGTACCCTTGAGGCGAGCGGGCCACCGGCGCTGGCGGCCCACGCGGTAGTCGCCTCGCGTGACACGCTGTACCTTGTCGGCGGCGAAGACACGGCGTCGACGCGAACGTCGGCTGTGTGGCAGTGGACACCGTCGCAGTCGTGGGAGCTCCTGCCGTGCGCCACCGTGTACGGCGAGGACGACGTGCCCACAGCGCGGTCCAACCACGCCGCCGCGCTCTGGCACCATATTCTGCTTGTTTTTGGCGGCTGGGACCAAGATGGTTTACAACCGCTCGGACAGCTCGAGCTTCTCAACCTCGACACGCGCTGCTGGACGCACGGCAGTACGACTGGCGCTGCGCCCTCGTCGCGGGGCAACCCCACGCTGGTTGTCGACGCGCAGCGGTCGATGGCGATCGTCTTTGGCGGCTGGAACAAAATCGAGCGCTTCAACGATGTGCACTTGCTCGACTTGCGCACGTGGGCATGGCGCGAAGTCCGGTCAACCGCGGTTGCACCGCAAAAGCGCACCGACCACGCGGCCGTGTGGGCGGACGACCGCATGTTTGTCCTTGGCGGCTCAACGTGCGACGGACCCATGAACGACGTGTGGGTCTGGAGCCCGAGCACAGAGGCGTGGAGTGAGTTGCATTGCTCTGGCGATCTTCCCGCGCCCCGAACGTCCCACGCGGCTGCTGTCTGTGGGCGGCACATTCTGATGACGGGCGGTCAGTCTCATACGACGGCCCGCGGCACGAGTGTGTTTGCGTCGAGTTACGCGCTCAACATCGACTCGCTCGAGTGGACTGCACTGCCCAACTTGCCGCTCTCTATCTGTCGGCATGGCACCGCGGTCCTCGGCGATGTCGTGTACGCATTTGGCGGCTACGATGGGCATCATGTCACCCATGGCTTGCACGAGCTGAGTGTCTCTGCGGCTGCCTTGCCCTCGAGCCCTGTCCCTGCGTCGGACACGAAGCAAGCTGTCGCGTCGCCTGCTGTAGCGAACGAGGTGCTGCCGGTCGTGTCGTGGGCACCGACCACGCCGCTGACGCTGAACGACTTGGTGAACGACCCAAGCATGGCCGACGACCTCGCCGAGATTGACGAGGTGGAGCTGGACGAGCAGCCGAGCGAGCGGTACCGGTTGCTGCACAAAGTGGCGTGCGACCGCGGCTACCTCCAGTACGTCGACCCGGCGTCCGGCTACACGGTCTTCACCGCGATTTTTCTCAAGAAGCGCGCGTGCTGCGGGTACAAATGCCGCCACTGCCCCTGGGGCCACAAAAACGTGGCCAAGAACAAGACGACGAATACGCATACGAACGCGTCCCTCGAGTGGTAGAGAAGGCGAAGCGCCAGCAACTAGATTGATGAGAAATGCATCGGTTAGAGCTCTTCCTTGTAGTGTTCCAGCGTCACAAAGTTGGGCTTGCGCTTCGTCTTGATCGCGTCGACGCCTTCGCGGTAGTCGGCGGTCGCGTAGCAGTTGGCCTGGCTGTCGGCTTCGCGCCACAACGCCCGCTCGAGGCCTTCGTCCTACACAGGTCGATGTGAGCATCCGCCCTATTGAATGCGTCGAACGCACCTGCTTGAGGCGGAGCGACCGAAGGAGGCTGCGCGTCGCCACCGACGACCCGGACGTCATTTCCTGCGCCATCGTGATGGCTTCCGCGACAACGTCTTCCTATACATGTGCTTGAGATCGAGTTGTTCAAGCACGCACCACGAACCTTGGCGACAACCTTGGACACGACGCCGAACTGGTGCGCCTCTTCGCCCGAGATGACCTAGTGCCCAAGGTGAGCCTACACGCAGTAGAGACACAGCAGAGCCAGGCTATACCTTGCCGCTCATGAGCAAGTAGTTGGCCTTCTCGGGGCCGACGATCGACGGCAAAAAGTGCGTGCAGGCCATGCCCTAACAACCAAAGTCAAGGAATGCGCGATCGGCGGGAGCAAACCGGATGAAGACCGAGGTGCACAAAGGTAAAGCCGAGCTTGGCGTCCTTAGCGGCCACGCGCACGTCGGCAAAGAGCGAGATGCACATGCCAGCGCCAATCGCGGGGCCGTTGATCGCTGCGATGAGCGGCACGGGCAGCGACCGGAGGCTGAGGAAGCGGCCGTAAAACTTGCGCATCGTGACACTGGATTCCGTCAACTGCCGATACCAAAGCCAAAGAAGACGAGTAGTACCTGTTGCGCGTCGGCGTGTCGAGGCTACGGCGCGTGAGAAAGTCCAAGTCCCCGCCGGCCGAGAACGCGCGGCCTTCGCCCGTGAGCACGATGGCCGAGAACTCGCTGGCGCGGTCGGAAATTTCCTGGACGAGCTCTATACATGCGCACGAATGTTGAGAGGAAAATGGTGTAGGAATCGGTGTCGACCTTCGACACGGTCGCCCATGTCGGCCGTGAGCGCGTTGAGGCGGCTGGGGTCGTTGAGCCGCAGGATGCCGATCGTACCCTGCTTCTCCAAGGTGACGCAGGAAGCGGCGGCCGACGAGAAGCTGCGGACAGGACGCGCGAGGTGGCGGAGCATCATCATCGTCCTCGGGGATGCGCTTGGCAAATGACGTCCGTCGATTGAAGTTCGTGCTTGAAGTACCACCCTTTCTGGCCCCACACTGGGACATAGTACAACGTGCGGGTGCGCTGGTAGGAACTTTGGTATTGACTGCGAAGCGTTGAGTAACGGTATTGCGGCGACGGCGCGTTGGCCTGCTCAAATGTCAACACACTCGCTGCGCTGCGCAGACTTTTCTGGTCAGCGCGCCGCCGCTGGCTGCAGTTTGCGCGAGCTTCTAAAATCGTACCTAACGGGAAAGTTGCGTGAATTGCAGTCAAGTACGCCTACGTACTTAGTTGAAGAAAATATAATATAATGTCGGGACTACGAGCAGCACTTAATGGGACCAACATCGCACTTCACGGAACATATTCCGCGCGATGCGATTGGCTTAGACTAATGAAACTGTGCTTCATTGGCCAAAATGACTAAATGACTTGAATTATAGTCAATTGGTTGGCCGGATTGACTCTCCTGGGATGCTGGACCTATACTTATATATATGAACGTGTTCCGCGTTATCTTCATTATGACACAAAGACTTCGCATACGTAGCGCTACGTCTGAATGCGTGGGAGTTGGCACCAGCACTTGGTCGTTGGGAGTGAGCTGCATACGGAGAGATCCTTACTTATTTAAGTATACTTTGAGGAGATTGCTGCGCCGATATTGCAATCTGTCGCCCTCTAAACCTATACTAAGCTTATTGGGCGAGAGGGAGAGCTCGGTGCGAGCAACTCCAATCGAAAATGTACTTGACTTGAATTGTGTGAATTATTAACGCGTGATCGTAGTGCAGGACCGGAATCGCGGAGGTGAACCCTATTGGATGCGCCAGAGCACGTAGGCACTGATGCAAGCCACAACCACCTCGGCAGTGGCAAAACTAATGCCTTTCCAGTTGCGGGCGTTGGACGCTGAGCTGGTGTCGAGGAGGAATGGATCGCTTTTGGCGGTTTTCGTCTGGACGCTTGTCATAGCCGAGGAAAATTAGTAAATGATCATCACCTTGTACTTCGTCAGAGCCAGCACTCAGTATCAGCGTGGCCGTAGGATGTCAAACGGACAGACGCACTCCTGAGTGGACATCCGTGACGCCCACGACGACGAAGAGAGCCGATTTGAGCTCTTGTCGCCAAGCCTACATTCTGTATCCGAGCGAAGGTAAAATATCCTCTGGACAGGCGGGCCATCTGCTCCAGGTCTGAGTTCCCAGTGTCTACCAACTCAGACACCATATATTAATAGACGTCATGGTGTCTGAGTTGGTAGACACTGAAACTCAGACCTGCGTTGCCAGCTTGCGTTGCCGGACAGCTCGAACGGACCTGCACAGACTCCAGCGTCAGACGGTGAAGTACATGTCCAGAGCTCGTGTCCAGTGCAACTCGTTATGGTCCCTGAACGAATGTTGGTCGTGTCGCGATCTCAAAGCTGATCCAAGGCAGGGAGAGCGACAAGATCGAGGCACGACATCCTTCCACGCACGTCCCATCTGCCCCGCGTGGGAAGGGGTTATTTAGCTTGTGCGTTGGTTATTCAAAACGAGCCAAAATGTTGACATGTGCCGCGGGGTACCAGTGCGCTGCAGGAGTTCTTTGGGCGCGCGGCAAACGTCTAGTCAGATGCCCGTTCAATATCACAAATGGTCTAGCTCTACATGGATGGCGCCGGCGTTAACCAGGGGATAAAGCGATCGCTCCACTCAGGCGTTTGTTGTGCCCTGCTAAGTTCGCGCGTGTGAGCTGCACGAACTTGGACGAGATCGCGACAGGTGGATAGTTTTATCCGGACATCCGGTGAGGACGCCTTTCAAACCAACAGAGAGATGGCGGCAGCGACATCGCGCACGGCGCAGCAGGTTCTCACGGCGGTGCGCAAGGTGCTCGCGGGCCACACGTACAGCGCGCAAACAATGCAGCGCACTTTCATGGTCACTCTAGGAGAGCCGACGAGCGGAAGCGCGCGGACGCCTTTCTGCAAACCTTCCAGCGCACGCCGGAGGCCATTCCCGTGAGCTTGGCCTTGCTCGCGCAGAGCGACGACGTTCTCAAGGAGCACGAGCACCTCTTCGTTATCAACACCATCTATCGTGCGCTGTGCAGCCGCGGGTCGCGGGACCATCCGCGCTTCAAGTCGGACGCCTCGGTCGGCGCGGCCGAGCTCCTGCGCCCGTGCTTTGCGCAGCTCTGCACGCACATCCATGGATCGATCACCAACCACACGTCCTCTCTCATTGCGAGTCAGTACGCGTGCTGCGTGGCCGTGTGCATGCTCTCGACGACCGAAGGCGACGTCCTAACAACGCTAAGCGCACTCTCGTCAACGGTGTCGCTGCCCAGTATCGCCGTCGACATGGCTGTCATCACGCTCCTCCAGCTGCTGCCCGAAGAGATCCAAAACAAGCGCCTCTTGCTTCGCAAGGACCACCGGGAATCCTGGGTGGCGTCCGTCAAGACCGAGTCGCCGCAGGTGCTCCATACGCTCGAAGGCTGCTGGGCGAGCCAGGTCGCGCGCCGACCCAACACGCTCTGTGCCTTCCACGCCCGCCTCGAAGAGCGCATCCTTGAAACCTTTGGGGCATGGATCGTCCATGGTAAATTGGCCCCCAACGCGATTGCGTCATCGAGTTTGCTTGCTGCTGCATGCGACGTGGCCGCCAAGATGGCGCCCGAGAGCGACCGCATCTTGGACGTCCTTCAAGACATTGTCGGCACGTGCGTCGACGCCTCCTTTGCGCCACTGCTGTCGCCGCTGCTCGCGTTTAGCACGCGCCTCGGGTCCCACGCTTTGGAAACCGCCCACGACCTGCGCCCCGACCTCCTCGTTGCGATCGCGGCGACAGTGGCGAGCGTCGGCGAGCAAGCGCTTGCCTGTGGTCTCCTCTCGCCCAGTGGCACTGCGATGCCCCAAAGCTTCCTCGACATGCTCTTGGCCTTCAGCTCGGTGCACGAGACGGACGCGTTGACCAAAGTATTTGATTTTTGGGTCGCCTTCCGCGCCCACATGGTCGGTGACGGCAGCGACGCAGCGTGCACCTGGGACGCCACGTACATTCCAACGGTCCTTCGACATGTAGTTGCGTCGACGTCGCTCGAAAGAACGTCGGACCCGTCCGGTGACGAGTTTGTGCAACACCGCAAGGAGATGCGCGCGGTCCTCCGGCTCCTCTCGCAGGCGTCGCCCGACGCGTTCCTGCACGAGCTCCTACGCGCCATTTTCACAGCGTACGAGACGCTCACGCCCCCCTCGGTACGCTTCTTTCGGACCGAATGAGGGCTTACGTTGGTCTAGGCGCCAAGCGTCGCACTGCCGATTGAAGCCGCGCTCCATGCTCTGAGTGCGCTCACCAAGTGCATTCCCGACAGCGACGAGACGTATATGCCGCGCTTGCTGCACCTTCTCTCGGCGCTGGCGTCGCCCGCGCGCACGCTGCATGCCCGAGCGCTCCTTCGGACGATCACGGTCTTTCTTAGCGTTGTGCCGACTTGGATTCGGGCGCATCCCGCGTCGCTGCCGTGCGTGCATGACATGCTCACGCTCGCGCTGTCGTGCGCCGAAGACGACCCTCTCTGTGCGATGCGCAACGCTGAAGATCACATTGGCGCCGTCGCGCTTCTCAAGCTCGCGACCACGTGCGCGCCGCAACTGCACCTGGCGGCCGATCGCGATTGGCTCGAGTGCATGCGGAACGTGTACCGCGCGAACTTGCAGCCGACGCCGCTCCTCTCGGACAAGAGCTTGCGCCTCGTGCTCGAAGCATATGCGCGGGTGCTCATGGGCGCGACCCAAGCCGCGTACCAAGCGTCCAGCGTGACCTACTACGAGGCGGGCACCCCGCACGTTCTCTCGCTCGCGAACTTCATGTGCGAGCACTTGGTCGCGGCGCTGCCCCACGCTGCCACCGACGAAGCCGCCCAAACCGTAGTGTCGCTCGTGCTCGGGCATTTCACGACACTCGCGTCGGCGCTGCTCCGCGAGCGCAGCTCGAGTGCTGACCACCCGCTTCTCACTGTGCTTCAAACGCACTGGGCACCGGTCTTCCAGCCGCTACTGACGTGTCACGCTGTGCAAACCAGCGTCATGGAGCTCTTGGAAACGCTCTTCAAGAGCCTTGAGCGGGACGCGGCGCCGCTCGCGACCGCGGTCGTGCCCCTTCTCGTGCACGCGTATAGCGCGACGCGACATCGGTGCGTCATCGATACGCTCCAAGCGAGTTTGCGCTGTGCGTCGCCGTCGTCACCGTTGAGCGGACTCCTCCAAGACGCTGTCTTGCGCATCGTGCAGGACACAGCGCCGACGGCCCTCGCGCCCGACGGCGCCGATCGCCTTGACGGTGTCTGTGGCCTTGTTGTCGCATTTGGCATCCACGAGCCCAAGATGCTCGAGGCGGCTGGCGTACTGCCACCGCTCCTCGCGCTCCTCCTCGAGGCACTGGTAGCCGGGCCCTACCACGTCCTTGCGGTGCTCAAGGTGCTCAATGCGCTTTGGCTCTGGCGAAGCGACGCGATGGCGCCGCTGCATCTGTACGTGACGTCCGTGCTCTCGGTCGACGTGGCGATTGCGATCTTTCGACAGCTCTTGCGCGCGCCGGCCCCGACGACCGACGCGGTCGCGCAGTGTCTTTTGAACGCCCGACGTGCGTTTCCCGCCGAGACGCTGCGCAGCATTGCGACGTCAGCCGTCCACGACCCTGTGTTTGCCAACGTCTCGCATCAGACGCAGCGGGATATGCTCGAGGCGTACGCGAGCGTCGATCCCAAGACCGCCACGCCGCGCAAGCTCGGTCGGTTCGTCAAGCTCTTTCAGCCCAAGCACTAATACACGACGAACAAGGACAAGTTGACGCTAGGTGTAGGGTTATACAAACAGGGTCGATATATAGTAAAACGGTAATTCTAGTAGCCATGGGAGGACGCATAGTCCTTGAACTGCTCCCAAATGAGGAACCCGAGCATGGTGTGGGGACCCGCGCGGATGTAGCCGGCGGCCCAGCCCTTGTAAAGTCCGTTGACGACGCCTTCGGCCGCCAATGTCTTGCGGAAGCAGTCGTAGACGCCCGTGTACAAGGCACCGCGGCCGCGCGCGTCGACGCGCTGGCTTGCGAGGCGCGTCGCGACCACATCAAACGGCTGCATGAAGGCGGAGATGGCCAAGCCACTCAAGAGCGAGGCTAGCAGAATCGGATGAGCCAAAACCTCGGACGTGACAGGTACCGCTAAGAGGGACCCAGACGCTGGTCGGTGCCAAGTCCAGTGCGTCCATCACAAACACTTTGGCGCTCGAGTACGACGCCAGCTGCGCACCCGACCCCACCTAATGCAGCGTGACGATGCTGTCGAGTCTTGGCTCTCTATCGTACCACGATCCGCGCCATTTGACCGCCGGCCCCCCGGTAGAGGCCTGCGACGCCGTCGGTCGCCAGCACTTGGCGAAATCCGTCCGTCTGGTGGATGAAGTCGCGTCAGCGATTGCGAAAAGCGGTGGGTCGTACCAAGGAGCGGTAGTGGTATTGCGCATTCACAGACGCCGTCGAGCTCTGCGCCTGCAGCCGCGTCTTGACGAGGTAGAAGGGCGACCCAACAATGCCACCCAGCACACCTAGTCAATGCCGTGAGACGTAGCTACAGTACATGGACGTACCCGAGAGCGCGCCGGCGACGGCGTTGCGGCCCATGAAGAATGGCGCGTTCGGGTCCGAAGCGCCGACGAGATGTTGGAAAGACTCGAAGCTGCCGAGCCGCAGCCCATTCATGATGGCCTACGCACCAGCGCTTACGATGGATGTATCGTCAAGCGGAGACCGTACGTTGTAGGCCATGCCGGCGGCGAGACCGCGCTGGATGCCCACGACGCCTTCCGTGCGCGCAATCGTGTAGAACGCATGCGCAAAGTTGCGGTACAGCACGCGTCCGGGTGTACTGCTGCGCGCCATGAGCTCGCCCTGCGCATGTTCATATCTTGAGACGATTGCAGCAGTACGATGGATGATGGATTACCTGGAGCTGCATGCGCGTCTTGACGACCTCCATCGGGTTGGACCCGATCGTTGCCAGGGACGTAGACGCGCCACCGAGCACGCAGCTCAGCCAGAGCGCGCGCGTCGCAGGTGCTGCCGGCGCTGTGTCATGCTGCACTTTGATGGCGAAGCCGCGCCGGGTAGTCGCGCAGCCAGCCGTCTCGACGCTCATCTTGGCAAGTGACCCACCATGGTTTATACTGCCACCGACCACATGGTTGCCGTTGGAAGGCTCCCGAACGCAAGTGGTTGCGTCAGCGTCGCTTTAACGCGTTAAAGGGATAGGAACGCGTTAAACTTGAGCACATTGGACGCGTTCCTTCGAGCGGCGACACCAAGGGCGACATGGGGAGCTGCTTCGTGCCTGCGTTGACAACAGTCTCGGCACAACCTTGGGAGACCTTTAGACAGGTTATATAGCCGAGTTAAACGCGTTTTTAAAGCGATTTGCTTGGCTTACGCGTGAGGTCCCATGCATCCTTGGCATGCCACCATGCTACCGCCAACAACAGACCGCCAAGGACCATGACTGAAGGCGATGGTGGTCGAGGTCCATTCGGGCAAGGTCGATGAGCTCGGAACAGAGATGGGCGCCGAAATCGCAAGGAACGATCGAGCTCTGTAGACTAGACGGCTAGTGTATATGGCTAACTAGACCTTTGGAATGTAGACACCACCAGCGCGGGACACCCAAGCTTCTGGCTCGGGTTTGTAGAAAGGATCGACTTGGCGCATCGGGCTCGGGCTTCGGTTCATGTAGGCGTCGTGCGTCCAGTCCCGTTTGGACACGTCGACATACGGGCGACGACTTGCGCCACGGCTGCGGCTTCGACTCCGACTACGTCGTTGTTGGCGACTTCGGCTGCGGCTTCGACTGCGGCTTTGTCGATGGCTGCGGTCTCGGCTGCGATCTCGGCTGCGACTCCGACTGCGCTGGCGGCGAGGTTTTCTAGAGCATATAACCAAGATGAGCTCATGATGCAGGGCTGCGGCCGAACCGGGCATGATGGCGGTTCTCGTCCATCTAGTGTAGTCATGTCAGATTGAGGGAGGAACACCTGGAATGACGTACGTCGGGGCGAAACGGGTCCTCTGGTGGGAGGCTCTCGATGGAGCTCACCGACGACGTACTCGAGACCGAGCTGGATCGCTGGCGCTTGGACGGGACATCGCGGCCAAACTCGTCCACCTTGGTCTTCTTGTGCTTCTTCTTGTGCTTCTTCTTCTTCTTCTTGGCCTCGCGCTTCAAGGTTGGGTTCGCCGCTTCCTCCTTCATGCGCCGACGGAAGGCCAAGGCCTGCATCTCGGCCTCCGTGTAGCCGCCGGACCACTTGGCATCGGTCGACCTAGTTCATGCATCTTCCATCGTTCCATGGACCTCGGCGTCAGCTCTCGCCGCCATCGACGTACTTGCCGCTCATGCTGCTTTGCCTCGAAACTTATAAAGGTATCTGTTTTTAGAGTGTATCGGGGCAGAGAGTGTACTTGAATATGCATTCAAAGAGGTCTAACGGCCAGGTGGTGCTTCAACTTGGCAAGATCCAGCAACCGAGCAGCAACCCAGCAGCAACCGAGCAACCGGCTGAAAGCTGCTCATGCGACTTCATGCTACGACAAGGTAAATGGGTGCATCGCCCTGCTCTGCTGCGCCTTCATCCACAGTCACGACGTCGTTGGCTCTGTGGCCGACGACTTCTGGTACTCTGCTGCGGCGCATCTACTAGTACGAGGGAACCCGCCGACGGTGAGCTCATCGCCCCACGACAAGACTCCAACATCGCATGCAAGACCACGTATTCATAGTTCATAATCGCTTGGGCAAGCCGCCGAGAGCGCCTACTGCTGGTCCGAGCGGCCCGCGGTAAGCGCGTCGAGCTCGGCCTGGCTCCACGCAGGCAGCTCGTACACGACCGCCTGGTCCCAGATGGGTTGCACCGTGGCCATTTCGGCCGGGCCGGCCGCGAGCACCAAACGGTGCGCCGCGCAACGCGGGAGAAAAGCCAAGTCCGCGGGCGTCTTGCCCTTCGTGTCGACGAGCACGTGGAGGCTGCCCCAAAAAGTAATGTCGTGCGTGTGGGGCAAGTTCTCGAACGTATCGTACTCAAAGACGCCATTGAGGCCGTCGTAGAGCACCGTGTCGTCGCCGTGGAGGTAGAGCACGCGGGGCGTCTTCTGGGCGACGAGCTGCCACAAGAGATACACGAGGCAGATCGACTTGCCGACGCCCTCGTCGCCCGTGAGAATCATCATCTTGGTGCCGACGAGCGTGTCGACGACGTCAAAGAAGCACTCGCGCAAGTAAAACTCGGCCATGTCCGTCAAGAGCGGGTGCTGCACTGTCAAGGCAAGCCACGGACCATCGTCGGCAAGCGCCGCGTCCGGAAGGGCGACGAAGAACGGCGTGCTGCTGGGACGCTTGGCCAGTTGGTCTTGGAGTGAGCGGGTAATGGCGTCCTCGACCGCGTCGATGATGGCGGCCTCTTGGGCCGAGGGCTCCTCGCGGTCGGCTCTCGCAATCCGGCGCGAGCGCAGGACCCACTTGCCGTTGACAAACTCCATCCCAAAGCCAATGGCCATTCTGCTGCTGTCTGTTGCAAAGGCTGCGAATTCGAGAATGAAGACAGCTTTCAACTGCGTGGCGATGAGATCGTGGCGTTGGGACAGGCCCGTTCGATATTCTGCCATCCGCGTCGCTCGTGCTGCCACGTCATCTGTATTTTCAGGCCAAAAGAATGGAAAGTCGACGGGTTGAAGAGCCCACTGCTTGCCGCCTCCTGTCGAATGCCATGGAAGCATACATGCATTCGTTGGAGGAGGTTAGCTACTACGTGCTGGGTCATGGACCGAGTGTTGGCGCAGTTGTGCGCACGCCGCACGTGGCCGCCGCCATCGCCAGCTCGGCGGCGTCCCAGTCGGGCAGCGCGATATGCGTCGTCGCAAGGGCACAGCGCGTTATCGCCGACTGGGCCACACGGACGCTGTGCACCTTGCCAAACGGAATCGCCGCCTGATCGGTAGCAGTCGTGTCGAGAAGCACCCAGAGATCCAAGGCCCAAAACACATCGTCTGTCAAGGGCGGCAGCACCTCGATGGCGTCCACGCCGTGTAGCGGATCCAGCAGCACGACGTCCTCGTTGAAGAAGACGAGGACGCGATGACGTGTCCACACGAGCGTCCAGAGGAGGTAGATGAGAAAGGTCGACTTGCCCGGCCCCGTGACGAGCACGGTCGGCACCACGAGGATCTCGGCCACGAGCGACCGATAGATCGACCGGACAAAGAGACGGGTCGAATGCGAGCCTGGTATTGGCTGCAAGAGCACGAGGTGTTGCTTGGCCGGCTCGGCAATGTTTGCGAGCCGGGCGAGATCGAGGTCCTTGTAGAATCGAAGGGCCGATGGCTCTTCCTGGACCGCACGCAGCTCTTGCTCGAGCAAAGCAATGCTTAGTGGACTCTCGGGGCCATTAACGTGCGGCAGCAGCTCGTGGGCGCGCAGGAGCCGACCGTCAAACGTGTGCACCGAGAGGTGCAGCGGCGGCATCGTCGCGTAAAAGTCGCGCTTGACGACGGTCGCAAGGTCCTCTGCGTTCATGCAAGTCGGCGTCGCCACGAGAACGGGCACCGCATCGGGCAAGAGCACCCAGAGTGCGCTCGGCATAGCGAGTTGGCGATAACCTGCTGGGGTGAGGACGGTCGACGAGGGACCCGGCTGTTACAATGCGTGAAGCAAGAGACGACGGTGGTCGTATATTCAAGAGTGATTCAAAAGAGAGCCTACGAGCCGAGGGCTGAAGAACACCAGGAGATAGGACAGTTGTAAAGCTGACTCGGATAAGCAAGAGCTGCAGAGAAGTATGCTATTCCTTGTTAAGCACACCTCTAAGCGTAAGCTGGTTATCCAACTTCAATCTGGGCTGGCAAGGGAACGACCATGGGTCAATAATAAAGATTGACCCATGGGTACGACCATCGTGGGTTGTACGGATACAACCGTAAGTAGCCCGGTTAAATACTGTATCCGTATATAATTCCCCAGTCCAGTTAAGACCGGCGTCTGCTCTGTCTCGCGGCCCAAGCAGCCACGCCATCAGCCAAGAATGGACCAAAGACACGGCCTCTTGCCTCGCACATGCGAGCTACAACTAGCTGCCTAACGGGTAGTGGGAGGGATACGTATGTAGTGAGTGGCGTAGGGTCAACTGAATTAGCTCGAAGCATGAGCTTCTACATTTGGCGGCTGCGCTCCGAGGTGGCGATGGTCACGCGATCGACGCTCGTGGCTCATCATCGTTGGAGCCGTAGGTCTCCATACGTCGCGTTGGTAGGATAAGCGCTCGCTCACTCGCCACGCGCGGTATGACCAAACAGTGCGCAATCGGGCGGAGGAGGCGGCTCATGAGTAGCTGCAGCGTGTACGGTCTCGTCGTCTTGGGCAGGACGCATCGCTGGACGGCGCCTTCTACATGCTCGTTGACGCTCGGGATCATTGGGTCTGGTAGAGGGCGCAACTGCAAAGGCGTTGCCCAGTGGCTAGCGTACGCGGCGGGCACAGCGCACTTCAAGTCGAGCTCGGTGCCGTCATTTGCCATGAGCACAAGCGGTCGCCCGTCCGTCGAGAGTGCAAAGTGGGCTTGCGCCGCATCCCGAAGCTGGCGCATCGACGCACGCCCAACGGTCGCGACCTCGATCGCCTCGTCGCGGCCGTTTGTGATCCACACACCCATGCCCGTTCCCAGCAGCCCAAGGCGGGTTCTGCGCAGCTGAAGGTTGCGCGTCGATGGCCTGTCTGGTTGATCGGTCTTGACCGAGGTCGGTTAGCCTCGCTCTGGACCTCATGGCACGTGGCAGCACCTCTCGCTGCTGTGGCTTGCGTCGACGTCTGCGCTCGTGCAGGCTAGTATGCGACGATGTCCTTGCTCGGCGCATGGCTTCGGAGATCGCAATGAGCAATCAACTGACCTATACCAAAGGCGACCATATCTTTGCTACCTGCGTCCAAAATTGAAAGACGGCAATCAACTGACCTTTTCCAAATCGCTTCTTCAACGATTAAAATTACATTGCGTGTTTGTATGTAGCACGCCATTGTATTCTGTTGAGGAAGAAGATATCGCGAGGCAGCATGAAGACGGGCCTCGTCCTCGGGCTGCTGCATGGCCTCGGAGCAACGCTCTCGGCGCTCGTCGTCGAGATGCCTCCGCCGGTCGTAGCGCGCGAGGCCATGAGCGCCATGCGCCTCATCAACCAGACCGACGTGACCAACGACATTCCGCAGTTCGAGGCGATCATCAAGGCCGCGTACGCGGTGCTCCAGGCCAACTACGACGACCAGATGCACGCGACCGCGCCGGGCGCCATCGAGAGCATCGGCTTCCAGCACATTGTATGCATGCTTCTGTCCTCTGCGCTCATCGACGTTGCATTAGAAAGCCCATGATGCGCTGCTGGCGGCGCAAGCGATCGCCCACCGCAACTTTACGATGGCCACCAAGCAGTTCACGTACGCCAAACAGCGTGGCAGCAATGGGATCTTGACGCTATGTTAGGGCCCTCCTGCGCCATCAATGGAGCAACGGATTCATGCCCGATGTGATTTACGGTCCGTCGGTCAGCGCCTCGTCTGCCTGGCTGGCGACCAACAAGACGTACTACCCAGGTCCTGCGTTCTGGTCGATTTCGGTACTAGTACCTGTGTACGCCACGCAAGCAATGTAGCAAATCACAATGTAGGAGCACAACAATGACACGAACAAGTCGCTGCCGACGTCGGGCCTCCTCGCGCCACCGCTGCACGCGGAGACAGCGATGCGCATCTTTTATCTCGCGCCGCTCGACACGTCCATGGGCACGCCCGTGTACACGGACGACGCCATGGTCTTCCTCTGCGATGTCTACTCGCCGCTCCGGCGCTTCCACGACTACTTGTTCTCGTCACGCCAAGCCTCGAACGACTCGCTCCTCGTCCTTCGCGTACCCGATCATCATCGTGTTTGCTTGTCCTCGGCCTCATTCGTTGCCTACGTAGCACCCTTGGGAGAGCATGACGAGTGTCGCACCTGGTTGGAAGGATGCGTTGGCGTCCGTGAAGCTCGCTGCCGACTATGCCCAGGTCATCAAGCGTCTGAACGTTCCTGCGACGGCCCAAGACGCGTACGTGGCGGCCGCGTCTCGGTTCTACCCCCGCGACACGTCATTGGTGAAGGACCTCTACGAGCCAATGCTGTACCTCGCGAACTGCTTTGTCCGCGATGGCACTTCTGGGACGACAACAGCTCCTTCCAAGTACACTTATCGAGTCGTCGTAGCAAGGAGTATCAAGTTGAGGCATAGGTGCGCTACGGACGTGCACGTGTTCGATGTCGAGTTCAACGCGATCGTGTTGCGGTCGTCCGAAGCGCTGCTCAACATGGCGACATTGCTGCTCAAGCACGCGTCGCGGTCGTTGCGCTTCGACTGCAAATACGGCCTTCCGCACGCCCACGACATTGACGCGCTCCAGCGATCGGTTGCAGCGCTCAAAGCCCGGCTGCAGTCGCCACTGCCCGACGGTCTTTGGAATGCGTCGGCGCAGGTACTTTGATCCTACTTCTCGCGTGTTGACATGTATGCTGCGCTAGTATTTCCAGAGCAGTCACACCACGTCGCCGACAGTCCAAGGCTTCTTCCCGCTGTACGCGACAGCGCTCAAAGGTCTGGCGTAGCGATGCGTCGTATGTAAGCAGCCACTGACGCACTGGCGTAGACACAGTGCAGATCGGCCTCCTCAGTCATATTCTACCGACGCCCCATACATTCAATTTCTTTTGCGACTATTTTCCCATGGCCGTATATCCCTGCCGTACGTCCTTGGTCATCGTTCAAGCGTTGGACAATATTGTGTGTGTAGAAGACACGATCAAAGATGTACCGCGCATTACACTGCTTGTCCACAGCTACGTTGCCTATCGCGGCTTTCTCAAGGTCAGACTGACTCTGAGGCGACGGTGACGGAGCGTGAGCTAGAATTCCTTCTTGGGGGTCGCTCAAGTGCTCTTGCAAAAGACGTATGCGCTTCTCTCGTCCGTCGACACGTTTCATTTCTGCGATGAATTTGACGCGACATCCGGTGCGCCGCTAACGACGACAACCGGCCTCTCATCGACGCTCGCGGCGTCGGTTGCCATCAACATGGGCCTACCCGACGGTAGATGTGACCAATTTGATCGATCACGGATGACACGCCGACGTAGCGACGCAGCCGCCGAGCCCCGACACGCCGCCGATCAACCGCAAGATGATTCTGATCGTCATGTGCATTGAGCTCGTCGTTGCCATGGGCGTGGCGATCGGCTGCGTGGTCTTTTCGATTTACTTTGTCGTCAAGCGGCCTCAAGAAGTGGCCCCGCGCCCGGCCGCCGCCTCGACCCCCAACGTGCGCGTCTCGGACAGCGCGTCGAGTCCCAACAGCGACCATTTGGAAGAGTCCTTGCTTTCAGAAGACGAAGACGTTGACGTACACGCGCCTTCTCTGGTCTCGTCTCTGACGAACGCTGTTTCTAGGAGTATGGCTCATTCCTCGCGTCGTCGCCGCGCGAACCCAAGGGCACGTGGTCGTCGATCAAGTCGTTTGTATCGAGCATTAGTCCGTGGGGGTGATGCTTTTGCCAAAGTGGTGTGCTTGGCGCTTGCGCATTGCCTCCTTTCGCGCACGCCACCCGCTGTATTTGGAAAAATTCGTTTTCGCGTCCAGCACATGCTCGAGCTCCGTGTTGCGCACTAGGGTCTCGGTGATGACGCGCCTCTTGTAGCGTGAGGTACCTTCGTAGCGCTCGAGGTCGTCGCGGTGGATCCACTCGAAGAGCGGCACGACGTACAGCGCGTTGTTGGCAAAGCCCGAGAGAAGGCCGGCTTGGTGCTTGGCGTGCCTACGCCCACTTTCCAGCGCAAGAATGGCCCGGACGGACGTACCGGATCGCGCTCTGCGGCGTGGGGAACGTGTGGTAGACGTGGACGTGGACTTGGACGTCGTCGTGCGTCCAAGTGTTGGGCAAGCCGACGCACGCGTAGCGCTGACTGCTCACGACCGGGTCGCACTCGCGCTTGATGAGGAGGCCGACCGCGTGGGTCTCGGCCAAGACGTCTTTCCACGCCTTTTCTTGTCGCGCATCGACCGCCATGCGGCGCTGCGACGCCGGCGTCTTGGTGTCGCGAACACTGGCGTCGGGAAGCACGGCACCGTGCTGGCTGCGGAGCACCATAGTCACGTCCCCGTCCTTGAAGAGGAGGAACCCGTTGACGTCGAGACCCCCCATGGGCTGCGCCACGTCGATGGCGCCAATCGAGTGGAAGAGCTGCAGCGTTGGCTCGATGGCCTTGAACTTGCCACAGACGCGGAACGCGATCGAGCCGAGACCGTCGACCATCGGCCGCGCGTAGCCGACAAGGGCAAACGGGTGCGGTACGCCGTGCAGCGGCTGCCACAGAAACTGCCGCGTCGCGTGGTTGAGCGGTGTTGCTGGCGACGACGCACGCAGCGGGTTGAAGTGTGTGAGTGGCTTGTCCGTCTCGTCGTCGTCGTCATCAAGTTCGTCCAAGTCGTCGGGAGCGATAAAGGCGTCCTCGGTGTGCTCCAACGCGAGCACGTTGGCGGCTTTGGACCCGCGGTGCTTGGCCATCGTCGGTGATAAGAGCGAAATGCGCCGCTGGCCGTGCAAATGAATATCGCTGTCGCGCTTGGCGCGTGTCGAATGCGGCCCGTTGCTCGTGTGCAAGCGCCGCGTCGTCGAGGGTAAGCTGCTCATCGAGGCCGACGCCGTGAGCCGAGGTTTGGCGTAAATATGGAGCTCGCCGACGGGCAGGAGCGGCCGGCCGTCGAGGCTCATGGTTTTGGGCAGCGGGTCCAGCGTCAGACTGCCCGTGTGCCGCTTGAGCGACGCCAACGGCTTGAGCGACTCGGCGAGAAACTCTTTGCGGTACTTCTCCCACACGATCGTCTTCATGACGCGGTTGTCGAGGGACCCGAGCTGCTCGTCCGAGCCGCAGCGCTGAAGACTCGCGCGCGCGTCGGGCGAGAGCAAGTGGAAGATGTCAAAGCGCGAGAGCACGAGCACCTACGTACGCACGCGGCGTCAAGCCCGCCACCCGACGGCATTTCGCCATACCTTGACCGGGCTCTCGGCATAAATGGACGCATGGCGCGTGAAAATGTCGTTGAAGCGGCCGGCGGTCGCCCTAGCAGACGCTGTTGAATGAGAGAAGAAGAAGACGAGAGAAAGGCGTCGTACTCGGCACAGCCAATGACGCTATTGGGCCCGTACCGAGCGACTTCAATGACAATGTCCTACGTTTCGGGTGACGTTGAACGAAGCTGGCGGGGCACGCACCTGCTTGGTGAACGGGTCGAGCGTCTGGTGTTTCGCGACGCACTCGCCGCGCACAACCACATACATTTCACCGGCGCGCGAGCCCTACACCGCAAGGGTATAGTCAATGCAATGGGTAGTACCCACCGACTTGTTTGCAGATTTCCCCGCGAAACGCTATGTACTTTTCGACCATGACGGAGCACATGGCCTCGATCGTCGCCACGTCCCACTCGGGCCCCGAGAAGACCGGGTTGCTCTGCAAAAGGCGCACGTACTCGGTGTGGCTTTGGTTTTGGTACTTTTGCACGAGCGGTATGTACTCGTCGCGGCTCAGCGTGAGCAGCTCCGAGTAGTCGGTGCTCGTCTAGACACCGTAGCATGCATAATTTTGTCGCTGAAAGGCCTACCACGGTCGCCCGACGGACGCCGTTCTCCTCGGACAAGGCGAGTTCGCCAAAGGTTTCGCCCTCCTTGAGCGTCGCCACAACCATCGAGACCGGCTCGTTGCTCCTGCGAGAAGGCGGTAAAAGGAAATCGGAGTTGGCAATGCGCACCGATTGGTCGTCGACACGCGGACCTCGACCGCGCCGCTAAAGAGAATGTAAAAGTGGTGGCCGCGCTGGCCTTCTTGGAAAATGGTCGTATTTGTCCAAGCGCACACGAGTCGAAGAGCTTTGCAGAGCTGTTTCCGAACCTCAAACGAAAAGCGCGCGAAAAATTTGACGCTTTTGAGGTACTCGACCGCAAACTTGAGGTCGCGCTCGGTGCGGTCGCCCGCGGGCTGCATAAAGATGGCGCGGACAATGTCCTTATTCGAGCGAAAGCGCTTGGCGACTTCAAGCGAGATCTCTTTGGCAATGTACATGTCCTTGGGCTTCTCCCGCAGAATCGCACTGTACGCAGCCTTGTCGATCGACGCGAGCTCGACCAGTGGTGTTAGCGTCACGACCGTCGCTAGCGTCCACTCAAAGACGATCTGCAACTCCTTCAATACCTTCGCGCGGGTGCGCGTCTTCGCCGTCGCCGACGAGCGCACGGTCGCCAAAGCACTCGCCCGGCTCGAGGTCGCAGAGCACACGTTCGACGGGCGGATCGCTGTGCTTGCTGAGCTTCCGAACTTGCACTAGAGCAAAGGTGCCTGTGCATGGGACCGGTTTGCTATGGTGGCTACCTTGGCCCGACAAAAGGACGTAAAACCGGTCGCCGACGTCGCCCTAGCCGTGTCATATGACTGCATGCGATGTCTCGCGATTGCAGTACTTGACGAAAAATGGGCGTCTCGACGGCGCTGAACGTCATGAGCTCGAGCGCCTTGTAGAACTCGGTTTCCTTGTCTATCACATGCCGTTTGTACAACAAAGATGCGCGAGCAGCGAGGTGCGTACGCGGGTCGAGGTGGCTGCAGTGCTTGCCAATCTTGGACGTATGAAAAAACACCTTGATCTACACACGAAGGTTGAGGATGCGGTGGACTGTGGCGACTTGGCTTGCAATATGAACGTCCTCGAGCGTACGCTCGGCCGGTGGCGTCATAAGAAGCCGCCGGCAGTTGACGACGGTCGGTCCGTTCTCGGCCACGACTGTAGCAAACGCCTCGGTGGCAAGCTTGATCTCAAACTGCGTCGCCAACGACGCCTTGCGCGATTCGTCCTCAGTCTTTGCCTTGGGCATTTGGGCTACAATGGCTAGCTATTCATAGATCGACTCGTTATTTTATAGGTCTTGGTCGATAAGACAATATTCGTATGAGGTGTGTGGATTGGTGAGTCAGCAGCACAATTCCTTGATTAAATGTCGATATATGAAAGTGGAGCTCATATCATTTGCTGATATTACGTGACTGGCTCGGACATCACCGCCGTCGTACTCGCTTCGGTGATGGCCTCTATGGCCACTTGTGTCACAAGAGGCTCCTTGAGGCTCCTGGGCACCACGGGCGTCGCTTCGACGGCGGGGCGAGAGCTCTCTTGAGTGCGCATGTGCTCTTGGAGCACCGCAATGCATTCGTTGCAGCGGCGCACATGGTCGTTTGCTACGTTGCCGGCAGATGCTACGTCGGACGCGATGGCCTCTGCGTGAGCCGCCACCGCGCCGGCATCAGCGTCGTTTCGGAGCTCGTGCGCCACGAGGTAGGCGCGCACCCAGAGACTGCACGCCCACATGGCCACACTGACGTTTTTGGCGGTCGTTGGGTCCAGCATCGGGTCGTTTGCGAGCGCAAGCACCTCGGCAATCACCGCACACTCTCCTTCGAGCACGCAGACAAAATCAAAGCCAACGAGTTCGTGGGCAAAGTGCGGATTCGAAAAGAGCTTGCGCTTGGCGATCTCCCAGTAGTCCAGTGTCGGCGCTGGATTCGGCGCAAGACCCAGTATCAGTACCACGCACTGCATGACGACGGCGCAGACCCGTGGCGGTCGGCTGAACGACTTGAGCTCGTTCACGTCGTTTTTCGTAAGTGACAAGAGTGCATTGGCCGACGCGTTGACCGCGGCTTCAAGCTGCAATCGCTTCGCCTGCCCCAATGAGCTCGTCGGCTCACAGGATGCTGCTGGCGTAGGCTGGGACGCGACGACGTCGATGGCTTCGTCCAGAGCCGTTCGTCCCGCGGTGTTGCGCCGTGTCACGTCGGCGTCGGCAAGCAGGAGCAATCGCACCATGTCAACGTTGCCAGCGCGGCACGCCACGTGGAGCGGCGTGTCCCCGCCGACCATCGGCGCGTTGACGTCAGCCCCGCGCCCGAGCAAAAAGTCACCGACCAGCGGTGAGTTCATGTCGGCGGCGATGCCCAGCGGCGTGAACGTCGATGTCATCAAGTCGACGTTGGGCGAGAGCGCGAGTACGTCGACGATACCGTGCAGGTCACCGTCTTGGCACGCGTGTCGCGCGACACCGACAAGGAGGATCCCGGCAATGAGCTGGCGGACGCGGTCGTTAAGCCCGTCAAAGCCCAATGGCATCGCCTCGATCGCGGCAAAGATCGCTGCTTTGTCGTCCGGATTGAAGGCCTCGGCGCGGCGCGCATCGAGGTGCTCGACCGACTGCAAGACAGCGTGGCGGTTCTCGCGCAACTGGACGCGGTACAGCGTCCACTGTTCCGTGGGCATGGCCAGCGCCACGCTCGCCTCGGCCTGAATGGAGGCGTAGAGCTCCCAGAGGCACCACGCGCGCGAGAGCGGGATTGGGTCCAAGAGTGGTGAAAACACCAACACGACCTTGCCAATGGCGCGAATGGCCGACACAAACGTCGTTGACCACCACGTGTGCGGGCGGCTCGGCGCGTTGTGCTGGTCGACGACGAGCAAGTCGAGCCAAAAGTACGGGTACTCGCCGCCTTCGGTGAGCGCGAATATCTCGATCGCTGCGACGAGGTCCACGAACGCGTACTTCCACGCATGAGATACGAAGTGTGTCGCCGGTGCGACCGCTGGCGCCGCCAACGTCTCGGCAAACGATAGGTTGCGGCCCAGCGTCGCGGGCTTGACGACGCTTTCGCACACATCGCTGGTCGTCATCGACGGAGACAAGTGTCCTTGGGCGACGAGCTCATCCTTCCAAGCCACAAGGCTCGCCGCAGAGACGCCAAGCGATGGAAACCCAGCGTCCGCCATCCCGAAACGGTTTGCCGCTGCCACGTCAATGGCATTAAATGTGGCGTGGCGCCATTTTTAGATCGCTGCATTGGAAGCACATACAAATGACAAGTGTATGTTCTGGGTCAGATGGGTGCTTTTTATGGCGCGGATGACCTAGGTTGAGGCCAAAAAGTCCTAATTTGACGCACACCCGATTATTTCCGAAGAATACGCTGGACGCGGAGCGATGGACGAGGCCAAGGCCGACGAGTACGCGGCCCAGCGCCGCCTCGACGAAGCCCACGGCCTGCGCGACGACTCTCTCATGCATCTCTCTTCGGCGGACGGTGGTGGCCACGCCGAGTCGGCCGACCACGACGGCCAGAACGTCGAGGACATGGAAGAGTTTGACGAAATGGAGTTTGTCGAGCTCAACCGCAAGATAGCCAAGCATACAAAGGGCGGCGAGAAGATGGGCAAGGTCATGAAGCCGCTTCGACCGTCCAAGTGCCCACTGACGAGCGAGATGAAGACGACGCGCGCAGCGTCACGCGTCATTGAGCGGCTCGGTATCGAGCGCGTCCAGGAGATTCAGACCGAGTACGCTGCGCTCAAGTCCAAGTTTGGCGAGCACGAGTACGAGAAGGCCAACACGATGATTCGCAACCTCATGGCCATGGGGCTAAGTCAAATTGAGATCCGGGGCATCCTCGGCGTCGGCGGCTATCGGCTCCAGCGACTGTACAGGTCCGTTTTGCCATCATCCACCTTGGTCTCACGCATTACATGTCGTAGCGCGCAGCTCACGAAACCACACGAAGGCCACTACATTAGCGACGCAACGATCCACGTGCCCGTCATCTCGACCATCCCCAACTTGTGCGACATTGTGCTCAAGAAGATGTCGTCGTTCCCGCAGTTGCTGGAGCGCATCACGTTCACGCCCATCAACCCGTCCGAGATCGACCCGCAAGACACGATGCTCATGAAGCTCCTCGAAGACTCGCAAGTGCTCCTCGGGGACCCGAAGGCGTGTCTCAAGGTCCTCCCCGTCGCGCGCAATCTCAAGTGGATGCAGTCGACATTTGCCGGCGTCGACGCGCTCTTGCACCAAGAGAAGCGCAACTTTGCCCTCACGCGCGCCGGCGGTATCATGGGCGTGCACATGGCACAATATGTCCTCGGGTAAGACGTCGTCCTGCATGCCTCCTATATCATTTTGCTGCAGGTGGATCATTGCCAAGGAGCGCCATTTCATGCACGCTGTGCAGTTCCAGGCCAAGCGCGAGTTTCGGCCGCTCGAGATGCGGTACCGGCACTTCAAGGAGGTGACGGTCGGCATCCTCGGCTTTGGCGACATTGGCATGGCGATCGGGAAGCTCGTGTTCAACGCCGGTTTCCGCGTCGTGGGCCTCAAGCGGGACATTGCGCACCACGCGGGCATCGACTGCGGCATTGACGTCTCGGAGAACTTGGAGTACGTCTTATCCCGCGCCGACTATGTAATCAACGTGCTCCCGAGCACGCAGGCGACGCGGCACTGCCTCTCGGGCGACGTGCTCCGGGTGTGTGCCAAGAAGAAGGCGTGCTTTATCAACGTCGGGCGCGGCGACGTCATTGACGAAGCGTCGCTTGTGAACGCGTTCAAGCGCAAGTGGCTCTCGAGCGCGGTCTTGGATGTATTTGCTGTCGAGCCGCTCCCAATTGACTCGGTGCTCTGGACCCACCCGCTCGTGACGATCACGCCGCATGTCGCGGCGCTCAGCATGGCCGAGGACGTCGCGGATGTGTTTTTGAAAAACCTCTGGCTCTACCTCTCCAACTCGACGCTGAGCTACTTGGTCGAGTGGGAGCGCGGGTACTAGGACTCATATCTGCAGCGTAATTGGAGCGTGTATTTGTGCAGCACATTTACGCCATCGACTTCATGCATTTCGAGCCCAGCGATGTGATCATCTTGCGGCCGTACGGGATGTAGCTCGCCGAGTACCTACATGGAGTCCTTTGCAGGTTTGTGGATCAAGAAGCGCGTACCACACAGCAGCGCCAAACTGGACCAGCACCAAAAGAAGAATGAGCAGTCCAAGGTTTGGTGCCTAGACCGTCGAAATACTTGGAATCAACGCCAGATGCCAGACGCGAGTACCAGAATTGCGAGTACGAGGACGAGCACGATCATGCTGATGTAAATAGCGGCAGCAATACGACGCACGGGCTTCATCATGAGCTTCACTTGCTGCGCCGGACCCACGAGAAAGCCCGACCTACAGAATGGTCATTCGTCGTGCTCGTTGCCGCGCGTCATCGTCCATACCCGCAAAGCGCAATGATGTTGCCGAGCGAGTAGAGAATACCAAACTTGGCGCCGTTGCGCGACCCAGCCAAGAGCGCAAACGTCGACTAGGTTCACGCAGAAGCATGAGGCGACAGGTATCGAGCCAAGCGGCCGTACGACAAAGCTAATGACGTAGCCAAGGCCAAAGCAGATACCAAAGCCGATCATGCGCTGCTTCTTGGTGAGCTTTTGGCAGCCGCAGCCGGCCTCTTCCATGGCCGAGTCGCTTGCGGTCGTGCCCGGGACCTTGATGTTGGCGACGGCCGTCACGGCGCTCGACGACGTCCCGCCCAGCATGATGCGCACGCGGTCCATGATACCGGAACGGAAATGTAAATTTGGGTCGCTGGGTTGTTTTGGCTGTTTCAACCTCCAGCCCATTTGATTCGTAGAAATGCACTGCAATTCAACCAATCTCAACGCTCTGATAGACTTGCAGGCAAGCGATTGGTGCGTTTGGCCACGTCGAGCTTCAAAGCTCTGAATGCACGCACATCTTGACCCTCCCGTTCGGTCTAAGGAGGGCTGTGTTGTCCTTATACTCGTCATATAGCGCCCTCTCTCACTCTAAAATACGTCCTATTGAGCACTCCAGTCTTATGGGCTTTTGCATTGAGCAATGTGTCCTTGACCAACCACGTTCCTTGCTTGAATGGCGTGCGTTTAGCCAGATGGAATTGCACCATGATTGGCCATAATCTTAGGATATGCTAGGGGATTGCCCAATCCGCCGCCAGCTCCATGGGCATCTACGGCGTCGGCGTCGACCTGGTCAAGACCGCGCGGCTGCGCCAGTCCTACTGCGCATACGGCGACCGCTTCCTGAAGCGGTATCTGCACCCCAAGGAGATTGCCCACTTCATGACGCTGCTCGCGGACGACTCTGCGCAGGGCGTGACCAACCAGACCCAGTTCCTCGCCTCACGGTAACGTCCTGTGCCACGGTCGCGCCGCCTGCCACTCGCATTTTCGGTAGGTGGGCCGTCAAGGAGGCGACGCTCAAGGCCTTCAAGTCCTGGCGCATCCTCTTTCCTGAGGTCTACGTGGACAAGCAATGTGCCGCCGTGCCGCCTCACGTCGCCGCCACGTCAGGACTTCCGCCGCGCAAGGCGTCACCGGTCGTGCCCGTCCTTACGTTTGACGGTACAACCCACTCGCTCGCGTCGGCGCTGGCCATTCAGGTAGACACTACAGTATTGTCTGCTAGTCTTGTATATATATATGTTTATGGTAGCACACGCACGTGACGATTTCGCACGACGGCGACTACACGGTGGCGACGGTCGTCTTGGAGACTTAGAACGACATCTTGCGGCCCAGCCCGTCGTAATGCGCGTGAATGAAGCTCATGATCGCATCGAGCGCCGCGAGGTGGACGAGCGCCGACGTATCTTCCGCCGCGTTGGCAAACAGCGCGGTATGCGCCGCCTGCGCGTGGGCTTCCGAGAGCCGTCGGAAGGTTTGGAGCGCGTCGCTCATATTGGTGGCCGCACAGAAAGTCGTTTTGAACCAGACGCAGACGTTGCGCTCGTCGGCAGCCGCAAGCGCACGCTCATACCGGGCCATGTCGTGGGCGACCATGCCTTCCCACTCAATGTAGCGGCCGACGCGCTTGACAAAGTCGACGCGGCCATGCGTGAGCTTGGCGTTATCGAGCGCCACACAGTCGATGAGGAGGAACATGGAGGCTTGCCACCGCTTGGCGTGCTTCTCCATGTAGGCCGCGAACGCATCGCCTTGGGCCAACGTCGTTGGCGGCGGCACCCAGTGCGCAATCGAGTCGAGCAGATGGCACTGCTCCTGGAGGAGCTCTTGCTGCAGGAGCGGGCTCGACACTTCTTGCTCCACGTGGTACGTAAAGACTTGCCAAATCGAAAGCAGGAGTGGGAGGCCCGTGCTAAGGAGCGGGTCGTCTTTCGCCGAGGCAAAGTGCGCATCGGCCCACGGGCCGGCCTCTTCGACGTCGGGAGCGAGCAAATTCGAAATGAATTCGTGCACGACGGTCGGGTGCTGCCGCTGGAGCTGGTACGTCACGACGTTGAGGAGGATCGAGAGCAGAAGGAGCTTGTTCTGGAGCTCGAGGTTCGCGCGCGCATTGTCGGATGCTTCGTCGACCACGATGACCTTCATCTGCGCCAGGAACGTAAACATGCGCTGGAGCTGCAGGTACCCCTTGTCGCCAAGCAGCTGCGTCTGGATCGGCGTCGTGCCGCTCGGCTTGGTCACGACGATTGTCTGCGGCGCCGAGAGCGACATGAACGCGAGGTTGACGCTAATGGGCTTGGCCAAGCCAGGAACGTCGACCTCGACGTAGAGCATGCTCGGACGGCGCGGCGCGGTCGGCGACTCGGCGAGCGCAATGTCCTTGTAGACGGCGTGGGCCGTCAAGTACGCCTTGGCTGTCTCGATGCTGATGCTGCCGCGTGCCAGCATGTAGGCTATCGTATCAAGCAAGTATCAACAAAGATTCCTTTGACAAAGCACATGGCGTACCGCAGAGCTCGGTCACGAGTTCGTTGGGCGCGCCGGCCGCGACAGCAATGTTGCGCGCGTGCAGTGCCATGTGCCCCTGGTTGATGCCCGTGATGGCAAGGGCACGGACGGCGGCAAAGTTTTGGGCAAGGCCGACGCTGACAAGGATGCCCGCCAGCGCCTGTGCCGAGGGACGACCGAGAATCGCATGCGTCGCCGCGTACCCTGGGTGCGTCTGGAGCGCGCCGCCTTTCGAGCCGACCGACATGGGCAGCTCGAGCGTCCCGACAAGCTTGTCGCCGACGATCGCGTACTTGGTCAAGCTCGTGTACTGGCCGTGGCGAGACGCATAGCAGTGCGCGGCAGCCTCGATCGCGCGCCAGTCCTGACCGGTCGCAACAGCGGCAGCGTCAATGCCGTTGAGAATGCCCTTGTTGTTGGTCACCGCCCGGAACGGGTCGTTGATCGCAAAGTCGTTGGCTTCGACGATGCGGCTGGCGACCGTCATGCCCGCCGCACCCTTCCAGCCCAACGACGCAATCGGGATCGAGAACGACGACCGCGCGCGCCGCGCGACGCAGAGGTTTGTGAGGATGCGCAGGCCGGCGCGGGAGTGCGTAATGCGCGCAACCTCGGCCGAGAGACCTTCGGCGATCGTGTTGACAATGTTGGCGCCCATGGCCTCGCACACATCGACGTCAATGTGCACGACGAGCGTCGCCGCGTCACCGCTCGGGCGTACGACGAGCTCGTCATCGTAGCCCGCGTACCAGCCAAAGGCCGTCGACGGCGCCAACGGCGAGACCTCGCGCGCGTAGACGTGGAGCACGCCGCCACCACGGCGCTTCATGTTGGCGCACAAGTTGGTGTTGGCATAGTCGACGAGGTAGTCGCGGTGCGACGCGATCGCCGCAATCGCCGCGGGCACGTCCGCCGTGTCGAGCAGCTGGATCTGCGACGTCATAATGTTGCCCGATGTCTCGGTGTGGAAGCCGCCACCGTAGGCCGCAATGAGCTTGGCGGCACTGGACGCGGCCGCGACGACCGACGGCTCTTCGACGGCCATGGGCACCGAGAGGCTGCGGCCGTCAATCACAAAGTTGAGCCCAAGACTACGAAGCAATCCACCATGAGTTGCAAAGATATAGAGCGTAAAATAGTGTACCCGAGCGGGATACCAAGGACGCCAATGCAGTTTTCGATCATGAGGTTGGCCGTTCGCGATGGCAGCGCGCCGATCTCCTCGAGCGCCATGCTCGGGACATGCCCGATGCTCGTCTTGCGCGGGCGCAGCTTGGGCGAGCCCATTTGGTCGACGTCGCTACCACGGCGTGTGTGCGACGGCAGCGCCGACGGGTACATGAGCGAGAGCACATCGTAGCGCTCCCGCAGCGTCTTGTTGTAAAAGCCAGACCAGATCGACGGCTGCGAGTCGGGCACTTGGTCGTCTGTAGCCGTCGGCGCGGGCGTCAAGGCGCCGTAGCCGACCTGGCGCGCTGGCCGCGGGGCGGCGGCGGCCTTTCGTAGCGCCGACAGCGTGGCTTCCAGTTTGGCCAAGGCCGCGTCGACGACGGTAATGTCATTGGGCGAAGCGCTTTGGAGCGCAGACAGGGCGCCGTCCAGCGCGTGCTGGGCCGTGCCAAGAGACTGGAGGACCATCGAGGAGGTAGTGAAGTGATGTGATGCTGGTCGCCTTGGGCCGGCCTCGCTATCCGGATACCAGCTGGGATTCGCGGGCGGCCATTCGTCAAGACGCGATGTATCTCGGATGTATCTGCCCACTGTATCCGGATGACCGTTACTTCAAGCGACAGCCAATGAGACGACGAGCGGACCGTGATTTCGACCAATCACAGGTGGAATAAACGACGAAGGCGTAGAGAAGCGCGGACATGTCCCCGGGCCCCCTCTTTTTTACTGAGGTTGAGAGTGGCATCGAGAGACGCGTGTCGTTGCCGGCAATGGCAATCGCCGCAAGCGAGGAACTCCCTCGTGGAAGTCGCTCGCCTTCTCACTGCTATTTCCCGCGAACCCGCGCGAAGATAAACTCTCAATACGAAACGCTTTTTTGATAACGTGGCGCGCTGCCATCACACCTTGGTTTGCATAATTCATGGACAATGCTACATAAACCAAGCGCTGTCGGTGAAGCCGCGCTGCAGCTGGAAGCGCCGTGTTCCTGCGCCAGACACGGGCATAATGCTATGAAAGACGGCAACGGGATCGTCGGCGGTTGTGTCGTCAGTGATCGCGATGCTCGCATCTTCAAGCTGCCGGTCGAGACACGAGCCGAGGCTGAGACGCACGACGTGCGTGGCGGCGCCATCCTTTTTACATACAAGAAAGCAGTCGACACCACGTTGCCCGAGGGTTGGGTACTGCTTGTAGCGAGGGTTCGCCGCAAAGGCCTCGTAGATGGACCCGCCCGACTCGACAACATCGCCATGCTCCGGCACGAAGCAGCGCACGAGACGAAAAAGCGTGCGCTCCTTGAAACCATTATACAGCTGACTGGCATAAGACGTCGCACGTCGAGCTGGCTGGACGACGCCCGATGGAAGAGGAAGAAGAGCGCTGCTCACATGATGTGCGTCCGTGCTTGTACGAGAACGGCGGCGGCCAAAGCCGTAGACGAGTGGGATGCTCCCAATCATGATGGAGATGGCGATGCAGCCAAGCGCCACCTCTTGCTGGTGCTCTGGGTCTGTCATGGCGAGCACTCGAAAGAGCCAAAAGTAGAGGCCCACGAGAGGGGTGTTGGCCTGTACATACAAGAGCGGGATGGCGAAGAACGTGACGCCCATCGCCATGAGCGTCTTGTCGACTTCGATAAAACAGTGCTCCTTTCGCCATTTCTTGAGTACTTTGCCCACGAGACAGAGCGCTAAGTAGGCAAACCACACCTATCAAAAGGACAATGTCGTCAAGATGGAATGTTACGAGGTTGGGTTTCGAGATAAGTACCGTGCGAGAAAAGTACAAAAACGCGATAAAGAGGTAGTAGACGTCCGAGATTTGAGTGGCCCGTATCGCGGCGATACCGACGTACTCGATACTGAGCCACACGTCAATCGAAAACAAGGTGCACACGACGGGGTCACGCAGCACGATGGACGTCGGATCGCCCATGACAATCTCAAAGCTCCAGTCTCGGCTCGGTCGAGGTACCATGTGTCCGTGGTGCTTGACAATGTGGCGCAGCTCGCCGCAAAATCGATAGTAGCGCGAATACGACATCCAAACCACAAAGCCAATTAAACCAACGCGGTATACGAACTTGAACCAGAGCCAATAGTGAAATTTCGGGAGCTGGACCGTAAACGTCAATGTAAAGACGCTTGTCGTTGGTGCACTTGACGCAATATCATCGCCACTCGTGAGCCAAACGCAGCCTTGGGCCACGACAAAACTCAGAAGCGTGACGCACTGGCAAGCTCCGCGCTTATGCCAGCGCATGGCGTCACTCGCGTTGCGGTGGTCAGCGGCCGCAAAAGCGCAGAGAACGTCCTGGTACGATGGGGCGTAAAAGAGGACGCCGGGCTTGCTGTACAGAAACGAGAGGCAGTCGGTCACGGGCGCCATATCCCGCATGTCCAAAAGCGTTCGAAAGACGTCGGTACGCAGTGTCACGTTGCGGTAAAACGCAGGCCGATTGGCAAGCCCCGTACTGCTAACGAGGTCCAGCGTCAAGTTCAAGTACGCGATATCGTACGCCGACGTCGTGTCCCATGCTGCCACCGGCGCGCGCGCTCCTTGCCACGGAAAAGCTTCCGATATGTACGCCTTGAGCGGCTAAATGATCCTAGTCAGAGAGGGCACTAATGCCAAACTGTACCATGAGGGTGATGTTGAGCAGCATGAAGAGGCTCGTTGCGATCGAGACGCGGTTCCATGTGACCACATACGGCGGTCGCGTCGCCAGCGCACAGCTCTGGACGCTCGGGCTCACACGGACTGAGCTACTTGGCATTTGCGCAACTCCTGTTTTTACATATCTCTAGCGGTTACACCGCTGGTCATGACGTGGCACGCTAAAAACCAATGGCGCCGAAAATTGGTACACGAAACGGACACCCGCGCGCCCGCGCTATGTCGACTTTCTGCATACACACCGACCGGTCAAGTTACTCAATCGCTCCCGAACGCGTTCACTGGCGGGGTCGTTGTCCTGTCTCCACGAGGTAGTACCCGCCAGGTGAGTGAGGCCCTTTCAGTGCCAGAGCAAAGCGACGCAGCTTTGGCAATTCCACCAGCTAGCAGTGGTATTAGAGCGACGGAAGTGCGACCCACTCGGCGTTTCTAAGCGCGCGCTCGGTGCCATAACGTCCAAAGCTACTCGGCAGCAGCGCTAGCTGGGACACTGGTTTGCCAGAGCACAGAAAAAAATTCGCCGCGAATAAGTCGCTTCGCCCTATTTTCCCTGCTGTTGTCATGCAAAGAGACACCACTTGTGAGAAAGGGCTTGTCATCGCGTTCATCTTGACGTTAAATAGACCCAGCACAGCCGTATGTGCATCACAGAGATGGTCAAATGTAGGCTCGTGAGGTCACAGAATGCACAGTTCTACCAAAATCACATCAACACTCGAATCTTGTCGGTCGCAAAAATGGACCTGGGTTGAGCTGAATGAGGGTGTAAATGTGCTTTTGCACACTGGCTAGAAGCGCGTTGACGACCGCCAGCAACGCGTAGAGCTGAAGTGTAGAGACTTGAATCATCTCGGTATACGCTTCAAATGCCAGCACAGCAAACGGAAGCCACACCGTCTAGGCAAAATGTACGAGCGATCAACATCGTGGCCATGTGTGTACCAGTGCAACGATGGCGTTTTGCAGGCCAAAGTACACGGAGAGCTTGCGAGAATGCGCTGCTTTGAGCAGAAGGTTGGCGCGGAACGACCGCAAGCGTGACGTGCGCGTCAGGAGCGGCCAGAGCGTCAAGGTCTACGACTGCGTTTCGGACGCCATTGGATCCAAGCACCAGGCTACCTGAAGAGCAAAGACGGCCCAGAGAATGCAGCGCGACACCATGTCTGCCAGTGAAGGGTAATGCGATCGGTTGAGCGCGTCAAAATAGTTGGCGACGGCGAGCACGGCGCCCATGAGCCCGAAAAACACGGGGATGAGCAGGAAGCGAAAGTAGTCAAGTTGCACGAGCGACGCGCGGCGTGGCCGGGCGGCTTGCACCGGCGATGGCGGCGCATTGGGATTCGCAGACGACGTCAGTGCGGCGCTGCCTTCGAACGCTCTAGGTGTCGCTGTGTCATTGGCCTTGACCGGCGACTTGCCGCCGTACGCTTGGAGTCTATGCATCCTCTCAGCATGTGGGCTATATGCACTTGCGCGTACCCTGCGAGCGCTAACGCAGTTGCAGTCGCAGTGACGGTCGCTGCCACAGGCCAGCGTTGCCGGACCGCCTTCGCCGCTGTTTGCATCATCGTCCTTTCCCAAGCAGAAATGACACTATTTCCGTCGGTAGACGTCAAATATAGAATACACAGCAATAGCGTACCCATGGGGTCTTCAGCCAACTACGTAGGTGCTGGTGGAACAACGAGAATGCGTTGCTGTTAGTGTCGTGCACGTCGCATTGTCTTTGGCAGGAGTGACATGCACGAGCATCTCCCGACGGCGTCGCATCGATGCTCGACAACCCAACTCTATTTCAAACCATAAAAATTAACGCTATTAAAACTACTTCGTCAATTGCATGTTGGTTTTTGCTGCGCTATGGAGGGCGAAGGTATTGCTCTTGAGCTCAAGACTGAGGCTGTACATTCCAGTGCGAGTGCTGACGTCAAGCTCTACACTTATAGCATCGAGCCGTCGCCCAACACGTTCGAATACTATTACTACTCTCACAGTATTTTCTTGCACATTTCTGGAAATAGTCTATTGTCAGCGAAAGGTTGCGGCCAAAATGAAGATCGTTGCCTTTGTCGTTGCCATCGTCGCGGGGGCGTCCGCCATTGCCTCGCACAGCGGCGCCTTTACGCTTGCGCGGACGGCGTGCGACGCTAAAGACTGTCCGCATGGCGGCTGCTACTTTCAAGACTGCGCAACCAGCGTCTCGTGCACCGGTGGCGTCTGTGATTTTCGGTACATTTGCCTCTGCCAGTGTCCTGGCATGCTCATTGAGCTGCATAGGAACTGCGTGGCGCCGATTTGCCAAGGTTTTCGTGCCGTTGTGACTGCTGCAAGCTTTGTGATGCCATATGAGTAGGCGGCCGCTGTGGCTTTCTCGGGTCGACGGGGGCGACCTGCCCGGGCGGCAGCTGCGCCTTTCTGGACGTCGCCGAAGCCTTGACCGATGGCTACTGCACTGGCGGTAGCTGCACGCTCGATAATAAGGCCCACCCGACATCGTTCTCGTCGTCACTGAGCATGTAGCTAATGCCAAGAATGCCCACATGTACCATCCATGTCATTAGTTGTTGCCTGCGTTAGTACGAAATGAGCGGGTGAATCGGCCACACTCTCTCCGACTCGAGCTCGACCGTGATGGGATCCCTGTAAATCGTAAGGTACTCGTCCAGCGTCATGAGTTCCGGGCTCTTGGCAACGAGCTGCACGAGCTCGGCCGATGGAAACAGCACTTGGTCGCTGTTGCTTGGCGCCGCGAGGGACTTTTTGATGTTTGCCTACTCCAAGTGTTAGCATTGACGCGGTTAAAAGGAGAGCACAGACGGCAGGCTGTGTCCCGAGGCGGCGCGCGAGCGTCACGAGGTTGAAGAACATGGTGCTCGCTGCTTGTGGGACGTCGCTTTCGTTGGCGTCGTTGGGCTTGCTGATCGAAAGCTTCTTAAAGAACAAGCTTGGGATCAGCCGCTTCGAGTTGTCGTCGCAGGTCGCGACCACCTTGACGTCCGAGACGTTGGGGAAGTCGTGGAGCGCGACGCAGATGTCGGTAAAGTGATCCGCAGTGGACTCGATGAGCACGACGAGCGCACCGTCGAGCATAAAGACGAGCCCGGAGGCGTCGCAGCTGAGACTCTGCAGCGTCTTGACGAAGAAGTCTTGGATCTTCTTGGGACCATCGACGTCCGTGCTCGAGTACGTCCCAACAAAGCACGAGCGCGAGTAGAACGTCGCCTTCAAGCTCGAGAGGCTCATGTTTTGCATCACGTCCAGCAGCGATGGACCGAGGATGTCGTCCTCTTTCATCACGTCGGGCAGCGCCATGGGGCTACCCTCTTCATCCTGCGTCGTGGCCATGGTGGCGCCGGTTCAAGATACGGCTTGATCTTCAAGTTTACCCGACCAAGTCGGGTAGGAGATCTAGAAAGCGGACAGGTCTCTGTGCAATGGAGTTGTTGTGTGCACATTCAACAGCTTTATGGGCACGACGCTATAGCACAAGCCTGGTAATGCTGCAAGTATTGCCATGGCGATCAGCATCTACGTCGGTACACGATGTCGCGGGCAAGGCGTGTCATGTCGGCTATAAGACATATTGTACGGAAGTGGCAGTTACTCCAGTCCCGCCACGGGTAGAAGGGCGGCCGCGTGCGTCACGGCGCGATGCCTCCCGACGCGGCAAAAGATCGGGCGATGCTAAAAAACATGGTACATCGAAGCCGACGGCGCCTCGTGAGCGTAAGTGCCGGCCAGCCCCTGCACGATGTGCTGCAGGAGTCCCCTCCAAAGCCACCCCCTTGCACGCCCCATCCGACCCCGAATAAAGCCACTCTACTCACACCGCAGCGCAACTACGTCGCTTCCGTGCCTTTGGAGCCCATTTCAATGAGCGAACACTATCAGCAGCTTGTGGCAACCGAGAGCCTTCGCGGTGACAAGCACATTCCTCGACGCCGAGCGATGCGAGACAAGGAGCTGGGCGACGTGCGGAAGCTCCAGCACATTGTGAAGAAGAACAGTCATCGGCGAAACGCCGGCGTGGCGACCTCAATTGCACAAGCCCACGAGCCTGAGAGAGTAGGACCCATCGAGCCAGTGCGCGCGGACCAACGCGGCGTCCGCCCCGTCAAAAAGATCTTTCAAAAAGCGGTGCACAAAATCATGGCCCAACCAGAGCACCAGCATGCGGCGCACCATGCCCACAGCATTCACTTGGATCCGCACAAGTGGTTTGAAGCCCTTCGGGAGAGCGTCGAGGCGCCCACAGCCACAGCGTACTCATCACTTCGATTGTATCTTTTCGGAGGCGCCACTGGGAATGACTAGCCTCCAGCCCGCGCTGGCCCACACAAAAATGGAGCCCATGACGTACGGCGCCACGATCTTTCTCCAGTCAATGTCGACACACACCTGTCTTTTGCTCGAAGACGTGCACGGCAAGAGTATACGCAACCGAACGGCGCCCGACGACCCGCGCCCCGGCTCGTGCTTTCGACTTGTACGTCATCCCAACCACACTTTGACTTACATCGACTATAGGTAGACTTTACAAACCCGACACGGACGGGGGCGATCCACGATGGCGATACCATTTGGCTGCAGCTCGTCGGGCCGCAAAAGCCGCTGCATCCGTCCACCAACGACGTGCTCGAGGATTATGTGACCGAACGTCAGTTCTACTTGGCGCGATCGACTGCCCCCGAGCTCGACTACTCGGGGCCGACGCCCGAGGTTCGTTGGCTATGCGTGGCTCGACACGTGTAACGCGGTTGTAGCTTTTGGTGCTCGCAAGCTTGCTGGAAGTGAGCGTTCCTCGACTGAGCCACTATGGCTACGATGCATCGCTCGGTGACCATCTACGGTCGCTGCCGCCACCAATGCAATTAGCGCAGTGGCACATTCAGCTGTCGCCGTCCGCGCTTTTGCGCGACGATCCTTTAGAAGGTGCGCTATCATTTTCCATCTCACCTTGGTGAAGAAGGCACGTTGTACTAGACGACGCACTCCGCCCAAGCGTTCATGCCGGCGGCTGCCTGCGCAACTTTGCCATCGTGCACCTGACACTCGCAAGCGAGCATCTCGGGCTCGAAGTGAATAGTGCCTCCGAGCGTGCCGTCCTTGCGGTGCGATCGATATGGGTTCGAGTGTCGTCGTTTCAACGTGTCCGTAGCCGCCGCGCGCCGAGCGCAACCTGGCCGAGTGGCGACTCTGCCTCTCGGAGCGCGGTCCATCACCGCCACTGCAAAAAGCGTCCTCCACGAGCAGCTTGACCAAAGCGCATATGAGTTTACACAAGAGCCGCGCTCGTGCCGACACCTTTAGCCAGCAACAGTCGCAACTCGCACACGCACGGCATCATTTGCACGAGGTATCCATTCTATTGTGTCGCTCTAAAATGTGCATTGATCGTGGTGGTGTAGACCAGCTGCAACCACTTGGCGCTCGTCGACAAGGCCAAAGAAGACAGTGCGGCCACGTACTTTATTCAGAGACTTCATCAAGAGACGCTCAGCCCGTGAACGACTTTTTGGTTTGCTTTGGTGCACGTCCATCCGTCGAATATATGGACCTCGCGCCGAGAAGGGTCAACAAAAGTGGACGGTGAAGGTTATGCTACAGAGCTCAATGCAAGAAGTATCGACTATTTAAGCCGCGTCGTCCTCGGCGTCGTCAGTGGCACCGGCCGCTTTTCGGTCTTGGATCGCCTTTCGCTTGCGCTTCTTGCGCTCGCGCTGCGCGTCGGTTTTTTCCCGCTTGCGCTTGCTGCTGCTTCCGTCGGAGCGCTCAAAGTACGCGACAAAGAAGCCGTTTGTGCCATCTTCCAAGCCGTTGGCGCGCACGAGGCAGTCGGCTTGGTCGTCGCTCAAGCCGTCGACGACGACGCCGCGACGCGGCCACGTTGGGAGCGCCTTTACGAGGTGGAACGGCGTGCCCGCGGCCTGCGACGCCTGGAGCGCGGCCACGACAACGTCTTCGTTCTCCTTTTCAAAGATCGAGCACGTCGAGTACGCAATGCGCTGGACGCTCGGAAATGAAAAAGCTTTTTGAAGCGCCTCGAGCTGAAAGTCGGCGAGCGCCTGGAGCCGCGCTTGAACCTCGTTGGCACTTTCACCTGCCTCGCCATTGCTCGCTTCGTACTCGTCGTCGGCTTCAAAGCCCTGCTTCATGGTTGCGAGTTCCAAAAGATGGTCGAGCCGGTTCGACATGCCCGAGCCCGAGCACGACGGATCGAGGAGGATGCTTGTCACGTTGGCGTACTTGGCATCGTGCACGTTGACGTCCAGAAACGACTGCAAACACGGCTCGACAATCTTGTCGGCACCCGCGCCCTTCATGCGCCGCTTGAGCAAGTCGAGGCGCGTCGCCGACCGGTCAAAGGCAAAGACGCGGAGCGGGCGCGGCGAACTCTTGCGCGCCACAAGCATCGCTGCGTGGCTCGTCTTGTTGCCAGGCGCAGCGCAGGCGTCAATGACGTCCCCGAGGTCGTTATGGCCGCGCTCGCCCTGGAGCACATAGGCCGAGAAGCAACTGGCCTTGTCCTGGAGAATGAGGCGGCCCGAGACGACGCTCTCGTGCGTATGCAGCTCCGTGCCCGGCGGGAACACAATGAGGTCGCCAACGTGCGCGTCAACTTCAAACGAGAGGTCCTCGGGCAACTTCAAGGCGGCGCGGATCGCAGGGACAGAGTCGATCGGCTCGGTCACGCGGAGCGTGTTGATGCGGGCGTAGCGCGGCAGTCGCTGGGACTCGGACATGCGGTTCTCTTCGGGCAAAAGTTCTTCGTCCGTCTTGACTTTGGCCTTGATCTTAAGACGCACGAGCGCTTGCTTGAGTGCATTGTGCTGCGTAAGCACCTGCTTCTTGACAAAGCCGCCACCCTGGATCTTCTTGTCCTTCCCAAACATGAGATCGTAGATCGCAATGTAGTAGAGCGCTTGCTGCGACGTGGTCGGGCCGGCCTTCTTGGGCGGCGCCTTGCCCGAGGCCTTGGGCGACTTTTTGATGATCTTGGTGAGCTCGGGCACGGCCGCAATGAGCTGGTCGAGCAGCGGCTTGTAGCGCAGCGTTTGGCACACGAGCGCAAAGCAGTTGCGCTTGGACTTGATCTTATCGGCGTACGTGAGGCTCTTGAGGCCACCGCTGTGGCGGAAGAGACCTTCGAGGACACCCGCGGCCTCAGCGTAGAGCGTGCTCATGGTCAAAGTAAGATTGATGCACCAACCAAAACCGTATAATGCATCCGGATAACGTACCACGGGGTGGAGGACGCAAGGGTTGCCGTCAAGCCGCTTGGGCGCGCTGCGCACTCGTCGAGCTCGTATTGAGAAGCTTTCAGGATGGTGCTCCGCGCATGAGACGCTTGAATAGTCTTCGCTACCAACATGGCTTCGATTTTGCACCGTTCGAGGTCTGCTTGCATTTACACCTCTACGTGCTTCCAGGCGATGCGAGCTTAGAGAGTTTAGGTTCGCTGTGCACTCACTGCATGCAGATTTGCTTGTCTTTGACGGTGAGCCCGCACGCTCAGCTTGGATCTCTCTGCCTGCGCCGACATCGCTTCCGCGGACGCGAAGCTCGTTTCGCCCAAGGTGCGAGTCTGTTACGCATTGCCATCGTCAGAGGCTTCCTGTAGACGGTGTGCAGCATCCTTGGGCATGCGATGCCAAAGGTGAACGTGGTCGTGGACTCCTCTGCAGGCTGCCGCCTGTTCTGCGGAGGCTGGCCGTGGCGCTGACCCTTCAACGTTCAAAATCCTGTTTTGGAGGGAACGCTGGACTAATAATAATATTAAGAAAATCGAAGTGATACCTCAAACCTGTGACAATAAATACCCTGTAATAATATTGAGGTCGCTGTCATAGATGGCTAATATGAAACAGATGTTAAACCTTTGAAACATGATTTGCTGCGAGTATCGACTTTGGATTATTCGAAGCATGAGCAATTGAATATTTCGCGGGCGACAAATCCGACAATGGACCAATCACAGACGTCTTCGGTGTCTTTTTGACCAATGAGATGTGCTATCCGGTGCCGGAGCCGGAGTTGGTTCAGTATTTTTTTGGCCTCGTCGAGCACAGTAAGAATCGAAGAATGTCGGGCATCCCTGTGGGCGGTGGCAAGGGCGGCAAAGGCGGCAAGGGCGGCAAGGGTGGCAAGGGCGTGACCTCCAAGAAGGCGCCGCAGTCGCGCTCGAGCCGCGCTGGCCTCCAGTTCCCCGTGGGTCGTATCCACCGCTTCCTGAAGAAGCGCGTGGCCAACAACCAGCGCATTGGCGCGACGGCCGCCGTGTACACGGCCGCCATCATGGAGTACCTTACGGCGGAAGTGCTTGAGCTGGCAGGCAACGCGTCGAAGGACCTCAAGGTGAAGCGCATCACGCCGCGTCATTTGCAGCTTGCGATTCGAGGTGACGAAGAGCTCGATACGCTCATCAAGGCCACGATCGCTGGCGGCGGCGTTATCCCGTACATCCACAAGTCTCTTGTCGGCAAGATCATGCCCAAGAAGAAGCCCATGTAAACACTCTATCTCTGCCCGACGCGCCGTCGTTGGTCCCTCATTTATCAGATGCATCGCGTCCGAGCGTCGATGCTGTTTCTAGTAGTGCGTTAATCTGCAATGAACGCCCATTCACGTATGCTTGCATCTTCATAGTACAGGTCGACAACGCTCTTCATGACGCTAATATACTTCTTACACACATTACATTCGTGCTACTCCATGTTGATGTCCCACACGTTCTCATACGGGGTTGTCAGCTCGTCTTCGTCGTCGTCGACGCGGTACAGTGTCTCCTTTCGAGATGACGACAAGCACGGGGCATCAACACCACCCGAGCTGTCGTCGTCGTTGTCGATAAAGTTGAGGTGCAGCCGCAGTGCGCGGCCAACGTGTGTCATGGGCGGCTTGGCGTGCTGTTGGTCTTCAACAAAGGCCTTGACAGACGACACGACCAAGCCGCCCCACAGCACGGTGCCAAAGAACGCCCAGAAACGCGTGTACGCCTCGCCGTGCCCAAGGCCGTGCGTGAGGTCGCTGTTCATCTGTGCATGCATGGCCCGTGTCGTGGACGCGTTCTGCATGCGACTCAAGAAGACATTCATGTCGATCGAGTCCATGCGTGACGTCGCCACAAGCGCACGCATGTACAAGCGCTGCGCCTCTTGGGACATGGCAAAGCGCTGACCGTCGACGCGCTGGACGACGAGGCTCGGGTGCACGTGGCTGAGCGCCTGGAGCACGCGGAGCTGGCGCGTCGCGTCATCCGGATGCAAGTTGGCGTCGGCGACGAGCCGCTTGAGGTGGTTGTTGGTCGTCTGGGCGAGCCCGCGGAGGCCGAGGAGACGTCGGTTCATGGTCGAACGATATTTGGAAACTGCGATCCAAGCGGATCTGGGCCGTTTGGGTCGATGAGCCAATCAGAAACGCAGTTTTTGAAATCCGAAGAAACCCCGTCGAAGACGCCACCTTCTTCAACTTGAGCTCGTCTTCTTCTTTGCGCCATCATCCAAACGTTTACGATGTTAGCTACTCGTCGAGGTCATCAAAGGTCGGCCACCGCCCCTCGCGTCCACAGTATACAAGAGCCTGCCTTCTTGGCACCATGTGCCAACGCAGGAGATGTCGGGAGGGGCCTGGAGGCCCAAGATGGTCGTCGAAGCCGCGGAGATTTAGCATGCGTGGTGTCTGTTGACATCCCTTGCGTTTCAGCGCTGATCTCGTGTGCGACCAGATGCAGAATGATGGTTGTCAGCGTCTCTATGGATCTTCAAATGTGGTGTTTCAAAACGGAAAACTCGACAAAGGAAGCGGATAGACATCACAAATTTAGACTTTTTGTTGTTGACAATAGAGCCCGTTCATGTTGCTCACACGTCTGGTATTTGACAGCAAGTGACCATGCGCCTGTGTGGACTTGGCGACGGTAGTACAGTGCACGCAGCATGTTGAAGCTGGCTCGGCAAGATCGCGCATCTGATGCCAATTGAATATCCATTTGCAGAGGTAACCCGTGACAATGGATTGTTTCAGATATCGAATATAGCCGGTAACTGCGGGTATTTATTTTAAGAGGAAAACCCTGTTTGAACTTTCAATCCTCGGCGGCGGTGGACGAGGATGTTCTTGGAGAAGCCGTCGCTAGTCCGCCACTCGAATGCTGCGGGTCGAGGTCCGTGCAGGATACCATGCTCGCTGCCTGCGCCCGCTTATCATCATCAGGCGTATGCCATGGGCGAAAGCTGCGAGCTCGGCGCGATGCAGCTTCAACCGCAACCTTACGTTTTTGTGGCATAGACTGCGCGATCTATGGCATCGACGCGCATCCGACCGAGCCCAAGTTTGCGACCGCAGGCGGTGGTACGGGCCAATGCAGCACTGTGCGAGGTACTTAGCACGCTCTGGTGTAGACAACTGCGTCAAGATCTGGTCCATGACGCCGTCACCAGATCAAGAAGGGCCAGTGTACGAGCTCTTGGCCACGTTAGCCTGGCACGAGCAAGCAGTGAATTGCGTACGCTGGTCCCACAGCGGCAAATACCTCGCGTCGGGCTCGGACGACCACTCAGTGCTCATCTACGAGCTACAAGAAGGCGAGCCGTCGGCGGTGCCCTTTGGCTCGAACCGAGAGCCCAACAAGGAAAAATGGGTCCGCTGCGCCATGCTCAAGAACCACACGATGGGTACGATCTTCGCTGCTCTCCAGATCCAACTTAGCCCGTTCTGTAGATGTGCAGGACGTCGCGTGGTCGCCGGACGACCGCATGCTGGCGACGTGCAGTATCGACAACTCGATTTTGATCTGGTCGATGGACCAACTCTCGGCTGTGATGACGCACCCGATCCAGCACCTCACAGGGCACAATGGCTGGGTCAAAGGCGTGGCCTGGGATCCCGTTGGCAAGGTACTTCTTCTATCGAGCTACAGCATGTCGCAAATGCGCGAACACATAGTACTTGACGAGTGCTGGCGAAGACAAGTCGGTCATCGTGTGGCGCGTGGATACGTGGGAAGTGCGTTCCTTCATGTCACTAGGATAGCATTCGAGAATGGCTCTAGATTGAGGAGAAGATTGAAGCGCCGTTCGAGCACTGCGCCAGTACGTCGCACTTTCGCCGGCTCTCGTGGGCACCCGACGGCAGCCTCCTCTGTGCCACCCACGCCCACATCGTACGTGGCTCATGCGTTGGCCTCTATCGAATGACGCGTCCGGTAGTCCAAACAAGACGTCGGTGCCTTCATCCAGCGCAAGTCGTGGGCGAATGACGTCAACCTTGTCGGGCACCGGGGCGTCGTGACGTGTGCCCGCTTCAACCCGCGTCTCTTTGGTACGTCCATCGATGGCTGCTGCGAATGCTAAGGGATGAGTAGCCAAGACGGCCAATCAAGAATTTGCGTGCTGTGCGCTCGGCGGGGATGACTGCACCGTGACGATTTGGCTCGCACACGTCGCGCGACCGCTCGTGGCTGTCACCGAGTGTTTTGACGCGTCCGTGACCGATCTGAGTTGGTCCCACGACGGCTTTACGCTCCTCTGTGCGTCCTTGGACGGCGCTGTCTGCGTCTTCCAGGTACGCGTCTCGATCATCATGTGCTCTCACGCGACACTAGCTCACGGCGGACGAGCTCGGAACGCCCATGACACCGCAAGAGCAGAGCCGACTGTTGCAGCAAAAGGTGGGACGACCACCTTTGGACAGGTCGCAAATCCTACGGTTGTCTAGTACGGATCGTTGGCCGGCCGAACCTCGGGCAGTACGTTGATCGAAGACCCGCTGCAGCTCGAGGTACCTTATTTGCAAAAGAATCACATAACGAAGTGGTGTTGCAGCTAGAAGCACGCCAACAGCAAGCCGCGCCGACGCAGTTGGATCGCTTGGCCAAGCGCCTGACGCCCCTCGGCGCCTCCAACGCGACGCTGGATCTACCACCGACCGCGTCAGCCCCGACAGTATTTGAACCGGCGCCGGCACCAACTGTGTTTACGCTCACGGCGCGCCCCAAGACAAAACCATCGGACGCACCAACGCCAGCCAACACGCCCGTCTCGGTGCTCGTGCCCCGTCCCAAGAGCAAGGACGCCGTTACGACGCTAGTCGCTCGGCCCAAAGTGCTCAAGAAACCCGAGACGAGCAGCAAGGAGGCCGAGGACGAGGACAACGAGCCCATCATCAAGCGCAAACGCATGCTCGAGACGACGCCCAAGCCACGGGCCAACGCCAACACACTCCTCGTGTCTGTCACTTCGTAGTGTCGTCGAGGATTGCTTATCTGAGACTAGGGTCGATGTCGACGACAAGCAAGATGTCTTTCCTGAGCTAACGTCGCGGGCGCTGTTCACGCACACGATTGCGCTGCCCCGGGGCACGACCCGCGTCCTCGAATGCAAGCTCGGCGACGACTACTCGTCCATCACGTGCACGGACGCGGGGGCGTGTCAGTGGATGGACCGTCTGCCTGGCGTCGTCGTGCGCATGGTCGGCAACGAAGCGTTCTGCGCCTTTGGCACGACGGACGGCAGTTTGTACGTGCTCTCGGCGTCGGGCCGGCGTCTCTTTCCCTGCATTGGTCTCTGCATGCATCATGTCGTATCGCTCACTGATACATGGTGTAGCGCTGGGCCATGAGCTCGCAGCGCTGGAAGTGAGTCCGCAGACCTCGCCGTACCTTCTCGCGATTCTTCGCAATGGCGACGTCAAGACGTGGAACGTGCTGACGCCGCGTGCGGCTGTGACCACGTCGCTCCGCTCTGTGGCGGTGCGTCTCTTGTGGCTATGAAATATGGTCGTAGCATGTGCGCTAGACGGTCAAGTCGACGCTGATTCGATCGCATGTGACGGCGACGGGCCAGCCGATCGTGACGATGGCGCTGTCAGGGGCCGAGCGCAGCCGCCTGCACTCGTTCACGTTTGATCTCGCCATGCTGTGCTGGTACAACCCACCTCGAATCGGTCGCAGACGCATCGAATGCTGGGCGTAGGATGCGTGTGGCGGACGACCATTTCTCGTACTCGGACTTTCAGACGTCGCTGTCGACGGATGCGGTCGTCGCCGCCGACGTGCCGGTACGTCGGACACGGCGCAATGTATGCAGCTTCAGTTATCTCTTAACAACGTCGGGATAGGTGGGCCCGCTCCGCCGGCTCCAGAACGCGTCGACGCATTCGCGGTCGGCCAAGCACATGCTGTCGGGCATGACCAACATGGTGCTCCAGCGCCATGTGACGCGGACACACCTCGAGCACCAATTGGCTGCGTCAATGGCACTCGAGAGTGCGACCGAGTACAACTACTGGTAAAGCGTTCGCCGTCGTCTGTGGTCGTCGTCTGACGCATCTGCCACAGGCTCAAGGTCTATGCACGGTACCTTGCGCAGGAAGGGGATGTTGCACGGCTGGAAGAGCTCTGCTCGGAGCTCCTTGGCCCGCTCTCAGCGTCGGGTAGCGCCACCACAATTCATGGCGAGGCAGCGTGGCACCCACGTGTCTTGGTGAGTCTGATGGTTCTTGAAGGACGCCGTCTCACGAACACGGTAGGGCGCGTCCAAGCGCGACCTTCTCCGAACGATCGTGATGCCGCAAATGGCCTCCAACCGCGTGCTCCAGCGACTGGTGCTCAAGTACCAAGTGCAGCTTGACGAAGCGCGGCCGTAGACGGCGCTGCGAGTACAATGCTTGGCCCGTTCGAGTAGCCGTGAGGTGGACTGTCGCCAGGAATACTAAGATCATCCTCATCCTTTCGTCATCGCGCTTGTTGCCACAGTGGGACACGCCGCGTGCTGCAACCTACGGCTGGCATCTGCTGGATGCGCCGCGACGATGTGGCCACTCGATTCTGGTTCGCGCTGGCTTCTCGCGCGTTCGTGGCCATCCGCGTTGGCAACCATTCGGCGCCCATCACCCAGCCCGCTGGCCCGATCCCAGTGTACCTACCACCAGCTCCTGCCACCGACCGCCGATGCCCGCCACGTTCCGCCTCCCATCATCCGAGTAGCTCGCTCGATTTGCGACGATCGCGTGCTTCGAGGCACGGGCTTCGAATTCGAAGCCGTTTTTCCGGACGATGTATCCGGAATCACGTGCGCCGGATGTCATTGGTGGTTTTATCCGGATGCGCGGAAGATCTGACCGCGCGCAGTTTCGAATTTGCTATGAAGGGGGAGAGCGACCAGCAGCAGCAGCTCCGGCGGTTCGAGCTCCGCGTCAGCGTCCGGGACTTCCTTGCGGCCCGCGCGGGCGAGGCCACCATGCTCGTGACGACGTCCGCCGAGGTGCAGCAGGACGCGCTCGAGGCCATGAGCCGGCTTCTCTGCAAGGAGCGCGTGCTCCATGCGATCACAACGGTGCATGGCACGTCGACCTTGATCGCGGTCGACAACCTCCCGGCCATGTGGCGCTGCGCGGCTGCGGTCGGAGGAACCATGAACATGCGCAAGCAAGCCGGCCCGATGCCCGACTTTGTCGTCAAGGAGCTCTGCTGCGCGATGGTGGTCATGGCGCTCAAAATGAACGGTTACGTCATGATGGGCGACCAAGGCACGTACATGCTGCCCAAGCAAACTCGAAGCGACATGGTGCAGTGCGTCCACTTCTCCGAGATGCACCTCGTGCACGATGAGGTCGTCGCCGTCTTCTCCCCTGTCGTGTACCATCTCAACAAGGCCGACGCCGCTGTCCACGCGATCCGGTCGAATGCGATGGGTCTCCCCGTCTCGGATGCGAGCCTCACACACCAGCTTCAGACCCACGCTGCCGTGTTTGCGATGCCCAAGATGAACCATTGCCGTATCATGCAGTACACGACGCACCCGCCTCCCATGATCGGCACGACGGGTATGCTGCCGACCGAAGCCGACTTTCGCAAGCAGTGGATGGATGTCCATGGCATCACGCTGCCTGGTGATCTTGGTGGATATCTTCGCGTCCAGTTTCCGTCCGGTGCCGTCGTCACCTACCCGGCCGCTTGCGTTGCGACAAACTGGCACATCCTCTCCAAGCAGTCGCGGGCCGAGGCGAACGACATCACCCGGCTGGTCATGGTCTCGATGCACGGTTTCTTTGGCCCGGCGGCCGTCAACGTCCGAAGCGAGCAGTTTGAGCCCAAGGTCGCGACGCTTCTGCCAGCCTCAGCATTGCTCCAGGCAACGTTGCGGAAACGCGACGAGCACCAAGCCCCCGCGCTCACAAAGCGCAAAAAAGTCTACTAGGCCAAGGCTTAGTCCAACTCCCACATTTATTGTATACGCATCGTCATCGATTTGGTCTGTTTACGCAATGTACTCGAAGTGCAAGACAGCGTTGCGCAGGTCGTACACGTCCTTGGGCGTGAACGCATACGTCCTTGTCGGCGTCAAGTGCGACGACGCGGCAAACTCGACGAGCTTCTCCATGTACTTGAGGCGTTGGTCGTCCTTGAACGGCAGCAGAAATCTGAGCAGCACGCAATCAGTCTCTCGTCTCAACCAATCACCTCCACACGTACACGGACGATTCGACCGACACCTTGGCGCGTGGCTTCAAGATCGACGTCCACGCCGGCGCGTCACCACCCAGTGCAGGCTTGGTGATCAAGTGGGACGCATGGACCGAGAGATGCACATGATCAAACAAGCCGCGGTACCGACTCTTCTTGAGGACTTCATCGAGGTTGCCCGTGAGCAGCGTGATCTACCGCATTGCTTGGCGCATGTCATGCATGCGGCGATCTACCTTGGCGTTGCCGAGGGTCTCGAGAATGTTGCGGGCGCGCTTCCGAGCATCTCTCTCGTCGTCGTCGTGGGAGGTTTGGTTGCTCTCGTCGAGCTCTACGACCTTGACGTCGTCTTCGCCAATGCCGCTGTACACATCATGGGCCTAGTCGCATCGTGAGGCCATGGGCATGGAGCGAATGAGCACCTTGGCCATCTTGTAAATGTCGCCCGTCTCGATCTCGTGGAGGCACGAGAGGACGTTGAAGACCGCGACCTCGGCCGTGTTCTACAGCGTTGTGAGGACAGGGTGGGCGATGCAAAACGACGTGGCGGTTCTGTTCACAGCCCGAGCCTTTGTTGTGGATCTCAAAGAGACCGTCCGCAAACTTGTTGGACTACAGTAAGACGAGTTGAGATAGTTGTGACGTCATATCGTCAGCCAGATTACACGAAAGCAGTCGACACCAAAAGAGACGTAGGGCCCGACGATGATGTCGAGCCAAAAGCCGCGGCAGAGCACCGAGCCATGTCCGCGCTTGGTAGCCTATGCTCGATAGGGTAGGACGCGCGTGGGCATACCGTGATGTAGTACCTCAGTGTAAGAGGCCATGGACCGGTTCGGACTCGTGTACGTCTGGTCGCCAAACTCGAATGCGATGCCCGAGTTGCGCCACTCTTTGAACTGTCGGGCGTGGACCACGGACGCTTGGTCGATCTTCTTGAGTGACATCTACGTATCGCGCTTATGATTTCGCGTATAGAGACGCATGTATGACGCAACCGTATAGTCCCAATCAAAGAGGTTGGTGCGGTAATCGTAGCGGTTCTCGTAGAAGTGACGGAGCCGATGGTCGCGGAGCTTGACAACTAGGTGAGCATGCATGAAGCGACGCTTGTATACAGAGCACCATGCGTAGTAGTACTGTCAAAGGGGACGGACGTGTGCCACGACTGGAACGTCTCGACTAGCGCGTCGCGGTCCTTCATCTTCAAGTGCGAGACATCGACCAAGTCAGCGAGCCGGCCGTGTTCGTTGCAGACGAGCTCGACAAGCTCCTTCGCCTTTTCCTCGATATACTCGGACGTGCGCTCCTACGCGTACGAGTGAGCTCCTGTACTTTGGCGGCGAGCGCACCTGCAGCAGCGCATTGCCAAAGATCTCCAAGAATGTGTTGCAGCGCTGGCGGAGCGGCAGCTCCCACTCGTGGACGATCTGGAGCAGCAGGAGCGCACGCGCGAGCGACTCGTTGGCCTTTTCAAACAAGTAGATGTGCAGCGGCCGCTTCTGCCACCGGCGAGAGCGCGAGATGGTTGTGAGCACATGGCGAATGTCGCCCGGGTTGACGACCAAGATGGTGAGCGGCGTCATGTCTTCGTCATCACCAGTAGCTTGGTCATTGGCCGCTGGAGTCGACACGCCTTCCTGGAGGTCAAAGGCCGGGGAGAAGCCCCACATGCCCAGCGTCCCCAGCGAGAGGAGGTTGCCCGTCTTGGACGTCATGCTGCTCGCTTCTTCGAAAATGCTACCAGATCTTACGCAGCGCTTCGTATCCGGACAATCCGGTTCACGACGTTTCAGGGCAACGACCGACGATGAGGTACGCGCCGCCTGTCCCTCCTGGCGCATGGTCCCATGCGCCTGGCCTCTAGCGAAGTCGTCATCTGCAGCTTCGAGGCCGGACTCTATGGCCTCGACGAAGCCTCGCACGAGTGGGTGCTCTCGGTGCCCGACGCCATCCACGTCCACGTCTTTATGGACGACGCTGGCCTCTTCCGGCTTGTGGGCTGGGTCCAAGCCAATGGCGATGTCGTCGTCAAGCACGCGATCACGCGCGACTGCATCTGGCTTGACGTCAACGAGTACTTCGCCCAGATGACCAACGCGATTGACGTGACGTACGGCCTCGCGTTCACCGAGCCAGGCCTCGCGACCGACGCGTCCAACGCCGTGCGCAAGATCCTCTCGCGCCTCCAAAGCGGTTTGAAAACATAATAAGTGTGTGCTGATGAACTTCTGTGGTAGAGACCGAGCGCGACAACAACCCGCCGGCCGCCATTGCGCTCGAGGTACGCGACACCACCAACCGCTGGCTCTTCATGCACGTAGTTCTCCGAGCCGGTGAGCCCGACGTCCGATCTGCTCGCGTTGGAAGGCCTTCCTATTCTGGCCCCCGTACGTCGCAGCATCAAGCACGAAGTCTCTATGTTGGCGCGTGTAGCTTTTCTCGGCAACGACACCGCCCCGCGCCATGCGTAAGAGCTACCCGTTCGCCCCACCCAGCCCGAACCGACCGTCCAGTACGCGCAACAAGCGCAGTGCAAGCGTCCCGCAGCCGGGCGCGCCGCTCGAGTGCGTCAAGAATTTTCGGCGCGGGAGCTTTCCACTGGCGATGGCGCCACTCTTGGATCCGTCGCCGCCGCCGAGCTCGTCCGCGTCGCGCAACAGCTCGCGCCGGCAGTCGCTCGCGAGCTTTGAGGAAGTCGAGCAAGCGGCGACGGCAGCCATCGATGCCACCACAACGCCGCCCAAGCCGGCACTCGAACCCGTCGTGCGTGGTACGACCATCGGCCCAACTACTCTTCACGCAGAGCGTAGACAAACCCGTAATGTACCCGAGCTGCATACTACCGGAAGACGAGCACATTAGTCGCCCGTACCAGATGCGTCAGGAGGTGCACGTGACGTTCAACGCAGAGCTGGCGCGCTACGAAGGTCTCCCGACTGCGTGGCGCAGCCTCAACAAGCAGTTTGGTCTCCCGATCGACGCCGTGCCCAAGCGCAAGGTCGAGGGCTACGACGCCAAGATCCCGGCTGTGCTCCAAATGATGCGCGAGTACCTCGTTCAAAACGGCGGCCTCGAGACCGAAGGCATCTTTCGACTCGCGCCCGACAAGGAGGCGTGTAGCGCGGTCAAGGACGCCATGAACAACGGCGTCTTTACCGGCTGCAGCGACGTGCACATCATTGCCAACCTCATCAAGGTCCTCGAGTCTTCGTCAAAGGCTTCTTCTATGCTGCATTAGGTCTGGTTCCGAGAGCTGCCCGATAGCCTTCTCGACGTCATTCCAGAAAAGTGCATTTATAAAGTGTGCGGCGTCACCGACCCGACGCAGGTCCTCGACGTCCTCCGCGACGTGCCGACGTCGCAACGCAGCGTCATCTTGTGGCTCCTCGACCTCATGGCCGCCGTCGTCATGTGCGAAAAGCAGACCAAAATGAGCGCGAAAAACATGGGTACGGCCGCGTACACGATTGCAGGCGACGAGCAGCCGTGTTGTAGCCATCGTGCTGTCGCCCAACCTCTTCAGCATCGCGTCCGACAACCCGATGGTCGCGCTCACCATGTCCCAAAAGGTTGCCGAGTTTACGACCGTGCTCCTCAAGGCGCGGCTCGTCGTGCAGCACGGATACACGCCGCGCGCCTAGCCCTCCATGTCAACATTGCATCGTTTCCATTGGCCAACATGTACAAACTTGTCTGTGCGAAATGACGTGCGTACGGGCCATGACCACTTTCGAAAAGCGCTAAGAAATAATCTAAGAACGAGCGCATGAACCCTAGAGTGCCGACGCCGCGCGCCTTGCGGTGTCGGAGTATCCATTTTGCATCGTTGAATGTACAATACCGTCTATCACGACGTGGTGACAGACCGTGCGACTCAGAATCGCTATAAGAAACCTAGAACGAGGGAATTTCGACGGCAAAAATGGGGTTGAAGGAATGCGTAGCCGGAGCGAATACATAGTTTATTGAGAGGTACGAGATAGCTGGTGATGGTCGCATCGGACACTAAATACTGCGCGTTTATGCCAAGCATCCATAGTCGGGAGAGATGTGCAGGAAGACGTCGTCGAAGAAGCGCTCGCTGCCATAGTCGACATGCGCGACGCTGTCGTCGTCGTCAAACGCGTCGGTCTCTTCGTACTTGATGTCGGTGAGCATGATGTCATCGTGGTGCAAACTTGACGCGTCTTGGTGGCTGTACGCGTGCAGGCCGTAGCCGTGGTCCTCGCTGTAGCTCTTGCGCGGCTCGGGCTCGATAAAGTAGGCGTCGAGCGACGGGACGCCTTTGGGCGGATGCAGCGTCATCAAGTCTTTTGAGGACATGCGGAGGCTCAGACCCGGGATCTCGGACGGCACGTTGATGCGCTGCATATGGAAGAGATTGGTGTTGCTCTACAGCACGATTTGCATGAGCATCAACATGCCTCGGAAATGGAAAGCTGTACCGGCTGCTTCCGGAGCGGTGGCAGCTTCTCGAAGGCCGTGCCCGGGTACTCGAGGAACGGCGTCGACAAGAGGTGATTCTTTTCGTCTTCGGTGGGGCTAATCGAGCAGTCGGAGAAGGACGCGCCGTAGCGCGGGCTGTCGACCGAGTACATGTCGTCGCCCGAGTCCATGCCGTCGTCGTCGTCATCGTCCGGGTGGTGGAAGTTGGGAATGAACTGGCCGGACGGATCGATGCCGTACGTCTCGGGCGCCATGAGCTTATCGAGCTGCTTTTTGAACGTGTCATACTGGTACACTTGCTTTTCGTTGAGAAGACCGGTATCCTTGCACCGGTTGAGCTCTTGCAGCGACCGCTTGAGGCTGCGCACTTTTCGGTACGGCCAATGGCGGATGCCGATCGCCCGACACCGCTTTTTGAAGGCGGTCGCGCGCACGCCAAACTTTTCAGCGGCGGCCTTGAGCGGCAAGTGAAAGTAGAGGCTAAAGGCCTCGAAATTGCACATGGGCGACGAGGCCACCATGGCCTTCTTCGCATGGAGGCGTCGTCGCATGTCGTCGTCGTCCATGTGGCTACTGCCCATGGTCGGCATCGGCGGTCGCAGGAGCTCCATCGTGGTCGGCGGCGCTTGCTGGCAAAAGATCGAATGAAGAACGGCGCACCTGCACGGTGTCGATAGTGTTGTATCTTCAACCTCTCAGAACGAATCCATCGAAACCAAAGGCAAACATGTATTATCAGAGGTTTTCCAACAAACATTCGACGCCCAAGATACAAACACCAAGTGCAGCACCGTCGAGATACAAAACCCAAGTGCAAACTCGAATGTGGATTTTCGAAGGTTCGCAAAGATCGAGCCGTTTTGCGCCCGATCCATTTGATTCCACCGAATCCGACATTGGATAGCCGCAGCAGTAGATGGATAGGCCTACGTGGCCATGACTGAAAAACTAGTACAAGCAAAATAAGCTGTCGCTCAAAGCACGAGCTGCCGTCCAAGGACCTCGCCAACGGAGCAGTTGTCGACGACGACCGTTTCGGATTGCGTACTATGCTTGTCAATCATCTTGAAAGATCCACAGCATGTTCAGAAGGGCCGATCCTTCTGTCTCGATGGGTGTCGATCCTATAAGATCTACATCCGGCCGGTACAAGGTTTTGAGAGACGACATATTGGAGTGAGAGCGGACGACAACTTGGGAGAATGTGGGGGGGGGTGAATGCGGGGGAGCGCCGGATCAAATGACTCTGCCATGCAAACAGTATAAGACGCTGTTGCTATTTATAGCGCGGAAGTCGCGATGCGCAAGGCGATGGCGAAAGGGTCCAAGCTCGCGCGCAAGCCGACCAAGCCGTACGAGGTGCGGTGCATGTGCGCCATCAGCAGCGACGTCATGGTGCGTAGCTGGGCGACGACAAGCACAAGCAGCTGCTCGGTCTCGGCGGCAACGAGAACGCGCTTCTCGACCCGGACGATGAAGACTACATGCGCAGCGTCGTCGAAAAGCTCGAGCAAGACTTGGCCCGGCGACAGGTACAGAGATGCATTATCCTAGCAGCTCTGCACGCAGCGTAGGAAAGCTACGTGCGGCGCGAGCGGCAGTACCAAGTGCGCATTGAGGAGCTCGAGAAGCTTCTAACCGAGGTCGTCGACGATGCCTCGCCACATGTATTGATACAGTAGGGTAGGCCAAGGCCAAGAAGGCGTCGAGCGCGTCCCATGAAGATACGATGTGCTCGCTGCGGCAAGTGCACAAGAACATTCTCGGCAGCATTGCCCAGGTGCAAGAGCGCACGGGCAAAATTCTCCAAGGTATATTGTCGTATTGAGTACTAGCACAAACATGGCACGTAGAGCAAGAGAAGGATCTGCTGCGGGCCTTCCGCGCACGGCTCTACAGCGTGCAAGAAGAGCTCGAGACAGAGAAGAACAAGACGGACGACGGCGCGTCGGCATGGATCGACAAGAGCAAGCAGCTCGAGACCGAAGTCGAGTGGACAAAAGAGATGGCCGACCGCCTCGACCGGCTCAACCAAAGCCTCACGCGCGAAAACCAGCGACTCAAGACGCAGTTTTCGATGCAGGAGAACGACCGCGAGTTCCTCGTCCGGCAACTCGTTAGCGTCAAGAAGGACAACGTTCGGTATGAAATACGAGCGACGATTGTCGTTGAAGACATAGATAGGCTACGAAAAGAGCTCACGGACGCGCTCAACGACAACAGCCGCCTCAAGGAAGAAGGTCCGCTCGGCGACGAGATGCCCGCCATCAAGCGCGGTACGAGCGTCAAATCGGATAAATCCAAGTCGCCCGTCGCGGGATCGCTGCCCGCCATGGCATCGCATCGCGGGTCGTCGGCCGGTGTCCTCACGCCCAACCTACCCGAGGTACGAGCACCCCCACTTATGAGAGTCACGCTTCTTTAACTTGATTAGGTCGACAACCGATACAAAGAAATCATCAAGCGGCTCAAGCGAGTCCTCGAGGTGGAGCGCCGCAATTTACGCCAAGTGCGCTCGGCGTACACGGCCGACCTCCAAACCCACACGGAGCTCTCCATGTTCTTAAAGCAGTGCATCGAAGACGTCAAAGCGCAGATCACCGACCCGAGCGCCGTCCGGCACCTCGAGCCCATGCATGTGATCGGGACAACGCTCACGGGCGGTGACCGCCAGCGCGTCATCGATGTTTTCTTGTCCCAAGAACGCGTCTTGAGCTTGCTGTATGCAAAAGCGTTCCCGCTGCCGACAACTCCGATCGTCCCGCACGACGATGTGACCAAAGAAGACATTCGAGACATCTTCCACGAAGCGCCAGTCCCTGCCATGCATAATCTGCGGAGCGAGCACAGCGCCGAGTCTCTCCACGAAGACGACGACCGGTAGTACGACGATCGATGCGCTGCGGTACAAGGTTGCTTAGCGCTAAGGGAATAAGGATAGCATCAAGCCATGATTTAGTGTTATGCAAACAACGAGCGAGATCATGGCAAGACAGTGCTGAACCATTGACGGAGGTCCGCGATCTCTTCCATGGACGCCGTGTGGCCCATGCCAGGATACGTCTTGAACGTGGTTTTGTGGCCGAGGCTCGAGAGACGGTCGGCCAAGCCCTTCCCGAGCGGGTACGCGACCTTGTCGTCCGACGTGCCATGCCCAACGAGCACGGGGTGCGACGACGTTGGCAGCGACCCGAGAAAGTCTTCGTGCGGGAGCCAGCCGCTAAAGGCCACGATTCCGGCAATGGGCGCATCACTGAGAAGGCCCGCGAGCACGGCCGTGCAGGCGCCTTGGCTGAAGCCGCCAATGACAATGCGCTCGGCCGGAATGCCCTCGGCTTGCAGCTCCTGCACGAGCGCCCGCACTGTCGCGACAGAGTCGAGGATACCGTCGAGCGTCTCTTCGCGCACCGAGTTGGGCGCGACGGGAATGTCCTTGAGGTCGAACCACGCCGGCATGCGCTGGCCGCCCGCGAGGTACACGGGGCGGTTGGGAGCGTTCGGGAACTTCCACGTGATGTGGCGCAGCGACGAGAGCTCGTCCTGGAGGAAGGTCCAGCCGGCGCCCGAGTCGCCGAGGCCATGCAGCCAGATGACACCGGCCCGCGCGCACGTCGTCGTCGTCGCCATCGTCGTTGTCACGCAGAGGAGGAAGCTCAAGACCACAAAGCCCAACCCGATCATAGTCCTGTGGACGGCTTGCACAATTGTACGATAAATGTACGGTATGTCTAAACCATATTATTGTATAGTGTGTACGTGTACGGCATTCTGTACGGTATTGTTCGACCTCAGGGAATTCGCGTAAAAAGTACAAAATCTGCCAGTCCAAGCTCGACGCAAGGAACAAGTTCGAAATACACGACTCTTGCGTATCGACTGCACACCTCTACCTAGCTCTAGTGTTGTCACGCAAGCATGGCTATGCAGCTTGGGACGAAAGATGGGCGGTACGCTGTGGCTAAAATCCAAACAAATTCGGTCGGCCATATCACATCCTAGCTTGTGTACTATATAAGCGATTTTAAAACGCTTTGGATCAGGAAAAGACCTAATTGAAGATCCCTCCGAAGTATTCCTCGAAAGGGTGCGCAAGATCGCACATGGAGGCCGAGCGCAAGCCGCTGCCATGGCGCCCGTACGTGGTGCTGCTCCTTAGCGGAGCCACGAAGGACGAGAAAGCCTGTCTGGAGCGGCTCCAGGACGTGCTCAGTGGCGCCCTCACGCCCCGTGAGCGCGGTGTGTTCAAGGTTGTCACCCGCACCGACCTCGGCAACTTCAAGGACAATGCGCCCGCCGACGTCCTCGCTGGTGCATTCCACGCGCTCATTGAGAAGGATCGCACCGAGTACGTCCAAGCCAACGCAGCCAAGTTTGCGAGCAAGCCCAAAGCCCCGGCGGGCTTGGACCGCGACTTTCGACTCGCGTCCAGCCGCGGGACCATTGTCGACTCGGCCCGAGGCCAGGCCGTGACGGCGACGGCGCCTGTCGATGCGATTGCAATACCTCCGACTGACGGCGCTGACGATGACATGCTGAGCGCAGCCCAAGCCGCGCTTGAGCACGACGCCCGCGACGGCGCACCCTCCCACATTTATGTCCTATTTGACTACCCTGCGTCGGTCACCGAAGTTCGCGGTCCGCATGTGCTTGCTCCTCGTGGTTGTATTGACATCGCGTAGGTCTCATTACGTACAAGATGACGGGCGCCGAGGGGCCCAAGGGCGTTGCGCTCTCCGCGCTCGTCGACAGCGTCGTGTCGGTAGTGTTCCCACTCCGTGCGACCCTGCGACGACCGTCCATGGCGCTTGCACCAGAAGAGCCTATCAAGCCCGTCGTTCCGGAGCCCAAGCCCGTGGAGCCACCGGCCAAGCACCCTGCCAAAGGCGGCAAGCAAAAAGCTCCCGCGGTTGCGCCGTCGCCCGAGCCCGAAGTCGTCGCTCCGGTTGTAGCTGCGCCGGTCGTCGAAGTCCCCGTCGAACCACTTGGGTACGCACATTCGCAACACGCTACTACATTGGACGTGGGACGTAGGGAAGGCAAGTTGCACAAGGAGCTTGTGGCTGCGGCGGCCGTCGGCGGCGTCGAGTGGACCGACTTTTCGTTTTCAACGCTGCACTGCGCGACCGAGGCGGGCGAGCCCCGTACGATGGTGACGCTGACCAAAGAGCTCAAGCAAATGCTCACGGACGTCGCAGTCGCGAAATGTGCCTTCAAGCAGTGGCTCAGCACCGTCAACGTCGTTGATGTCCCGTCCGAAGTACCGGGTCGCCCTCTCGAGCACCTCTTGCGCACCTACAACGAGCTTCTCGACCCGATTTACGAGCCGAGTGTTGGCGTCGCGGGCATTCTTGTGGCCATGAAGGAAGCTATATTTCGCGCCAGCTCCAAGGACCGGCGTGTCGCACCGCCACCGACAGTACGTAGAAGAGCGAGCACGCATCCGTAGTTCGAATCGTGTTGGTAGAAAGCAGCGTCGGTGCTGCCTCAATTTGTCGATCATGGCGACGTCGCTCGGGTGCGTATGATGCAAGCTCTGCACCTCTACAACTCCAAGCCCGAGTGTCTCCGGTCCGGCGAGCCGCGCATGCTCCTCGGTAGATGGACGTCGTTCCACAAAGCTCATTCGTCGTATAGGAAAGAGCTTGGACGACATTGAGAAGGAGATGTGGCTGCTCAGTGATCTGCCGGGCGTCGGCTTCCAAGGTCGAAAAGGCATGCCGATCGCGCCGACACTGAGCCTTGTGGAGCGAGGTGTCCAGGACACGGAGCTGATGCAGTTCCACGGGTAGGTGCAATGCGTAGCGAGCGCTCTCTGCAATGGTCTGTAGGTTATCGATGCACGATGTGCACTACACGCGCAAGCTCCTCGAGTTTGAAGCCATGCTCGGGCACAAATGGGAGCGCAAGCTCCGGTACCGAACCTACATGGAGCACTTGCCCAAGCACATTTTGCCACAGGTACGCCAGCGCCAGCATTCATGACGCGCTGACGTCGGTGTAGCGGGTTGCAGCACTCGTGGGCCTCAATGTCGTGCTGTACAAACGGTACTATGCGCCGGACGACTCGCTTCTCGTCGCCGGACACATTGCAACACCGCAAGGTCGGACGTGCACCGACACGTGGGCGGCCATCGACTGGGTCCGGTACGCAGCTCACGATTGAATACAGGCCCTACATCCGCGATGTAGGCACCGTCCACCGTTCAGTGAGTGGGAAGCCGAGACTCTCTTGCCGCGCGTGTACTTGACGCCGCGCACGGTGACGGCGCTCGGGGCGTGTGTCAACCTCTCCCATGCCGAGCTGGATAGCGTGCGGGAAGTGACGCACTCGTTCTTTCCGTCGGACCACGCCGTGATCCACGTCACCGAAGCGCCGCACGCCACAACGTGGCTGACCGTGTACAAGGACTGGTGCGCTATTTTCTCGGAAACACAAAGCTTGACGGAGCGGTAGGCACCACTTTGGCCTTCGCCCCAGCAGCGTCGGGTTCCCGATGAACTTTCACGCAACGTTCGAGGACGCTTCGCACTTGACGATTTCGCGCCAAAGCGGCCGGACGATTCTCTTGACAAAGACCTTTTCATCTGGCCTCGTCGTCTCCATCTCGTCGGACGGGAGCATTCAGCAAGAGTACGCGACTCGGACGGGGCATGCCAGTGCCCCCAATCAGCACGAGACGTACGTCATCCACGCCTAACTTGCATGACGCGACAGTGGTAGACGCCGCGTCGTGCTCGGCCGAGGCACCGTCATTAGCTTCCGCACCGATGGCAGCCAGGTCATCATGTACGCCAACGGCCACGTCGGCAAGCGGGCGACCGCCGCCGACGCGTTCTGGACGATCGATGAGGGTGGGAGCGTCTATGCTGTCGCATCGCACGCCAAGAAGACACCGCCGCCAGCGCCCGTGCCCATCACGCTCGAGGTCGACCCCGAGTCGAAAGCAGTGATTGCGCACCGCGGCGATGGCGTTGTCACCGTCACGCACGTCAACGGGTGCGTCATCTCCGTGACATCCATACACTCATGCCTCGCAGATCGTACTTGACCCAGCACGCCGACGGGACGCAAATGCTTGGCAATGGCGCCAACAGCCATGTGGTAGGACAAATGCTGTGTTAATATGTCAGGGTGACAAATCATCCGTGCAGATTGTGCGCAAGGAGGGCTATGCCGAAGTGAGCATCGACGTGGACGTCAACCTCACCGCGCAGCGGCACGCCCAAGGCATGAAGATCGCCGTCACCAAGGGCGGCATTCGCACGCGCAGCGTCGTCCGGTGCGTTCGAGTACGTCGCTAAAGTGTCGAGCTTGTTTCCGCATAGATTTGATGACGGCACGACGATCGAAGTCGACTACGACACGCGCGTCATCGCGTCGGTTCACGGCATCTTGCGTGTGCGCAAGCCCGACGGCACGATCGTAATTGCCCAGGACAATGGGCTCGTCGAGTTTCGCCCGCGGTCGCTGGCCACGTCATCGTACCCCCGGGTACCCACTGGCTTTCAGAACACGTACATATCACGGGATGTTGGCATCGCTCTATAGAAGGCGGCGCGGGACGACGAAGAAGAGCCCGACTCGTCGAGTGGCGCCTACTACTTTGACTGCGTCAACGGCAGTCTCCGCCTGAGCGACCACGAGCACAATCATTTCGACTTGACGATCGGGGACGGCAAGCACCTTCCCGTGCTCAAGGTCGACCTCGCGGGCGTCGTCTCGGCAAGCGACTGCGCGAAATTCGGCGTCGATCCGATTGCTGCCAACGCTGTCGTCAACGACCCCCTGCAGCCCTTCTTGCTCATTCTGCAGGGCGACGGCACTGGCGTTGAGGTATCAACTTGATACCTTCAACAAACCGGATGGATGGGATTCGCTACCTGTAGGTGCTCCGACCGATGGACGTGGACGACTACCTCGCACTGCAGCGCCGGGACGCTCGGATCGAACGCGTGCCTTGCATTGCTGTCGGTGCCAGCAACGACAACAAGCTGCATGTGTTTACGCACAGCTTGGGCCCGTTTACGCCCGTCGCACTCGCCGACGCTACTGAGCGGACGGCCATTCTATCGACAGTCAAGATCCCGGCGCGGGCCAGTGCGCTGCTGTTGCAGCAACTGCACAACGTCGTGCCACTGCGCCCGCTTGCTGTGAGCTTGGTGCGGCGCTTACGTGAGATCACGCCGTTCGACGCGGTTCAATTCCAAACCATGGTACGACGTAGATCGATGTTTGGTCGCAGAAAGGCGAGTAGGTCGATGCTCTCTCGGCCTGGAATGCGTGGGCGGCCAATCGAGAGCTCACAAAGGACCAGTACGCAGTCATGGACCCGCGGGACGACGAGACGCGGGCCCAGGCGCATGTGCGTCCATCTTTGCGCTGAGCTCGAGGATCAACCACGGAGTTATGCAGGCCATGGAGAAGAAGATTGCGGCAGCGTACAAAGCGACGCGTGCGCGGCTCAAGGCCGAGCGCCTCAAGAAGCGCGAACGCGAACGCTTGGCCAAGCTCAACTCGGCGCTCGAAGAAGCAGGGCACGAGCCGTCGGCCGCCATGACGACGCTCAAAGAGGTACATGACCCTGTAGACGGCAGCGCCTTGACGCGCGATCACTAGGTGGAAAACGAAGAAGACGACGAGGAAGGTCGGAATGCAAGGCCAATGTCGTGTATAGCACCATGTGTATAGATGGCGACGACGACGAGGCACACTACGCCGGCATGCACTCGGACGACAGCGACGCCGACTCGCGCGACGACCTTGATGTGAATGTCGACGACGAGTACGAACTCCTTCTCACGGCCTTTTCGCACGCCGACACCGAGTCCAACGGCCGCTTGAACCGCGTGCAGAGTACGTACGAAGTATGTGCGGCGCGGCTCATGCAAGAATGGATAGCGCGGCGGGCGCTCGTGCATGCGCTGGGCTTTGGTGTGAGCCAAAGTGACGTCAACGACGCGATCGAAACGTACTCGGAGGCTTATGACGACACGGTGCGCTGTTTGGTGAGGCCTTGCGTCACGCGGTGTAGGTGACGTTCGAGGTGTTTGCGCGCATCTTGACGTGCATGAAAGACGCGTACGACGAAGAAGCGAGTGCCAAGACACCGCGTGCGATGCCCCAGTTCCCGAGCCGACTCTCGATGCCGTCCAAGCTCTCGCCGCGCCCCAAACATCCATAGTTTACAAGACAATATTGGTGTGGTTTGTACGGGAACCAACTACCGAGCTCAATGTGTCATGTTGCGGCGCATGGGCGACACCTTGGTTGGTCGGTTGTGCGGGAGGTAGCCCATGAGACGCTGCTCCGACGGCTTGGAGGCGTCCCGCGGCGCTGCCTCGGACGCCTCGGTAAACACCTGAGGAAAGTGCTCTGCGCACATGTCCTTGATGAACGCTTCGTCGACGTCGTTGGCTTCGTCAAGGAACCGCTGGGCGGCGCGCCATGGATCGCGCTGGCGGTCAAGAGGCTCAATGGGCAGCCACGGCTCACTCTGCGCTTGGCGCAGCGGACTTGGTGCGTGTCGTGGCGACGGTGATTTTGTTCGGAGCCGCGCCATCATACTGGTCGCAAGGCTCTCAATGTACGCTGCATCCTCGTCGTTCACGGGCTGCGTGGGGCGGTCCAGCGTCCTAATATGTACCTAAGAAGATTGCAGAGACGCTACCGCGACGTACGGCGTCGGGGCGCGTGCAAAGAAGAGCCGGTCACTCTCGACGAGGGCCATCTTTGGCTGGTGCGGCTTGAGTGGCTGGTTGTCCCAACGACTGCTCCTCCCGTCTTCGAAGTCGTTGTTGCCGCCAAGCGTCGACTCGTCAATGCGGCTAAACGATGCGCTGCGTTTGCAATCGAGCGACGACGACGAGCTCTCGCGACTCGACTTTTGGTTGTCGGGGAGCAACTCGTCCGGCTACACGCCGCCATGTCGTATCGCGTTGCAGTGCCAACTGTACCATGCGGGGGCCGCTGCTGTCGGTCGGATCGACGCGATTCTGGGCCGCTTTTGGTGCCAACTTGGTTGATGTCAGCGCAGATGCGTCCATGAGCCGGTGCAAGAGTGCGACTGTCGACTCGGACACGTATTTGGCCGAGAGGTCGACAAAGATGCGCCGGAACTACACGAGCTGTGAGCGCAACACGACGTGTTGCGATTAGGGCGCACCGTTCGAAGCCGCTCCCGCACGACAGGGTCGTCAGTTGAGCCTTTGAGTAAAAACTTGCGCGGCAACGGCGCCGAGAGCGCCTCCATCTCGAGGATCTATTGCTCCTACTGTTGCACTTGCTACAACCAAGTCGAAACGTACGGGTTTGAGATGCTGGCGCAGCGTCTTGTGGCGGGCTTTGACCTCACGCGTCTTGCTGCCGTCCTTGAACGACACGTGGTAGAGCTCGACGCTGCGACCGGACGCCGACGTCGCGGTCGAGTGCCCCGTGAGACTTAGGAGGACTTGGCGCATCGGCTCTGCAATGCAAAATATTAAGCTTAGAGGCAACGCCCACGAGCGACCTTTGCGCTAAATACACAGCGTGTAACGGCGCGAGCGCGAAACCCACGCTTGCTTTCGTGCATGGAGTTGCGTAATTTGATTATGCTCGGTGTATGTCATCCCCACGACCCGTCTGTGGAGGTTTACGGGACGCAGTAAAGAAGCGGCACAGCGGCAACTATGCTAGACTCGATCGACTAGAACGAATTGTTTGCTAATTGTTCGTCGACGTGGTGGCGAAGAATGGCCATCAGCTTGTCCGGATCAAACTCGGCTTGGACAAGCGGGGCGGCCAGCCACGTCTCGTACCCGCGCACGTTTCCATGGTGGTCCTGGTGGCCTACGACACGTCTTTTGTGTACATGCCAAGCGACGCGCCACGTACTGGGCGTGAAGCGATGCGCATGGTTGCCGTCGAGATGATTTGCGCAGCGCGCAGGTTCGTGCGGCTGGGGTCCTCGTCAGCAGCGATCAAAATGTATGTGATTGCTACCTTGGCGGGCACGGTGCGCGGCGGCCGAGGCGCGGTCAGCTGGAGATCGGGAAAGAGCTGTAGCATTGCAGCATTGAGCCTCTTGACGCAGACGACGTCATCGGGCTCGTCGTCGTCCACTCTGGGCGCGTCATTGTTGCCGTTGGCGGTGCGGTCCGACTACGAAATACGGTTGGCCCCCTCTAGCGGGATGCATTTTACGGTGGTGTTGGTCGCAGAGACATTGTCAGCATGGTCGAACAAGTAATGCAGCTGCGCAATGCTCGCGCTTGTAAAGTAGATATGGGAAATCTGAGCACAGCAGTGCGCCAGCTACGGTCGCAGGCGTTCAGCGTCGAGTTGCACTTGGCGAGGTGCACGTACTTGCTGCTCGCGCTCGGCCATGACCAGCGTGCTCCAGGCACTGTGCAGCGGCTTTTTGCGAGGGAATGCATCTAGTACCCACGGGTACCCACTGCAGACCTACGCGCCGCCGTGAGAACGTGGTGGCGGGACTCTGCTGGACGTCGAAGATGTGACGGCGAAGGAGGCTGTAGCGAGCCTGCGTCGTGCGCACGCGTGCTCCGTCCTGCAGCTGCAGGTGGTAGAGGCCGATGGCCTTACCGTTGGCGCCGAGCACGACCGAGCTGCCATGTACCGAGAGCGTCACTTGTCGGACCATGTTGAGACAGGCGGAATGGATCTTGGACAGGCACGATCGATTGTCAAAGGCAATTTGAGCTTTGTATTTGTTTCTAGAGGTTTTCAGTAGCCAGCTTGATTTCGTTTCTGGATCAAGAAGACCAGCATGGCGAAGAAGGGGAAGACGGCCGTGATCCTCAACGTGTACGACCTCATGGACGCGAATGCATACACGCATGGTAGGTTGACGCTGTGTATGTGAAGGTCCGTCACGAGAGCGTGTAGGGCTCGGCCTTGGGGCCTTCCACTCGGGCGTCGACATTGCCGGCGACGAGTACTCGTTCGCGGGCGGTGCTGGCATCTTCACGTGCCGGCCCAAGCAGGCCGACGGCGCCGTCTTCCGCGAGTCCATTCCCATGGGCTACTTCGAAGGGTCGTCCAACGACGCTCGACAGGTCCTCGATGAGCTGCGGTCCGAGTTCCAAGGCCACCAGTACAACCTCCTGACAAAGTATCTGCAACCTGCGGCTATGTGGCAAACTCACAGAGCTCTCTTGGCAATAGGAACTGCAACACTTTCTCCAACGAGCTCTGTCTGCGACTCCTTGGCGTCCCGATTCCCGCCTACGTCAACCGCATGGCGTACCTCGGGTCGTTCTTGAGCTGTCTCTTGCCGCGCGAGCTCACGGGCCAAGCGCCCGTCGAGGGCGACTCGACACCTGTAGCGGCAACCAACCAAAGGCCATCGTACACGTCGTTTGGCGGTAAGACATTCTGTGATGAACGTGCAAATGCTCATGTCGATAGCGTAGGCTCGGGCATCTCACTCCGTGGCACGGCGCCCACTACGGACACGGACGAAGACATGGAGGTACGCCGAGAGAAGCGGCGCCTCGCTGCCATGCGGCGCATCGAGCTCATGCAACAAAGCTCGTAAGGGCTCTATTAAACTACGCACAACAATATCACCTCATCCCACCTACTGTATTACCATCCCCAAATCATCTTAGCGGATTGTGGCGCTCGGTTTGGTGCTCGAGACCTCTCGACAAGCTCTCACGTCAATCTGCTTGACGAAAAGTTGCTTGTTACGTTAGGCCTTGGACGTGTCGCTGTGAAGAAGCATGATCACCACCCTTCTTTCCGTCACAAGGTCCTAGGACAACCTATCTTGAGGTGGCCGTCGAGTGTCCCGACGCCGAGGTCACCCTTGTAGCCCTTTCCGTCAACTGTTTGCTTGGTCTTGGCGTCGCCCTTGATAAAGCGTGCAAAGATGGAAGCCATGTAGCACACCTAGCCGCAGCTTTGGCAGCAAGCGCGTCGCTGTCGCCGTGGTGACGTTGCAGCCTACTGGGCACGATCGTCATCTTGCAGCACGACACAGACGTGCCGAGCGTGCGAGGTGCCCTGCCTCCAGCGCTGTAGCCTCGAGAACGACGACCGAAAAGAGGCTGCTACAGACGCCAAGGCCATTTCAATCGTCTTCCATCCATAGCAGGTGGTCCAGGGAGCCCAAACACCAAAGAATGACGCTCATTGCGTGCCTACAGCTCGAGCTATGTACCATTCAAGTCGTGAAAACTGGTACGAAACCTGTAGTATCAATGTATCAGTGTATCAACCCACCGTCAAACCCAAACGCGTCTAGCACACGCTGCAGACACGCTACGAGCACCATACGTAGGGCATTGAGCTCCCCACGACTTCCGCTATCCATGTAGAATGAAACAAAAGAGTTCGTTCCAAACGCCAAAGTCGTCCATGAGCAGCCGACGAGCAGCCGTGCACATCAGATCCGGATAATGTTCACCGGATAAGAACACTGTGCCACCAGTAGACTGCCGAATATAAGAGAACGTACGACCTTCCAACATGGCAGATGCCGAAACTCGCGTTCGGCGACAGGCCATTGGCTAAAATTCGGTCGTGCGCTGGCAGCCGAGCATGACTGCCCCGCGCTTGCCGTTCTTCGTCTATGGCACGCTCATGTACGTCCATCTGCAGGAGACATGCTGGTCTCATGGCTGCTGCAGGAAGGGCTTCCGCAACTACGACAAGCACGTGCGTGGCTTCTCCAGCCTACGCTTCGTGCACGACCGCGCCTACGTCAAACGTGCGGCCTTGTATCACTTTGAGTACGGGTACCCGGGCCTCTATGCGACGGCGTCCGACGACTGCGTCTACGGTGAGCTCTTGACGGCCGACGATCCTGCCGAATACGATCAGCTTCTGAAGGACTTGGATGCTCTGGAAGAGTACTTTGCGCCGAACGACCCGACCAACGAGTATGACCGCGTCCGTGTCCAAGTACACACTGCGGACGGCGGGCGCATTGACGCATGGGTCTACTACTGCAAGATTCCGCTCGAGAACGCAAAGGAGCGCGTCGTCAGCGGCGACTGGCGCGCGTACATGACACCGATGCAGCAGACAATGTTTCTTTAGTGGCGCCGAGCGGCCTTTTTAATGTCGGCTTTTCGCGCTCGAATCACCGCGAGCTCGTCGTCAATAGCTTGTCGCGCTTCCTTACTCGTCTCGGTCTGTTGCCGCTCCCGCAGCCGCGCTTCTCGGTCCCGCAAAACGACGAGGAGTGGTTTCTGAACAGCGTCGGTGGCCTGCGCCATGACATGCTCCACGACCGAGGGCGCCTCGTCCGAGCCTTGTGCGAAAAAGCCGCCGAGGCCACTCGCGCCAAAGAGCACCATCCAAAAGCCCGTCCAGTGGTACGCCCGGAGCTCGGTGAGGTGCAGTTTGAGCTGCTTGGCATTCTTCTTGACCAACGCGCCTTGGGTGTTGGAGCAGCTCTCGCACTGCGGATAATACCTAGTACCCAGAGATGCTTGAGAGTATTACGGTGACGCGTACGCGTACCGCTGTGTGACGGGACCAAAGAGTTTGGCCCACAGTCGTGCGTTCTCGGCCTTGGCGACCAGCACGGGCGGCATGTGGTCGGCGTGGTATTTGGACCGCTTCGTACCGCACGTGTGGCAGCCGTAGAGGCGGCCAAAGCTTTGAATGACGGCCCGCGCATTTCCATCAGCGTACTATCGGAGCTCAGACGACGATGAAATCTTCTGCGATCGTACTTCGATCGTGGCAGGCAGCGAGATGCGCGCGTGCCCGAATGCACCGGGGTGTCGAAAGTCGCTCGGAGCAAGCGCGCGGAACCGGCCACCAAGAAGCCTACGATGCGTGGGAATCATTGGACCGCCACAGTGGCCACGTACCGGAAGAGGAGAAGCCCCGAGGTAGCGGCCGCCGTGAGCTCGAGCGGCGTTGGCTCCGTTGAATTATGGCGAAGGCAGAAGGCACCGGCCATTGCGCTTGAAGACGCCACGCCAAGGCCACCGAGGAGGCTCGGCAAGACGGGCATCGCGACCGAGACGCGCACAATGTACATGGAGAGTTGGGTCAGCGAGACGCCGCCGAGGAAGAGCGCGCCGCCGCCTACAGCATCGATCGCTGTCCGCTCGAGCGCGCCCACGAGAACTTGGCTGCGCAAGGCCACAAGCTTCGCCTGCCACTGCGCCAGCCGCTCCTCCCACGCGCTGTCTTCGTCGTTCACCATGCCCTTTGACCGAGGGATACGATTCGTTAAAATCCTGGCGTTTCAAACCCTGCTTTGTATACGATTCGTCGCGCCATTAGCATTTCAGCCAATGGTGTGGGGCTGTCAGAGCGCACCGATTGGCTGAAACGGTATCTTTTTAGAGCGCCTTCAAACGCGGCCCTAGCCCTTGCGTTTTGTCTGAACTGTGATGTGCAGCGACTGACCTTATGTTCGAGATGAGTATTTCAGGCGAGTTGTCTATGGCCGCGCGCTCCATCGCGTGGCAAGCTGTTTTCTTTGACTTTGCAATGTGGGGGAGCGTGTTTCGAAGCACGACGAGATATTTTCGTCGGGGGGGGCTCGGCTTGCAAGGTTGCTGCGCGTCTCATATTCCCGCCAAAATTTTGAAGCCTAAAACTCAAAAATACATGTCAACATAGCGGTCAGCTTCCTCGCGGCAGCTGCCATGGGCGCAAAACCTCAAGCTTTTGCCACTCGACTCGTCGCTCGTCGCGAGCTCACGTTTCTTGACGTGATTCCTTTTCTTTCGATCCGATAGACGACGAGCAAAGTGCAATGTCAACGTCTTGAAGCTCGAGAAGCCAATGATCGAGCGCTGGTGTGACTGATTGACGACCGGTCAGTCCGATCAGCATAAGCTCGTGGGGGGCACCAACACACCATTGACTCACCGTGTGCGTGTGCTAGTGTAGATCATGAGCATCTCTGTGTGTCCCATCCACGAAAGGAGGTTGCTATTTTGGAGCAACAACATATGATTTTGAGTATCTCGCCCGTCGTCGCGTGTCATGTTTACGGCGAGGAGGTCGGCAACCGTCCGCAAGGCGTTCCTACTGTAGATATGGACGATGCGATGATGCTCCGACACTTCTCGCGTATGTAATGGCCTCTCCGTTTGAAGCCGACCAAATAGCAGATCCGGCCGCGTCGGTCACTTGTCGTACGGCAGTGTTCAATTCGCCACGATGGCCACGATCAACGCGAGCCTTCACGATGCAATTACTTACTATCAGTGCGGCGGCGTCGACTTGTTGAAGTCACTGTCGCCCAGCGTCGTGCGACTGGATGTTCTCCTCCTCCGCACATTGGTTGCGGTCGCGGTGGTCGCGCTGAGCCTGTGTTTCCTCCCGACCACGTGGGCCACGATTGCACAAAAGCACCGCATCGCCAGCGCGCTACGAAGCTTGCCCGGCCCCCCGGGGCTTCCCCTCCTCGGCAACTTGATCCAGCTCGGGCAGCACATGCACGACCTGCACCTCTGGAAGGTATACTCCATGTCCAGTGACCATGAAAGCTCAGCGTGCGTATGTAGCGCCACTTGGCTACGGTCTACGGGTCCACGTATGCGATTCGCGTCGACTTGGTCATGAACGGCTCGATCGTGACCAACAAGCCGTGCAACATTGAACACATTCTGAGCACCAACTGCAGCAACTACGTCAAGCCACAGATCATCCAAGACGTGTGCAAGGAGGTGATGGGGCAATCCATCTTTGCCATCAACCCCGACTCGCCGCTCTGGGCGTGCCAGCGCAAGCTCATGGCCAACATGTTTTCCGTCAACTCGTTCCGGAAATACATGGACTCGGTGTTTGTGGATGCGGCTGATGCTGCGCTCGGTCGGCTAGATGCTGCCGCACGCCGCAACGACACGGTCAACCTCGAGACGACGCTGCTCACGCTCACGACCACGATTGCCTTTCGCATCGGGTTTGGGCGCCACGTGCCAGAGGCCATGACCACCGACGCGTTCCATGGGCTCTTTCGCGAGGCGGGGGCAATCACCGCCAACCGCTTCACGCGCCCGTGGTACAAGTTTGCCGGCGCGGTTTTGCCGTCTGAAGCCCGGCTCCGGACTGTCGTCGGTGAAATCGATGCGGCTTTGTATGCGCTCATTGCGGAGCGGAAGGCGGCGCCCGTGACTCCGAGTGCGGTGGATGTGCTCTCGCAGCTGCTTGACCAGCAGCGCCGCGGCCTTCTCGAGCTCAGCGATACGGTCGTGCGCGACACGATGATGACGGTGCTCTTGGCGGGGCGCGAGACGGTCGCGAGCGGCCTCCTCTGGATCCTCTATTGTGTGAGTCGCCACCCGGCAGTCGAAGCCAAGCTTTTGGCCGAAGTCGACGGAGTGTCGAGCGTCGACTACGAGTCAATGAGCAGCCTTGTTTACATGGAAGCCGTCATGAAGGAGACGTGGCGGCTCTTTCCCCCAACGCCGCTCGAGCTCAAGGCGGCGGTTGCGGACGACGTGTTGCCTGATGGCACGTTTGTGCCGGCGGGTGTCAACGTCGAGTTTTCGCCGTTCGTAATGAACCGGGATCCGACCCGGTGGCGCAACCCCGATGCGTTCGAGCCCGAACGCTGGCTCGAGCCCGGGTTCTCGCCCACCGATTTCGAGTACCCGGTTTTCAACGCCGGCAAGCGCAAGTGCGTCGGTCAGCGCATCGCGATGCTCCAGACAAAGTTCATTCTCTGCAAGCTCTACCGCCACCTCCGATTTGACATGCTCGATGAGAAGGACCCGACGTTTGCGCTCGGCATCTCTCTCTTTCCGACCAACGGCATGGCTGTCAAGCCCGTCTTGCGTCGGCCGTCCAGCACGCTCTCAACGACGCCGGCACCCGCGGCATAAACGCCAAGTCTTCTCGTAGTGTGCACTGTTGTACAAAATGTGGCGTCCATTAAATTGTCCATCTTTTCTCTCAATCTCAAACTCAAAAATCGTCTTACAGCATAGTATCAAATGAAATGCGCGTGAACTTTTCATTGCAATGACCCCGATATCGCTCGGGCCCGTCCCCACTTGGGTTCTAGCAAGGTATGGTTCGAGTGTACGCCGATGAGCATGTTCATGCCCCCCACACGGCACTGTGCTCCTTCCGCAATGCTTGCGGTGGCCATGGTTGAATAAACCGTGACGTATGTACAATACGATCTTAGTAACGCAGCGAGAGAAAGCACGCAACACCCGCCTTGATCCAATAATCTTGGTCGGCGAATTGCACCTAAACGCCATGAAAGGTTGGGTGTGGCAAGAGTCGGTACCTGAAGGTTGGTCTCGGACACGAGCGAGTTGCGCCAGATCGTGTCCTTATCCGACGGGATCTCGATCCACATGACAAAGTTGGTCGAGTGGCCCGTTGTCGAAAGCGTCCCGGTTCGTGTCAGAATCTTGTAGACCGGGCAGCGGTAAATGCCACTCTGCGGCGCTTGTCGGCTCCGGATCGGCATCAAGTGGATCACCTACGCCGCGTCTTCTCCACATCTCATACAGTTTAGTTGCGCACCGGCATCTTGGAGAATAATTCCTTCGGGTTGGGGTCCACGAGCGACTTGCGCTGGTAGTCCCACCGCGCGCCTTCGATGAAGAGCCCGTACGTGTAGCAGCCGCCTTGCACGGGCTTGACGATGATCTTGTCGACGGGTTCCGGGTGCATGATGAAGTCCCACGACAGCGTGTCGATCGGAATGTTGAAGCCACGCGCGTGGTTTTGCAGAATGCCCGTGAGGAATCCTTGTGGAAAGAAGAACCCCGACATCCACAGCACGGGCGGGATGCCATCAGCGACCCAATTAGTCACAAACTTGAGCCGCTCGAGGAGCTCGTCGACCCAAGGGTTGAGTGCTTTGAGCGACGGGTACGCCTTGCGCTCCCAGAGAGGTGGCACCTATCGCACTGTCGTATTGCACGCCAATCAAGTTTATACCGCGTACCTTTTGGTTGAAGATGCACGTCGACATGGTCTCGAGCTCGGCTGACATGACGACGAGCCCTTTGAGCGCCCGCTGAAGCAGCGGCAACGACGTCTTCATGACGTGAAGCAGGTTGTTGTAGCGCTGCGCTTCTTGGACCAGGACCGTGTTCATCGACTCCTCGTACATGACGGGGTACCGGACGCTGATGAATTCAATGTCGAAGAGCGGCGGGAGCTTGGACTCGATGTCTTTGGCTTGGAGCTCGATGATCATCTCTTGGCTCTGGCCAGCCCCCGAGCTCATGCGCGGCTGGAGACTCAGAACAATGTCAAAGTTGTTGAACGTCTCGGCCATCGCGCACGTAATGTTGGCGTTTTCATGCATGCCAAACACTTCAGGGTCCGGGTTGAGCGGGAGACCGTCAATGTACGAGAGGTAGTGGTTGAGCGTCGCGCTCGGTGCTTGCGGGTTCGAGACCGCGATCGACTTGTACGTGCCGCTGGCCGAGAAGGCGTAGTTGTCGAGCAATATCTTGTCGTTGAAAAAGCCCTCGAGGATCACGTCGATCGTGCGCATGTCCTTGTCGTCCGTGACGCGTCCGCCATAGTTGACGACGGACGTCATGACGCAAAGGACGCGGTACGGCACAACTTCGTAAAAATCCAAAAACATTTCGAGCTGCGCCCGGGAAATGTCATAGTCCGTGTCGTTAAACGCATATGGGATATTCCACCCCAGTGGCCCGAACCGCTTGCGCTCAATCACGACCGCGTGGAAGAAGGCGAGGCCAAAGAGCAGCTTCCGGTACTTCTCCGGCTTGCTCGTCGCATCGAGCATCTCGTCGGTCATCTTGATGTACGAGTTTTTCAAGTTGGCGCGAATGCCCTTTGGTGGTTCCTTGGTCATTTTGACGCCGTTCTGGAGCACGGATGTCGGAAACGAAGCACTCGGGCGCGACGTGAGCCAGAGTCGAAAGTCGCGGTGCGTTGTCTCGGGGTTGAGCTCCTCACAGATGCGCTCGAGGGACGGCATCCACGAAATCGCGAGGTGGCAGTTCTGCAGCAGCACCCACTTGCCACTCGAGATCGCATCTTCAATCATCTTGGTGGCAATGACGCCTTGGCCTTGCCCGAGCGAGATCGAGTTGAACTTGCGGCCCATCTTCATCACGTCGGCAAACTGGAGAAGGTCTTTGGCCGGGTCCGAGCCCGTCGAGAGGATAAAAATGAGCGGCGTCGTGACACTCGCGTCCGCAAATGAACCTGGCAAGTCGAACGTCGGCGGCTCAATGAAGCGCTGGCCGAGCTGCTCGGCGACAAATAGCTGGATTGCCTCCATCATGCGATCGGGGCGGATGCAGCGGAGGACGCAGAGCTTCTGGAACGTATTGAGTGTGAACGGAAAGTGGCTCGGGAGGCGCGCGAGGTGCGGGTCGACAGCATCAAAAATGCGCCGCCACGCGTCCGTCTCTTCAACGAGGCACGCGATGAGCGACTCGAACTTTGGAAGCGTCGTGAGGCAGCAAAACTCGGACCACGCCCGGTCTTCGATCCAGTCGGAGCTCGGGTTGCGGCTGTCTGTATCTTTTGTCGGCGTCGAGCCCGAAATGAGGAAGCGCCACTCCAGCGCGTCAATCTCGTCGCGGCCTTGGAGCAGCTTGATCGTCAAGAGAAACGAAAACAGGAGCTTGTGCTCTTCAAAGAGCGACCGGCAAATGTTCTTGTAGAGCGAGTACGTCGTTGAGTCCATGAGGTTCAAAAGCCGCGTCGCCAGCACGTCGCTCGGCTCGGCCGCGCGGATGCTCTACAGAGAAAGTTGACATGTCGATACTTTGATCGATAGCTATACCTTGACAAAGAGCTCGACAAACCACGTGAGCGAGTACTGGTACATCGGGTCGACGATCGCGAGGTCTGCAATGCAGAAAAAGAGCAGTGACGCGCGGTTGGCGACGCCGCGATACAACTCGCGCGTCTCGTCGATGGTCTTTTCGGTGATTTCGGCCTCGGCCATCTTTTCGTTAATGTCTTCGGACGTCACTTTGGCCTTGCCGAGCATGTCGATGAGGTCCGTGTCGTCGAGGATGTTGCCCTGCGAGTTGGCGAGCATGTACAAGATTTTGTTTTCAATGTCGAGGAGCTCGGCCTTCATCTTGGCATTCGAGATGACGAGGTTGTTCTTCTTCTCGGCGAGCTCGGGCATCTCTTCTTGGACGACAACACCGAGCGCTTGCTCCTCCAAGCCAAACGGCGTGATGGTAAAGTTGAGGAGGCACACCTTGACGCACGTTTCCGGAGGGTAGTGCGGGTTGGGCAGCTTTGTCGTCATGAAAAACTTGAACGCCATGTTGTACGGGATCGTCGAGTCGCCAATCTTCATCATGAGCTGGCCGCCTTGCTTGAACTTGGTTTGGAGCAGCACCGTTTCCAGCGCCGCATCGAGAAACTCCGTCACGTTTTCCAAAAGAATCCACTTGCCAAACCGGACGCCGTTCTCGAGCGCCTTGATAAAGTTCTTGTCCGAGCTCTTGACCACGTCAATGCCGTTCTCAGACGTATCGCGCCCCAGCGACTTGATGAACCGGTTGGCTTGGCCCTGCGGGTCGATGAGCAGTGGCCACCGACGCGCGCGCGCCATGATGATGCCATTTTGCACCGAGAGGTTGTCGGACGGAAGACCCGCAATCTGCCAGCCTCGGACTTTGACCGGGTCGGCGAGCGTCGTAATGATGTTGCAGTTGCGCGTGTGCGGCACGACCTGCTTGTCGAGGGCGTTGTACCACGACGCAATGCAAATGTCTCGAAACTCGCTCGTAAAGCACCCAAGGTAGCTGATCGTGCCGGACGAGATGACGACGTCGCCCACGAGGTTGCGAAAATCCATGTTGAGCTGCGAAATCGTGATCGTCCAGCGCGCTTCTTCGCCGCCGAGAAGCGCAATGAGCTTGAGCGCCGACTCTACCGTGCCGGGCTATGACCCCATGACAATGTACACGAGGACGTACCGAGTCGAATTTCACACTGCCGAACGTCTTGGATGAGCTGGTCTTTCTTGTCGACGGCGGCGTTGTACCCTGCCTCGAGCTCTTGGAGGCGATTGACGACCGCCTCTAACCGGCCCTTGGCGTCGGCGAGGACGCGCATGGTCACATCGAGCTCCGACTGCGCAGTTGCGAGCGCCAGTTTCTTTGGCTCGACCATTTTGGCGATCTTGTTGTACGTGTGCATGGCGCGCACCCACATGCAAATGGCTTCGCAGGCCTACCGAGTACCCGTGGAGCTCAGTCGAATACCGTTTACGCGTACCACGGACGCCTTGCGCACCGATGCAGGTAAAAACTCTTCCATCTCCATGTACGGATCGATTTGCTGGATGATCTTCTCGCCAATGTTGTCCTTGTCAAACTTGACCATGTCTTCGAGGAGCTTCTTTGCGTTGCCGAGGATCGTCTTTTGCGCACTCTCCCAGTAGTCCTTGATCTTTTGGCCCGGTTTGTCCGGATCCGTCTTGAGCGTCGGCTTGATGCCAAAGATGATGCACGCTGCTTCCATCGTCAACCGGACACCGTGCGGCGGGTTCTTCATCGCCTTGACTTCGTCAATGTCCGACTTTTTGAGCTTGTTCAAGCACGCCGTCGCGGCTTCAAGGGCCGGCAGCGCTTCGTCCAAGTCGCGCTGTGCGTCGTCGGCAATGGCCTTGGTGTCGGCCGCCTTCTTGTTGGCGCCCTCTTCCTCTAAAACATGTGTGTTTGAGTTTTGAGTTTTGAGAGTCGTTTGAAGTCGTACCCTTCTCAACGACCGCCTTGGTCTCGTCGGCATCCTTCTTGTCTTCAGTGATCTTGATCATCATGGCCTCAACCTCGATTTGTGTCTTCTCGAGCTGCGGCTTGAGCGCCACGAGCTGCTCTTGCATGCCGGCGACTTGCTCTTTGGTCGCAATGATCTTGTCGACGCCGTTCTGAAGGCGACCTAAACCCAGGATGAATCGTCTTGCGATCGAGAGAGTCGTGTACTGATCATCATGGACACTTCTTCGCGCTTGGTTTGCAGAACATTCTTGAACGTAAAGAGGAGCTCGAGGTACGATGTCGGCGTCACGTAGTTGTACCGGCGCAGCTTTTGAAAGTAATTGGCCGACTCGTGCTCGACAGTTTGGTGCATGCTCTACTTGTCCAAGTAACACGCCATCAACATTGTGCAATCACTGCGTACCTGAAAGACGTTGACGACGGGCAGGACGCTGTCGCCGAGCTTGAGGTCGACGACCGTGAGCGCGTTCATCGCAACCGACTGCAGCGCTTGGGCGGGCCACTCGCTGAACCAGTCGATTGTACAGCAGTTGACGAGCGACGGAAACATGCGGATGCGGTCGCGGAAGGCACTGCCGAGCGGGCTCATGCAGAGCACCATGTGCAAATTCTGACGCACGAGCGTCACGTACTGGCCAAAGATGTTGAGCTTGGTCGCAGGGATCCGCTTCTTGATGCACATGCCGCGGCAGTGGTTCGTGATCGCGTCAATGTCTTCGGGCGCATACAAATTGGGCACGTCGCCCGTGTTGAGGATGTTGTTGATGTCCTCGAGCATGATATCGTGCACGATTTGAACATCTGAAAACAAGAAGACGGTCGGCTTTTCGTCGACGCCGGCTTTCATCAGACACTTTTTTAGGTCGTCGCGCCAGTCGGCCACCGAGTAGCCCTTGGAGATCTCGATCTGGCTGCAGCCGTACTCGGCCATAAAGGCGGCGAGACGCGTGAGACTCTGTCGCCCGCTGCCGCCGACACCCAGCAAGAGGGCATTTCCCTGTGGCTGTCGAATGACCTAATATTGTTGTGTGAGTGGACCGCAATCTGTAGTCAACGTACGCGCGCGATGCGGGAAACGTGCTCGATCGCATTCATAAACATGACGAGGTTCATCGGTGCGTTGGACTCGGCGTTGTAGTCGTTGAGGTACTCCTCCACTTGCGCCACGAGCTTCTCCATGTCGCTAATCTCCTCGTAGATTTTCGGGTCGGCGCCGGGAATCATATAATCGCCAAAGAGCAAGTTGGGTTGGGGCACGACGAGGCGCCAGCCTTGCGTTTTGCTCTCTTCCATCGCACTCGGATCCTATGGTTACGGTCAATTGCCGGTACATTGTCGTCGCGCACTCGACCTTGAGCACGTCGGGGAGCCCCAAGCGCGGGCCAAAGTTGAGTGCAATCTGCGTTTGGAGCTGGTCTGTAAACCACTGGTGGTCAGCGAGCGTCGTGAAGCGATCTTCGAAGACGCGCATGTTCTCGTGCACCCAGAGCCGGAGGAGCTGGTCGAGTTTCGTAATGCGCTTGTTGTCGCCCATGAGGAGGCCCTGGAAGATTTTGGCCAAGTCGCGCAAGTTGAAGGTATAATGCGCCTTGGACGGAGTCGGCAAAAGCTCTTGAATCACAATGTTGTAAATGTAGATCGAGCTCGAAACCAGCGCGAGGCCCACTTCCGGGGGCTTGAGGTCCTCCGAGAACTTGCTCAAAAAGCTCGCAACGATCGTTGCAAACACTTGGCGCTTGCTGTCGTCCGACATTTCCGTGTACCCGATAATGTTGAAGTGGCGAATGAAGCGCGGAGTGATCGGGTTACGGCCACCCCCCGGCGGGCCCATGGACGCCACAAACACCACGTCGACAATGTTGCGAAACACGAGGAGCTTCCGGTCGTACCACCCGCCTTGGTCAAACCACTGCCGGAGGATCTCAATTGGCGGCTGCGCAAAGTACTCTTCCTGCTTGGGCATGTTGAGATCGTCAATGTGCACGATGAAGCGCTTTCCCGCGGTCGGGCCGTACACGCCTTTGCGCCGCTTCTCCATTTTGCCGTCGAGAAAGTCCTGCGTCTGGTTGGCGCTCGTTTGGGCCGAGAACGTGAGCTTGAGTGGCACAAACTTGTCGCTGTCGACCTTTTCCAAAAATTGGTTGACGTTGATGGTCTTGCCCGTGCCCGTGGGGCCCACGATGAGCATGTGGACGCCTTGGGTCAAGGCGAGCTGCATGAGGAACGTCGACCGGACGCTGTCGCTCGTCGGCACAACCAGCTCCGAGAAGCTCGACTCGGCCGGCACAACGTACTTGGGTATCGTGTCCAGCCAGAGCTTCCACGACTCGGTGGCTCGGTCTAGCGCATAGTCGTAGACCAAACCTGCCGACGGCAGCGGCTTCTTCATGCCCGGGTGACTCAAGAGCTCTTCACGGAGGTACGCGTCAAACTTGATGCGACCGGCGTCATTGCCCGTCGCACCAATGCTCCAGATGAGGCAAAACACAAAGAGCTCCGAGCAGTGGTTTGTAAAGTACATCACGTGCTCGAGGCGCGTCTCCTTCTTTTCTTCGGCCGCGACAACCGAGAAGAAGCAGTTGAGGAGCCGCAAGAGCGAGCTCACGAGGTTGTTGGGGATCTGCGGCAGCCATTCCTTCACGTGCTGCGTCACAAACGTTAGCGCTGGGCGCATGAGACAGTCAAAGAGCCACTGCAGATCGCGCTTAAAGTCGGGTTTGAAGTCAGGATGGAGGTTCTCGAGCCTACACAGACCCAATGACACTTCGTTTGATACAAAGCGAGGCTCGTACCAGCTGGTCGTGAGCGGGTCAAAACCCAAAGAGGCAGGCTCCATGTACACCATGCCAGTGCGACTCACCGTCGCAGGTGACGCGACCGAGAGATCCTCGACTTCAAACATCATGGTCATCTCTTGGGACATTTGGATGATCTCGCCCGAGCTCAAGCACAACTTCTTGTTGTCGTCAAGGACCGTGTTCATATTTTCGATCCAGATGGCATCGACGGGGCCGTCAAAGATGACCCACTTGCGGTCGGCGTTGGTGCTGGAGGCAGCCGCTCGGTACAGCGTCGACAAAATGCCGTCTTGCCACTCGTGCGTGCTTGCGTCAAACTCGCCGTAGAGCTGGCCCATCGTAATGGACTTTGGGTTGAGCTGGTAGATGACGACTTCTTCGTACGCAAAGCCGTTCTCGCCGAGCTTCTTGAGCTCCGTGAGCGTGTCGCAGAGCACTTTGAGGTTGCACGACTTGCCGCCACCCGTGGCACCAACAACCATGAGGCCGTGCCGGACGCAAAGCGTTTCGTAGAGCTGGACGACCTTCATGAGGAAGAACGGGTGCGGCTGGAGCTTGAGCCGCTGGATCACGAGCTTGGAGACGCGACTGAGCGCGCCAAGGTTGAGCTGCGGCCGTGATTTGCCGGGAAAGAGGTCACTGATGATGCCGTTAAAGAGCGGAATGTCAAACGAGAGGAACTTTGGCAAGTTGACGTCCTGAAGCGCGCGGAGCAAGAGGACTTCTTCGTCCATGTCGGGGTCCGCGCGCTTGAGGTTGCCGGCGGCCGTAATGACGGTTTTCACAGCACGCATGCCGTAATCGTAGTGTGACTGCGACGACAATTGCTCCGAGCAGAGCTAGGTAGAATAAATAACCAAACAAGTACTGTAAACGGTAGTACCTTGAACGTTGTGACCATTTTAGCACCGCACTCTTTGGCTTTTTCATAGCCGTAGGCAAAAAACATGATTTCGCCAATCATGGCGTAGTCGGGCACCATCATGGCCACGGGGCGGAAGAGCGCGGCGAGCGAGTCGGGAAGGTCCGACCGCCCCGCGTACCCCGGGTTCATCGTGATAAAGACGCCAAACTGCGGGCTCACGGCAATGTCCGAGCCTTCAAACACAATCCGTTTCTCATTCGCTCGGATCGCGAGCTACACGACGCAAATTTCGACTTGGTTTTTGAAAAAGTACACAAAATACCTGAAGCGTCGTGACTTGCTGGCCAATGACACTGAGTACTTCAATGTTGATGCGGTTGAACTCATCGAAGCAAGCCCATGCACCGCAGGAGGCAAGACCCTATGCTTGTCGTCGCACATGTCAGAGGCATATCCATCCACCAACCTTGAAAAACTTGCCCATGGCGATATAGTCGAGACCGTCCGAGCAGTTGAAGACAACACACTGCTTGGCGAGCGCCTTTGCGAGATCTTTGGTCGTCTCGGTTTTGCCCGTGCCAGCGGGGCCCGCGGGGGCACCGCCGAGAATCATCTGCAGCGCAGCCATGAGCGTCATGTAGCACTTGTCCGTGAGCGGCGTGATCACGAGTCGGAACGAGTTGCCGAGGTACTCGTAGCCGTACGGCCGTCGCGCCGAGACCTATGCATAGTACTTAGCACTCGTATTACAAACGTGCACGTACCATCTCTGCAAACAAATCGTCGTTCCAGTAGTATCGGAGCTGGCTCGACCACATAAAGTCGTCTTTCGTGCTCACTTTGCTATGCACGAGGCGCATTGTGACATCGCGGGCGTGGACGTCAATGACGGTGAGAGCGCCGACACTGATGCGAGCCAGCTTGTCGAGGTGCCCGCGCACCTACACACCACATTTATGTTGCGGCACAAAAGGAAAGGCTACATACCATTTGCACCATGTCGGCCAGTTGCGCGAGCTGGCGCTCCATCATCTTTTGAACGCCGTTGGCGCCGTCCGCCGCCATGTTTTCTTCCATCTCGCGCGTCCAGTGGAACTGAGAGCCGTTGAGGACGCACATGCCGGGCCACTTTTGGATCCACTTGACACGAGAGACCTGGGTGTAGTCTTGGATGGCCTTGAACATGACGGCCCGGATCGAAACGCGCATCATGTCTTCGACCTCGGTCATCCAGTGCTCGACATTCTTGCCGTTGGGGTTGACGGGGGTCGCCATCGCGACGGTCTCGCCCTCGGCCGAGATCATCGACGTGATGGTAAGGTCGTCTTGGAACTCGACCTTGACAACGCCCTCAAAGCACTTTTTCAAATGCGGCTGCACGAGCTTGACATCTTTGGACTCGGACAGAATCGACAAGAGCTCTTCGTTTGAGAGAAAGTAGAAGCGCGAGAACGCCGACCGCTTCGTTTCGAGGAAATCGCTGAGCCCTTTCTGGACTTGCTCGAGAAACTTGTTGCTCTCTTGGAACCGGTCGAGGAGTTTGTCGTTGTTGCAAAAGTTGATGACGCTCGGCTTGGCTTTGGCGGCCGCGAGCGTTTGGCGCCAGTTCTTATCGACGGTCGCGAACCGCTTGCCTTCCATCGGCAGCTGCTTGTTGATGTCGGGGCTGTCAAAGATCGGCTGCAGATACAGCCACGCGCGCTGCACCGCCATCCACTCTTCGAGCACGTCCGAGACCGTACTGAGACACTTTTCCCACTTGTTGATGCGGTCTTCAAATGGCTTTTTGAACGCGGAAAACTGCATCGCTTGCGTCGTCGTGATTTGCTCGTCGAGAATCGCTTGGACTTCATCGACGGCTTTGAGAACAAACGTGCCTGTCTCGCGGTAGTCGACGATCGACAAGCTCACTTGCTTCCACTGCTCTTCCATCGCGTTGAGCGCCTTCTCGATCTGGTACTCCTTCCCGGCCGTCTCGCAGATCTTGGTGATCGCCTCAATGTGCTTGTCAAGCCCGAGCCCGAGAACGTAGCTCAGCTTCATGCCGCGGTCGGGACGAAAGCTCATGTGCGTCTCGCCATTCATAAGGTTCCAATGCCGGTCTTGGATGCCCGGGTTGCGCAGGGCCATGACCAGCGGGACGTGCGGCCGGAAGGCTGCAATCTCGCTCCGAATGTGGTTGGCAATGTCCAAGCAGCCCTTGATGTTGGCCTTCTCAAAGAATTTGGTCGCCTTGATGATATTGGCCCAGTTGGTCTCGACGAATTGCTCAAACTCTTCGCCGTTGATGTCAAGGAACGCGCCTTCCATCCACTTTTTGTGGTCCTTGAGCCAGTTGTTGGCCGTCTTCCAAAGCGTCGCGTACGGCTCAAAGTCGCGCCGGATGCGGCTAATCTCTTCGTAGTCGGTCATCTCCTGGCCAAAGAGCCCTTCGCGCGAGTTGAAGAGCCGCGCGTCTTCGTCGGCCTTGATGATCTTTTGCTCAATATTCACCACGTATCTATAAAGCGATACGCTGATAGAAGCCAAGTCCGATACAAACGTACTTGAAGACTTGCTCGACGCGGGCGAGGTCCGTGTACTGCTTGAAGCCGTCGACTTCTTGGTGTAGAATGCGCAATGACTCTGTAAACTCCACCTGCTGGTCCCGCATCTCGCCGAGAAACTGCTCGTTTTGCATGGCGAGGATGTTGTTCATCTTGTGCACTTGGTCGTAAATGTGGTTGGGACCGAGCCTGACTCGCCAAATCGCCACAAAGTCGTCCTTCTCCATCCGGTACTGGAACGAGTCGAGGAGCTACACAGCAGGTCGGTCGCGTCGATGTCGACCTCCATCCACAACGCGTACCGCGCGGTACTTGATGAGCTGCTGGGACGAGGCAAGCAATGGCGCTAGCTGTGCACTGATGCTGTCAATGTACTGCTTCATCTCGGTGAGTTGTTCAATGTCGGTCGGTATCTTTTGCAGCTGGCGGTTGATTGGCTCAAACTTGCTGTGGAGGTCCTTGGCCAGCGTCGTGCACTTGACAAGCTGGCAGTCGAGGAGCTTCTTGGCGAGGCGCCGGTGCTTCTCGGCCAGCTGCGCCCGCATCGCAGCGCAGCTCACCGTGTACATACCAAGCTCAATGTTCATGGCTGGAATCGCGTCTTCAATGTCAAGTGCGTCTTGGGCGTGCTGCTTGATCCGGTCGCTGAGCTCTTGCAAGTTGGGCGGGTCCTGCGCGCGGAAGATGTCCAAGTAGTGATCCTCGTCGAGGTTCATGAACGCAATGTAGCTACATGGATTTATGGAGCTGATCGACGACCATTTTCGTTGATACCGGTCATATTGCTTGAGGTATGCGCGCAGGGGCACTTCGCTCTTTTCGATGAGCTTGGCGACGTCGTCTCGCAGCGCTTGCACCCACGGTTCGTTGGCGTTGACGTACGGAATCGAAGGATGACTGCTCCAGAAAAGCTTGTCCATCACCAATTGCTCGACCTGCACGGTGCATTCACGGTGCCGGAGAAATATATATTCGTACCTGCTTGATGTCCTTGCACGTGTCGATCGACTTGTTGAAGACGTCGAGCACGAGCTGCGAGAACGCAGGGATCGGTGTGTTGTAGCCAAAGTTGTGGCCCATTTTGGCCGGGACGGGCTCGAACGGACACGGTTCGTCGTCACGCTCTAGGTGCACGGTAAAACCTTAACTACATCGCCGATCGACGCACTGTTGTCGTTGTCCGGGTCTTCTTCGAGCTGCTTGGCGCGCTTGACCTCTTGCTCGTGCACCCACTCGTCAATCTTGGCTTGGGCCTCGTCGATCTCGTGCTGGTTGATCACTATAAGCTCGGACGCAACGCTCAGCGTGAGCGCAAAGAGCGCCGGTGGGTTCTGGAGCTGGCGCTGGCGGCAAAGAAACTCGAATTTCGCAGGCCCAATGTTCTCGGCAGCTACAAGCAAAGATGTTATTGTATACATGTGGAGCGAGGTCTGTACCGCGGCGCTTCTCAATGTCAGGGTACGACAAGACGGTCGTTTTCGCATCGACGACTTTGACGCTGGCTTCGGCCGCCTTGGCCATAAAGATGCAATACGAGGCAAGCGACTGCTCGGCCAGGAAGCGCAGTGTGTCCTATCGCGCACTTGAGCTGGTATGAGTATGCACGTCGTCGACAACCTTCATGACGAGGTTGACGCGGTGCAGGAACGATCGGAGCTTGCTGAACTCGTACGTGTCCCGGCGCGTTTCTTGGAGGTTGTACCAGCCCTTCCCAACGTGCGCGAGGGACGTCTTGATCGCGTGCGTGATCTTGTTGGGCCAGTCTTCGTGCAGCAGCTTGTACATGGCGCGCTCTTGGGTGTTTTGGCGCTGCTGAAACTCCTACATATCCATTCGGAGCCTGGGTTGCATGGCACTCGTGTACTTCGAGTTTGAGGCTGCGGGTCGTTTTGAGGCTAAAGATATCGACGCACAATAGACGGTAGCACTCTTCGTTGACCTTGACGGCCGCCGCTAGCGTCTATGCATATCCAAAGGATAGGTCACATAGTAGTATCCTGTGAATTCAACCTCGGGCGACGTTAGAAACGTCTGGAACGAAAACCCGATAAACTGGTCGGCGTAGTCGATGGGCGGCGCAATCACGCGGTGCTTGGTCGTATCGATCACGTGCGACTCATCGGGCGGCGCGCACAGGAAAAAGTTGGTGCCACGTCCGCTCGCTTGCTGGTGCTCAAAGATGATGCGGCACATGGTGCGGAGGTAGTCGGTGTGCACTTCGGCAACGATCTTGGTCGTGTCGGGCGGAACGACGCTCTTAGCCTGGAAGACGCTCGTCGCGAGCTTGATAATCTTGTTGACATTTTCCGTCCCGAGCTTGTGGAGGTCGTCCGACGGCATGCAGTCGATGTAAATGTTCTTGCGGATCGCCGACTGCGCGTAGAGGCGCGCCAAGTGCGCAGCATGGACGCGGTTCACAAAGCCTTCGGGGTCCTCGGCCTAGAAAAAAGCTGCGTTGTATCCTCTCTGCCTTCGCGCCTAGTACCTTGAAGCAAATGTCGCACCGATGCAGAGGCATCTCGTCCTGGCCGAAACGAACCGTGAAGAGGTCGCGCTCGGCCGAGTACGCAATCACGTGGCCCTCGTTCCAGAGGCCGGGCAAACCAGGCCGGCCGTAGAGCGCCGTCACCGGGATCGCGACGGTTCCGTCCTTTCTCTTGCCGCAAGCAATCCAGTCCTACGACGCCATTCTCAAGAGGTCGGTCGGTGGTCGAGGGTCTCGCACCTCGGGTTCGCGCTCTTCAAACGACTTGTCATCAAAGAGGTGCAGTGGTAGCGCCTCGATGAGCTGCATGGCGACCCCGCTCGTGTCGTTGATGACGTCCTGGTACTCGCGACTGCCAAAGAGCTCGGATAGCTTTTCTTCGATCAGTTTGCCGACGTTGGCCGACTCGAAGAGGCGCCGCTTTCTAAAGATCGAAGCATGAGCAAGAGCAAGAGCATGAGGATCGTCGAGTACCGCTCGACTTCGACTTGGCGAGGAGGCCGATCGGCCGTGCGCTCGTGCGGTAGGAACACCTTGGGCTCAATGTCGCCACGCTGCTTGCGCACGATGGGCACGGTCGTGGACATGCCAATGCTGAGGCCGACCGCGTACGCTGTGCAGGATATCGTTATGGCTCATGAGAACGAAGATGAGAGCATGTACCTGGTGGCATGTCGACTGCCATGTGCGGGCCCGTAATGTGCGTCGACGTGCGCAGCCGTATGCTCTCATCGGGCGTCGGGATCGGATCGAGGAAGACGACGCCGCCGGCCTTTTCGTCCACAGGCTTGGGCTTCACGGGGCTCGTCGACGGCGCCAAGGTCTTCCGACCGCGCTACATGCATGCGTCCATTGCCCTCGGCGCAAGCAGGATCGCGCATCGTCTACCTTGATCGGGCTTGGCATGCTCGTCGGATCCTTGAAAGTCCCCGCGACTCTTCACGCTTGTCGCGTTTCGTTCCGGATACGATACCGAGCGTATCCGGTTGTCCTCGGACTCAATTGACTGCGCGGTACTATTTTTTTGATTTTGCAATTTCTGATATGGGTCACAGCTTGAAGCCACGTGCTTTTTTATAAATTGAGTTGCAATTGAGCGTATCCAGCGGTGGCAGAAGGCAAAAATGTGGCGGCTCCTTCCTCGAGCGACGGACGCGCGCAAGGCGCATGGCCGGTGGGCCTCGGCCGCATGGCGCGGGTACGGTGCTGGCAGCGACAACGGCGACGTCCAAGGTACCAGCGGCGACACGCCGTGGCGCGTGCAAAAGATGAGCGCGTCGGCGATTCGGTCGCAGGAAGAGACCCGGCGCGTGCTCATCTTGATCCGCACGTTCAAGCAGTATGGCCACTTTGTCGCGCACATTGACCCGCTCGAAAACAGTCCGTCCAAGAATGCACGTAGTAGCTCATGGCGAAACATTTGTATGGCGTAGGCGAGAAGATGCCCGAGCTGCAAAAGTGGAACTGGGGCAGTCGCTGGGTCGAGAAGCCGTACTTTGACGACTTTAACCTCAACTCGCTCGCGCACGGCAAGAACCTCGAGCTCACGGCGCATGGTACGCCAGCCCTTTTCGCTTCTCGACGCTCGACGGCACCATTCTAGGCTTCTCGGAGGCGGACCTGGACCGCGAGTTCTTCATTGGCGACGACCTCTCGATTGGCCCGATCGCAACGCTCCGCAACGTACGGCGCTATGGAAAGTACACGTCTCATGCTAGCACCCAACAGATCGTGGACGAGCTCCGGGGCTTGTATTGCGGGCACATTGCCACCGAGTACCAGCACCTGCGCAACCGCGACGCCGCCCTCTGGATCCGACAGAGCCTCACCAAGTACAAGGTGCGTCGCCCTTGTGTTCGCGGAACGACTCGACCTCTCCGTGCAGGATTTTGAGTTTTCGCCGACGGAAAAGACGGCGATCTTCCAGCACATGCTGCGCGCCGAGCTTTTCGAAAAGTTTCTTGGCCGGCGGTACAGATTCTGTAGTAGACTCTGTTTCGATCCCTGCGTAGCTTTTCGGGCGCCAAGCGCTTCTCGATCGAAGGCGGCGAGAGCATCATCCCGGGGCTGAAGGAGCTCCTCGAGAGCGCGAGCGATGCTGGCGTCGACTCTGTGCACATGGGGATGGCCCACCGCGGTACAGTGTCCGTCGTTACGGCATATTCTCAAGCGAAGCATGTAGGACGCCTCAACGTGCTCGCCAACGTCTTGCAGCGTCCCCTCCATGCGATCATGTCGCAGTTTCAGCCGTACTTGCCAGACGAGCCAGAGTACCCCAACAATTCGGACGACGTCCGGTACCACTTGGGCACGGTCTCGCACTTGACGATGCGCAATGGCAAGACCATGGAGGTCCGGATTGGTGCCAAATGCCGCTTTCCCGTCACCTTGGGACTAGGTGAAATTGGCCGCCAACCCATCGCACTTGGAAGCTGTAGACATGCATCGCCAACCACGCGTCGTTATGCTGCGTTGCCGTAGGTCAACTCGGTCGTATTGGGGGAGACGCGGGCGTGCCAGGACCAGCTTTCTGACGCGAACGGCTCTCGCGTGATGCCGCTACTGCTGCACGGCGACGCCTCCATGTTCCAGGGCTCGGTCCGGTACACTCGTGTGGCGCGTGCGTGGTATATACCGGTATGCATGTAGTGAGGCCTTTGGCTTCAGCGCGCTCGAGGATTTCAAGACTGGCGGCACGGTCCACGTCATCATCAACAACCAGATTGGCTTTACGACTCTGCCCAAGCAAGCCGACTCGGCCGTTTATTGCAGGTACCTTCCTCGCTGAACACGCTGCATGCGAAGATTGCGCGTAGCGATGTCGCCAAAATCTCGCGCAGTCCGATCTTCCACGTCAATGGCGACGACCCCGAAGCGGTGGTCAAGGTGATGAAAATGGCGGTCGAGTACCGGCAAAAGTTCAAGTGCGACGTGGTCGTCGATCTCGTGTGTTATCGCCGCCATGGCCACAACGAGCAGGTACTGGAGATACATCCATCTCCCAATCAACTTTGTGAATAGGACTCGCCCGAGATCACGGCCCCCGTCATGTATCATCGCATCAACCAGCACCCGACCGTGATCAACCTCTACTGCAAGCAGCTTCTCAAGGACGGGCACTTGACGCCTTCCGACAAGGCGTCGTTGGCCAACGCGATCGAGGTCGAGCTCGCGGCCGAGCTCGAGCACTCGAAATCGTGTCCGTCGCCGTGGGACAACATGGGCGATGGCCACGCACGCCGCGTGGACGACCCTAACGACGCGCTCCGAGCTGGCTTTGTCGACACGGGCGTCGACCGCAAACTGCTGGAAGAAGTTGGCGCCCAGATTTTCCGACTGCCGCCGGGCTTTACCGCCCACAAAAAGGTATATTTGCGTGTTCGTGCGACACCAATCACGTCGAAGTCGTAGGTGGAAGCCATCATGAACAACCGCCTACGTGCGGTCGAGACAGGCGCCCGTGTCGACTGGGCGACGGCCGAAGCGTTGGCGTTCGGGTCGCTCCTCGCCGAGGGCGTTCACGTGCGCCTTAGTGGTCAAGATTGCGAGCGCGGTACATTCAACCAAGTACAATCTCGCTTGCCTCTGCCATTGGCGCTGACAAGGCGAGGTGTTAGCGCCACGCAGTTTTGTACGACCAGTTTGAAGCCCTCTCCATGCGGAACGTGACCTACACACCGCTCAATGGTAATCGATGACGCAGTGTCTCAACCCACCCATAAGAAATGAGATAGAGCTTTCGGTGGACGTCTTGGCGGCCAAGGTGGCCTCGTACACACCGCCGGACGCTGTGACTCCTCGCATTCAGGTGTGCAACAGTCCGCTCAGCGAAGAAGGCGTCCTTGGCTTCGAGTATGGCTACAGTCTCCAGAGGTACGTCTCCTCTATACGCAGCAAGATAGTACCCCGTGGAGTAGTCCGGCGTCGCTGACCATCTGGGAGGCGCAGTTTGGAGACTTTGCCAATGGCGCCCAGACGATCATCGATACGTTTCTCGTTTGCGGCGAGCAAAAGTGGCATCGGCGGTCCGGTCTTATTCTCAATTTGCCCCACGGCTACGAAGGCCAAGGCCCAGAGCACAGCAGCGCCCGCGTCGAGCGGTTCCTCCAGCAAGTCAATGAAGATGCGGACGTGTTCCAGTCCGAGGCCAACGACGTGGGCGCCAACATCCACGTGGCCATGCCGACGACACCCGCGCAGTACTTTCATGCCCTTCGCCGCCAAGTCCGCGCGCCGTACGCACCACGTTTCCATATCCTAGGATATCACCGTATGACATCATTAGGTACCGCAAGCCGCTCGTCATGTTTACCCCGAAATCGCTCTTGCACCACCGCCCGTGCACGTCCGACTTGAACAACTTTGACCAAGGCACAAGCTTCCAGCGCGTGCTCGGGCCCCACGCCGACGACTTGCGCCGTATGGACGACGATACCAAGGTACTCCGATCGACATAAGAAGCGCACGCCATGCTCCGATGCCCACCTTAGATTCGTCGTCTCGTGCTCTGCAGCGGCAAGATCTACTACCCCCTCGTCCAAGCCATGCGCGCACGCAACATCACCAACATCGCCACGGCGCGCGTCGAGCAGCTCGTGCCATTCCCGTTTGCGGATCTCGCGCACCACGTGCAGCAGTACCCGGACGCCCAAGTCGTTTGGGTCCAGGTAAAGACGACGCAGAATCGAGCGGTCGTCAGGATCGCATGGTGTAGGAAGAGCCCAAGAACATGGGGGCGTGGACGTACTGCCAGCCGCGCGTCACGACTGTCATGCGGCACCTTGGCGACGTACGTGCGCGCTCGAATAGCTCGTCCATACTGATGCCGCTCTCTGTGTAGCAACGAAGCGTGTCGTACGTTGGGCGGCCCCCGACGGCGTCCCCAGCCACGGGCCAGTACGAGATTCATTTGCAAGAAATGCGTGGCATCATCGAAGATGCGCTCGCGCCATAGTAAGCACCTTAAGCATACAGTGTATGATACAGTGCCTCTTGCTTCTCTCGCGCGCCCAAGTAAGCTGCATGGGCGTGGTGCGACGGATCCGCCGACAGCAGCGCCGACGAGAGGGGTTGTGCCTGGTCGAGCGATGCCGAGAGGCCCAAGTACGAGCCCAGCGCCATGGCCACGCCCCGAGACGTCGTCTCGACCGCATCGGTCTCCAGCACGACCTGGCGTCCGATCGCATCCGCTAGAACAATTCGACTTAGCAAAGCATAGCAACTCGTAAACGCACCAATCATTTGGCGCCAGAGACGCGACGATGTGAGGGCGGTGCCGCTTGCGACGAGGACCGCGTCCGAGCTCGCTTGAGGTGCTACGTCGAGTGAGTGTTTTGGTAGAGAGGTATGTCGCTACCAAGCAGCGCGTAAATGGCCGCCAAGCGCAGCGCCACCGACTCGAGCGACGCGCGGAGAATGTCCACCGAGCTCGTGGCGGCGGTAATCCCGCTGATCGTGCACGACGCCTTGGCGTGCCAGCCTGGAGCGCGCTCGCCTACTGCTGGTGGCACGCAACATACCACGATCACCTCGTACCATGCAAGAACGGAAGCAATGTGAGCCCGTGGGCACCCGGCGCCATGGCTTCGAGCGCGGCTGCAGCATCTAGCGATGCGTAAGGACACGATAGGAAGTAATGTGTGTACCGTTGGGCAGCGCAAGCGTCTTCTTGGCCCATGCGTAGAGAGATCCGCCGTCCGTGAGCGCGCCGCCGAGCAGAACATGGGTCGCATTGACGCGGTAGCACCAGAGCCCTCTCGGCACCTTGCCGAGGGCAGCGATCGTGACTAGGACCCGCATCGCCGCGCTCGTACCGATCGTGAGACAGATGCGACTAGCATCCTTCATGCAACAACGACGACGCCTAGTGCTACGAGTACCTCGGGTCGGTGCACTTGGAACCAATGTTGGCAACAGCGCCATCACCAAAGGCGAGGTAAAAGGTCGCCTCCCGAAGCAGCGGCCACCGGCGTGCGTACGTGAGGTTGAGATGCGCGTCCACGGGCACCGACGGGTCCTGCATTGCAAATACAAAGCGGGGCATCGTACATGGGAGCAAACCTGCGTCGGAGGCATGGTCGACGCTGGTGTGTGCGTCATGGCGAGGAGCTTCGCGTGCCACGCAGCGCTTCGAAAGTCCAAGAGGCCCGTCCACGACGCCTCCGAGTAGCTCATGGGAAGGACATCGGAGGCGGTGGTCCATGCTCGAAGTAGTACACCGACCATCGACTGCCACGCATGGACAGGCGACGGCGGCTGGCGCCGATTGTGCCGGAGCAGCGTCGGGGCGGCGTACGCGGGGTGCATCGGCGTGCCGGTTTGGTTGTACACCTACTCGACACGATGCAAACGATAGAAGAAGAGCAAGTCCTACCTCTGCTAGGAGACCCGCCTTGGCCAGCGCGTCGCGGAGCTCATTGGCCTCGTCTGCGCACTGCCCAGCGTATGTGTAGACAGGTGTGACGGGCGCGCCGGCCGCATCGACGCCCACGAGCGACATGCCAAACGCAGAAAAGCCAACGGCCTTGACCACATATGCGCGCTGGGTCGTCAGCCAGCCGATCGTACCGTCCAGAACGCGCTCCTGTGGTCGTCGTGTGAGCTGGTCGAGAAGACGTCGGCAAAACAACTCACCACGGAAGCCTGGATGCTTCCCATATCGGCCGTGCCATCGGCGCCAATGGCACCTCGAGCCTCTTGGCAGAGCGAGCCGTCGACGGCGATCCATGCGCCGCGAACGCACACGTAGGCGCTGGCACGGACGGACGAGCTGCCAATGTCGACGACGACGATGGCCGCGTCCTTCGCCCGCGCCTCGTCCTCGCGAAGAGCCGCGGCGCGTTGCTCGTAGGCCCAGGCAACGGCAGCACCCACCAGCGTCGTCATTGCTGCGGTCGCTACCCACACGCGCACCATCTCGATCTTGCCACCGCGAGGTTGATATCGCAATCGCGTTATTCACGTTTAACCCAGCGATATAACGCACGCCGATGCAATAAACCAAAGAGGTCAAATAAAAAACGCATTTACACTTGCTGGTAGACGCCACCATGGGGCGTGGACGGGTCCATGGACGCCGCATGCTTGGGCGGCAGCACGACGCGGCCGTCGGTTCGGTTGGTCACGTTGTAGTGCGTCTGCCACTCGGCTGGGAGCGCGTCGTGGTAGTTGTCGCGGGACGCACGCGAGCTGCAGCCAAACCGCCGGAACATGCGCAGGATGACAAACACGACGCAGCCGACGAAGCGCACGACGTTGAAGAAGCCGACGATATAGCTGAGGCCCTTGAGGTAGCACCCGCTCGACATGTAGTCGGTGACCACGTAGAGCCAAATGCCATTGGTCGTGAGCCACGAGAGGAGCAAGGTCGACCGGAACGCGCGGAAGCTGTTGTCGACCTCTTCCTTCTCCTTGGCCGCCGCTTGCCGCGCCGCCTCCACCTTCTTTTGCTGCTCGACGACGTCCTTGACGTTGCCGCCGCCGGCTTTGGCCGGCCCGTGGCCACCCCCCGACTCGAGGCCTTTCGTGCCCCAGCTCAGATCGTGGAGGTTGCTGTACGCATAGATACCCAGTACGTTCTACACAAGGTTGCATGAGCGCTCGTGCCACGAGATGAAGATGGACGTACGACGAACGTCGGAAGCATGAAGAAGTACTGCACAAAGCTGAGGAGGATGCCAAACTCGCCGTGGACAAAGGCCGAGAGGAAGATGAGCCCAAGCGATGTGATGACACCGCCCGCAAGCTCGACGTCGCTGACCGTGCAGTTGGAGAACATCCCCGTGATGTTGCGCGGGTCCTTCACGGCGCTCGAGCCCTTCCCGATCAAGCCGTAGATCGAGATCCCGGTCACGAGCAGCATGATAATGCCCATGTAGAGGCAGCTAAAGAGGTAGAAGCTGGCCGTGCGCGGCTCGGGCTTGTTGCCAAGCGCAAAGACGATGAGGCCGCCAATGATTGCGAGGTAGACGGTGAGCATCGTCTGCAGCAGCGCGGGCGCCGACTCGGTAAAGGCCAGCGTCAAGACAAAGTAGAACGTGAGAAAGAGGTTGCTGAGCAGGAACCATGAGAGCAGGTTCTGGAGCGCGAGGTAGACAAACTGGAATGAAAACACGAGCTTGCGGCCAAACGAGTGGCTGCTCATGCTCCAGACGCGGCCAAAGTGCCCGATCGCAAAGAGCCCAGCGAAGAAGGACCCGTTGAGCCAGCGCCGGCGCTGCTTGATGAGGTCGACGAGCGTCTCGGGCACGTCCGTGCGCGCGATCGCGTCCTTGACGTAGTGCATCGTCCAGCGCCGCTGCTTGCGCGCGAGAAGCTCAAAGCACAAGATGCGGTCTTCCGCGAGGTACATGTTGCCCTGGAACGGTCCGAGCTCCTTTGTCGTCGACGTGAGGCTCTTGAAGTACTCGGGCAACGGCCCGACGCCCTTGACGGCGCGAATGGCCTCGTAGCGGTACGCCGAGAACGCGCCGGGCAGCACCGAGATAAAGCCAAACACCGACTCGAGGGACTTGTCCATGATGTTGGAGATCTTGTACTCGAAGTGCTGCGCCGCAATCACCGGGTTGAAGAAGTTGGGGGCTTCGACTGCAATCTCGCCGGCGACACCGCCAATCTGCGCGTTGCGCTCCATGCTCCGGATCAAGCGAAAGACCGAGGTCTCGGCCGGAATCGTGCCGACGTCGACGAGCACCGTGTACTTGGGGTTGAGCTGCTCCGAGAACGCGTTGAAGAACCAGAGATGCGAGTTGAGCTTCCCGCCATTGTTCTCCTTGAGCGCGTAAATCACTTGCAATGGCGGGTAAAAGGCCTCGAAGTTCTGGTTCTCAACGAGCTGGAGCGTCGACTCAAAGAGGTGCATTTGGACGTCAACGCCGAGCGACGTGACCGTCATGATCTCCTCGTCAAACGCACCAACGGCCTTGAGGTACTCGAGGCACGTCTTGGACGCTTTGGTCCGGCCGTCCGACACGATGGCGACCGCGACTTGCTGCCAAAAGTCGTCGCCGTACTCCTTGCACATGTACGCGAGGCCTTTTGCGAGGCCCGTGAGGGTGCCCTTGATCTCGGAGCCTTCTTCGTTGTACATGGTGATCGTGATGAAGACCTTGATCGGCCGCTGCAGCTCGTGCACGCGGAGCACGTAGCCGTCGTCCGAGAACTGGATCGGGTCCTTGGTCGCCACCGCCGTGTAGCGCATCAGTTTAAACTCGTTGGCGTCGTGGAAGGGCGGCGGTCGGCCGGCCCACGCCTGCTCGACGGTCGGCACGTTTGTGCGTGCGATGCGGAGGCTCGGCGGCAGCGCGGCCTTGCGCGCCTCCTCGGCGACGCTGTTCATCCAATTCTCGAGGTCTTCGGCACGCTGGAGGAGCTCCTGGGCCTTTTGGCGGATGCCCTTTTGCAAAAGCGGGTCGACCTCCTTGCGTCCGACCTCGACAAGAGTCGCGCCAGCGTCCGCGTACAAGTTGATCGCGGCCTCCGGGTCGCCGTCCTGCTCCATTTGCACAGCGAGTTGCACGAGTCGGAATGCGCCTTCGTACGTCGGCGTGCCATCGAGAAGCTCTTCGACAGTGTTGGGAAGCGGGCGAAACGCGGCCGTGTGCTGGCGCCGAAGCGACTTGTTGGAGACTTGGCGCTGCACGAGGCTGTTGGCCTTGTTAAGGAGCGTCTGGGGCTGCGGTGCCGGCTCGTCGTCGAGGTAGCCGTACGTCTTTTCCTTCGAGTCTTTCCACACAGGCACCTGCGTGTACGAGCCGTCGGCCTCGGCGCCGACAGGGCTGCCAGTCGCATACGTCCCGCCAAACTCGAGCGACTCTTGCGTGTACAGCGGCGTGGGCCGCGTTCGCGGTGGCGGCGACTGCATGTAGGGCGTCGGTGCCGGCGCAGGGGCTGGCTCGGTGCCACCCTCGCGCAGCGCCCGGAGGCGGGCGGCGAGGTCGAGCTGGCTGTTGTTGTCGCTCATGCCACGGCTTGACAAATGCGAATCCGAATGCGCTGGCCCGAATCTGCGACATGCGTAGGTGTTTGACTGTCGATTTTCGATTTTCACAATTAAATTACGCTAGTTTCTTTTTCTTATAATTTTGCTTGGTATTTTATGACTTTGACGTTGTATTATTATATTGGCCACGACGCCAACGCCACGAGTGTCGTTGGCCAGGCTGTCCACTGCGCGTTTTAAAATATTTTGGAAATAAATTTGTTGGCATCCGGATACAGGTACCCAACGATTGATTTGGCGAGGAACATGACATCAGACGCCTTTTGGCCACATCGATTCCTCGCATTTGCGTACAAAGTCCCGTGGAAAAAAGCCAAACATGCCGTGCAGAATTGAAGAATGATTTTAGCTGTCCTTTGATCAATGTTGCGTCGTTTGTGAGGAAGATCGCTGTCAAAAGCCTTGAGCGTCGTGTGGACAGCACGCGTTACTGCCGTGTGTGTGCGGATGTAAAAAGGAGGATATTTCTTGAACTTGCCGTTTTCGCGTACGTGTCCATGAAGGACCAGACATGATGCTCCACGAATCCAGTCTAGATGCATGCCGGCATGACCGACTTGGAATCTGAGCTCCACGGTTTTGTAGCCTCTGATATGCTTGCGATCGCACAAGTTCACGGCCATTACCGGTACCATTCTAGCTGTCGTCACATCAAAGGCAGGACAGGGCCATCGGGGGAAGCGCTTGCGGCGACGGGTATCGCTTTGATGTAGTAGTGTGTGATCATTCTAATCTCGACCTAGACAAATATCGAGGGTGAATTCTCTCATGGGGGTAATAGCTCGGGACGCGGGGCGTTGGGGAGCCTTCTTGCTGCCAGGCTTTTTGTGTCCTGGCGCGATCAAGGCCACGACAATTCAATTTCATTGGCCAAATAGCATGCATTTTCCGACCTATCAGATGCGACGAAAAGCGAGCCATTGCGCGGTCGGTGGATGGAGGCGCCTCGGACGCTCGATTGCAAGTTTTTTCAAGTGTCGGCCACAGTTGGCATACATATAGAGGGCACTTTGGGGAGTACGAGACGCCCCGTGGGACTGACGTTTGAGGCCCAGAGCCCGAGAAATCGACCCTTAAAGTTTGCGGACGATGCGGTTTTGACACGCAATAGCTCATGCATTTGACCCAT